AGGGCTTTACCTCTTGTCTGGCCAGATGAGTAGAAGCCGTCCTTTAGACAGAAAACTACATTTCCCCGCCTGTAATGTGAAAGAGGGGCCCTCTTCACGCTTCGTTCATCACTGCTTCGGAAGTGTCAATATTTGTGGGCGAACAAACCTGTGACCACCATGTTTCCAAACAATTACAACATGGTCTTTATCTCCCCTGACAGGAGGTTAGGTTAATATTGAATCAATTCCCTTCAACATCACCCTTAGAGAAAAAAAAAGGGTTCTTCAAATAAAACACCTAGTGAGGCCACTGTTCTGAGGCTGCAGGCTGGGGAGACATCTCCCCAAGGTGCCTGGTCACAAAAGACTCCCATCAGGGCATCTTCTCAGGGCTTGTTAATTACCTCCCCTGTCTCATGAAAGCATAGATGACACATGGTGACAAATGCCCCAATTAAGGGCACTGGGGATAGATCCTGGGTCATCAGTCTTTCCTGATGGGAGCCCCAGGCTGGTAGTTAATCACAGCTGGGAATTCATGAAGATGGGCAAGGCCTAATGGCCCGGCCACGGTCCACCAGAGCGCCAGAGGTTCTGAAAGGATGTGATGCACAAGGGATGTGGCGGGGCCAACCTCTGGACCTCTGGATCCCTGGGTTCAAATCCAGCGTCTCTTCTTATAGCCTCTGTGATTCTGCGCAACGAGGGAAATCGGGTGGCTAGTGACACAGGAAGGAGGGAAGGACATGGTGACCTTTCACCCCAGCCATGGGAGACACAGATGGCGCCGAGAGAGGATGCTAAAGCCAAGTTCAGAGGACAGATACCCATTGGGCAAAGAGTAATCTGAAGGTAGAAACTGGAGCCCACAGAGGCACAGTTCATGCCAAGTTGACCAGGTGGGACTAGATATGAGGGACAGCAGTGGGGGACACTGCTGGAGATGATGGTGAGACTGGAGGAAGGAGCTGGGCTAGGCACCCCACAGGTCAGACTAGAGAATGTAGATTTGCTGCAAAGGATGGTGGGAAGTCGTTTATAGACCTTGCTTGCAAGGAACCAATCTTCCTCCAAAGGTCAGGTGGTGGGCTGGGCCTCAGGCTGATGGCAGCACCCAACTGTTATGCAAAAAGCCCTATGTTTCATCCACAGTGTAAGGGACTCCCAATCAGGTGACATAAAAACTCTCTGGTCCAGAAGCCAGCAGCTTGAGAGAATTCATGGCAGGAAGCTACAGGTGGCTTTTAACAAGGGAAGGCAGAGCACAAGAAACCGACTAGGGAGCACAGTTGAGGGCAGAGCCAGAGACGGGTGATGGCAGCTTTGATCTTAGCAGGCAGGAGAGAGCAGGGCCCTGAATGTGCATTGAATAAACAATAAAGAGATGTGTGCAAAGCCCACTCCCCAGTTAGCAGAAGCCAAGTACGTGCCTCCTCTGGGAAGGAAGGTCACAGACACGGATCAAATGAAGACCAAATGAGTAAGCAAAGACATAACTAACCAGTGCCTAGGGGCTGCAGCTGGTTTCCACTCTCTCCTTGGAGCAGGTGTCAGCTCCTGCCAAACCCTGGTCTCACAGATGTTACTGGTGCAGTGATTATCTTAATTATCCATCTTGGTTGTTGGAATGGCTTGTTTCCAGGTTCGTTTCAGTGAAAGCATCCCATGGGAATGAACTAGCACTTTATAAAACACTGCACCCAGAAACCAAAGACACTTCCACCAGCCTCCACCCTGTGCAGCCAACACAGGTGAGAGGAGGAGATGCTACACAGGGGATTCTTCCCACCCTGCTGTCCTAGAGGGGTTCTTGTGATACAAGGTCCCATGTAGCCCAGGCTGATCTCAAACTTGCAATGGAGCTAAGTATGACCTTGAGCTTCTAATCTTCCTGCCTTCATACCCCAAGACCTGAGGTGCTGGGATGGAAGCTGCCTGGTCCAGATTTTCATACATGCTGGGCAAGCACCCAGCCGGCTCCATCTCCAGCCCCAATCTTGGAGGTCTTACAAAGGGAATTCTACAGATTCTGTTTTCTGGTCTTCTTTGAGGGTGTGGCGCCTCCTATGAGATAAGGCACAGGAGTCCCTGAAAGGTAGGGGCTTCCTCAGAGTCACCCAGGCAGGAGTTGAACCCATTGCGCACCTTTATCCATGCCCCTTACAAGATAAATAACCTTCTCCCTTGGGGTCCGCCCTTCCATGAGCAACTTGTAAATACCCAGAGTCCACCCCAGTGTCTGAGACCTTTATTGGAGTGCCTGGAGTGACAAGTTATGACCACACTCCACTTAGGGAGAGTCGGATGTAGGACCTCTCCCAACATGAAATTAGCAACGCCAGACAAAGACTCAAAATTCAGGTCTTTTCAAAGTAGCAGAACTGAGGTAGACCAGATGAACATTCACCTGCAAAATTGTTGAACTGCTAAGGTGAAGGGAATTTTGTAGGTAAGAGGCTTCTGGCCTCAGAGGCAGTTGCTTAAAATTTGCATCTGAGGCTGGTCATGGTTGTGCACACAGTAATTCCAGTACTTGGAAGGCCTAGGGTGGAGAGTTCAAGGCCAGCCTGAGCTGCATAGCTAGAGCCTACTTCCAAAGAACAAACCAAACAGCCAACTGAAAGTGGATTCTTTCTAACCCAGACTTGACAACAAAAGGAAAGGGAGGGAGGACTAGAAACATGTTGTTCTAGAACAATGCTCAGCTTGCTGAGATGCAGTTGTGTTCAAGGCTCTGAGGTCAAGCTTGGTCCACACCAGGCTCTGGATACAGGTTAAGAGGATCGAATCAGGTGAACCGAGGTTCAAGAGCTCAGGATGGCTGGCACCCACAGCTCCAGGCCTTTCTTGGCATGTGTCTTTGGATAAAGTGCTCCATCAACCCCTCATATTGTGGCTTCTCATGAGCACAATGGGCTAAATGCAGGAATATCTAACTGCTTAGGCAGCAGCAAGTATTTTCAGAAATAATGCACACTGTGGTCAGCCAAATCTCACCTGCAAGCCCATCAATTCAAAACAGAAGTCAGGCTCTGCTTGAAGTTGCCAGCAGCTCCTTTCTTACCCAAGCCTTCCCTGCTTTCTTCATTCCTCCAGGCATAAGGAGCTGACCCCAAGTAGCAGAGACCTCTGAGTTTTCCTACCCAGGACCTTGTCTCGTCCTTCCTCCCCCAGAGTCAGGCCGCTGCATGCATCTGTGTCACTGTTTACTTTTTCCATTGGGTATGGATTTCATAAGGTGGGTACCACACCTGTCTTCCTGACAATCCTTCCTGTATCTCACCCATCAGGTAGCATGCAGTAGGTGCTGTGTAAATACCCAGTGAGCAAACAAACACGTGGACAAGTGGAGGAAACTGTTCCGTGCTATACACACAGCTACATGCAAAGTCGGCTTGCTCTCCCTCCTGCTTTGCCTTCCCTGCCTCTGTCCCTAGGGCCTTCAGGCATAGGACAAATGCCAGACACCAGACAGGAGCTACAGTGGTACTGGAGTCATCACTGCTTTATCTAATTAGCTCTGACTCCTGCATCTGGACACATGTGCCAGGAGCCAAAGCAACTGTACCCTGACCTCTGGTCCAGGAGCTCCAGTCCTTGCAAATATATTTCCATGACAACAGCGGCAGAGAGCCAAGGCTGTGGATCCCTTTGATGGGAGCCAGATGCAGCGAGCTGGAAGAGGACTTTCAGAAGAATGGGGCTCTTTGATTCTGCTCGGGCTGCCCTCATTAAACACCACTGCTTCCTGGGAACACACATCTTAACCCTGGAGAGGGACTGTCAGGAATACCTTCAAAGGGTGGGGGGACTACCTATGGGGTGACTCGGAGGCTGTCAAGCAGGAACAAGGGAAGTGAGGTCCTCACCCTGTGAGGTATGTACTCAGTCCCCAGCTGAGCCAGGATGTCCAGGCCTCCCCACTCTCCTCCTCCAACAAGTAGGAAGATCCAATGTGCCACAGAGACCTTGGTTCTGCACTCAGGGTCAAAAGCTTCAGGTCCCAGCTCCATTGCCTACTGCTGTGTTACTTGACCACACATATCACCAATGCTGGGCAAAGTGTCTACATCTATAAAATGTCCACGGGGTGCCCCTCTGCTCCCCTGAAGGTCTCACAGTGACTAAATGCATCTGGCTGCAGTATAATCACAAAGGGGACATGGGGTGAGTGAGTGCCCTGCCTTGCCCTGGACACAAGACAAGGAAGGTCTGGAGTAAGTCAGAATGGTGGTTACCAGGATGAGAATAGCCCACTAAGGGAATAGAGAAGATCACAGAGTGGGATGGTGGCCCAGTGTCTCCTGGGTTGGTGGAACTTACTTTGTTTTGTATTCCTACCCATAGCCCTCTTTTCCGTCCTTCCCTATCCCCTCCCCCTTCTCTCTCTTCCTCCCTCCCTCCCTCTCCTCCTTGGCCATGAGGTAAGCATTTCCTCTCTACTACACCCTCTCTCTCATGATGTTCTGCCTCAAGGATGGAGCCAAGTGATCACGAACTGAACCATCGAAATCCATGAGCAAGCCTCTGCTCATTGGCTAACAGGAGGTACTAAGTTGTGCGGAGATAGCAGGTGACAACATACACAGAGGATTCAGAACATGGGGGAGGCAGGAAGAGGATTCCAGCCTTTGGCAGCTGGTAACCCTCATAAGACCTTGACCATCGTCATTAGCATCCAAGTACACAGTCAAATGGCCACAGCTGCTCTCCATGGTTCTGCCAGGAGGCAACTTTGCAACATTAGCCCTGCAACTGTGGCTTTTATACCCAGCCCTGGTATCCATCAAAGGCATTCATAACATTCACACATACTAGCTTCAGCCAGTTCACCCAGCCCTAACCTGCTTACGCCCTCCAATCAGACACAATTCGCTCCACACAACAAAAGGGAACAGGTCCTGCCCCTCACCCCCTACTGCCTTGTGGCTTCCTGGCTCATATCTCCACCTCCCTGCAGGTGGATAAAGGCTCTGGCTGTGTTTCTCAGAAGAGCCTCACTTCATCTCACTCCTTACCTGGCTGTGCACCTTCTCCAGCTCTTCCTTGCTGACTGATGTCTTGCTGTCCTCCATGGTGGCCAGAAGGAGTTGAACATCAGACAACAGAGCGTGTGTCCTCCTGAGGTCTCGGCGAAGACGCTTTTCTACATCAAAGTCACGATGGCCAATCTGAAAGCCAAAGAAGGGTTGGTTTAGATGGAAACCAGTGTCCAGGACCAAGGTTCTGATAACTAAGCTCCATGGGCTCAACCTTGGCTCTAGCCTCTTGCATGGCATGGTAACCCATACTTTTAAACCTAGCACTGGAGAGACTGAGGTGGGGAGACTGCTATGAATTGGAGGCCAGCATGGGCTACAGCATGAGATCATCTCAAAACCACAAAACAAAACCAGAAAGACTCTTTTCCGCTCTCATATGCAAATGACACAGTACCAACCACCAGGAAACTAGACTCCTGCTCAGCCTCATGAGTGCTTAGCTCCAGGGTTGCCACAGGACCATGCACAAGACTCCATTGATATCAACATAATCTGGAAGGCCCAGTTTCTTCTGTTCTGTCCTCTGCATCAAGCTAAGGGCTTCCAAACTCTTTGGAGAATTTAGGGCAGCCCAGGTGTGCAGTGACTGCAATAGGCATAAGGAGCATCCTGGAGGGCTCACTGACACTCTTGATTTGGCACATGTGTGCATGCATGCATGCATGTGTGTGTGTGTGTGTGTGTGTGTGTGTGTGTGTGTGTGTGTGTTATAAAGGTCAGGTGGGATACACACAGAGACCCTCTCTACATCATCTCCTATTACACTACAGGTTGCTGTGGGGTGCACCATGGCTCTCAACTAACAGCAGTTGCGTTCCTTCCAAAGCCCTAAATAAAGCTGCAATATCTGAAGCAGGTCACCACCAGTTTAAAGGCAGGAGAGGAGACATTTTCTATGATGAAACTTTACCAAGGAGTGCACAGATTCCTTCCCCCAGAACTTTGCATTTGTCATGGAACCATGGAATGGAAGGTCACCAAGATGCCACATCCTGTCATGAGGACCAGGACAGTAACTTACATGTCTTGATTCTCAGAGGCCAACAAGACAGGTGCAGCCAAAGCATGGAATAGACAGACTCACACTGGGACCCCATGGTTAGTGTCACTTAAAGACACCAGCAGCTTCTTTGTTCCAGGAACATCCAGGGCCAAGAGCAAAGAACATGGGGGCCAGTCAATAGATGGATACTGGAGAGAATAAGATGTGTGTCTCCTCATAGGGCAATGATTCTCAGTCTGTGGGTCTGAACCTTTTGGGGGTTCAATGACCCTTACACAGGGGTTGCCTAAGACAATTGGAAAACACAAACATTTATATTACGATTCCTATCAGTAGCAAGATTACAGTGATGAAGCAGCAACAAAAATAATGTTATGGTTGGTGCTCACCACAACATGAGGAACTGTATTAAATGGCCACAGCTTAGGAAGGTTGAGAATTACTGTCATAGACCCATGCTTTTGCATGTTGGGGATCTCTGCCTGCCTGCCAGATTCCTCTCCTGGGATGCGAAGGATGTTTTTAGAATGTTAGAAGCAATATAGATTAAGAGTGAGGTAGTTCAGGCTCTAAATCCCCAACACACCATTTGCTGGTGGCAGGAACCCTGGTGGAGTCGGCCGCCACTGGAATCAGGATTTCCAGTCCCTAAGAGGGTTTTGAGAAATCCTATTCTCTGTGTTGAGATAAGAGGGGGATCAGGTGTGATAACGGGTGACTGAGCACTCTGTGTGTCAAGTGCTTCACAAGCACAGGATTACAGCGACTGCTTGATGACCTGGCCTGTGCACCCACAGATTTCATGTCACAATTTCTCCATGGCCGCTTTGGAATTCTTTGAAAGATGAGCTGGCTTTTGGAATACAGCCTCTCCTCCCTCAGATGGATTACTGTGGTAAATTTAAAACATTGGTCTATGGTATAAATTCACAGCCAGAGGGGTGGAGTTCAGGAGCTGAGCTGAGCTGCAGGCTGGGAACCCTGCCACCCTCTGTCACGTGCAGTCGCACTTAACTCCCGAAGCAATCCCTTAAAATACACATTGTTATTATTATTGTCTTTATGACTGTAATGCCAGCTCACATGTACGGCAGGAAGGATTCTAAATGCTCTGTGGGGTGGACTACATTTTATCCCTGTGATGAGCACACAGTCTTCATTGTACAGGGAGGATCTGAGGGCAATAAGGGTGATTTGCCGGGGAAGACAGAGTTGGGGTATGAACCCAGCTGTTGTGGCAAGAAGGAGGCAACTTTAGCAAGTTATATCACCAGGGAGGTGTGTTTGCTGCTGCAACTGTCACCATCACCATCATCACCATCATCACCACATCACCATCACCACCATCGCCATCATCACTATCACCACCACCACCACCACCATCATCATTGTATTCCATTGTCTGGATAGTTTGCCTGCACCTATGTCTGTGTACTGTACAGGTACCTGGTGCCAGTGGAGGCCAGAGAGGGCTTCAAATCCTCTGGAACTGGAGTTGCAGACGGTTGTGGATTAAAATGTGTGTGCTAGGAATTGAGGCAAAGTCCTCTGCAAGGGCAGCCATTGCTCTTAACCATGGAGCCATTTCTCCAGCTCCTGTCTTTAGTTTTCACAAGAAGTTGCACCAACTGAGATGCAGAGGAGCCAGGCACTGGAAACTGGAGCTAGCTGCTGCTAGCTAGTGGCAAAAGGAAAATGCCCCAGATAGGAGGCACTTCAGGAGCCAATAGAGAGGATGGGTGGCCTAGCATGTGAACTGCTGAGTGATTGACACGATGGCAGGAAAACCTCAGGAGGTATGGGCAGGTCACATAGTAAGAGATGGCCTGGAGCTCTCAGAACAGAGGGCCATGGAGGCATGCGGCAGGCAAGTAGTTTGCCTGGGCCACCATGCTGCTAAGTAGAAATATGCAGAACACGAGGACCTCATCTTAGCATGTGGACCTCTAACTACTGCTCCGTGGTGTCTAGCAGGACTGTTTCCTGCAGCCCAGATTCTCCTGTCCCACAGTCATTTTTTTTTAACCATGATGGGGATGTGCTCTGTACTTTTCTCAGACTTCATGCCTTATGGCAATAACAGAACATAGACAGCATCAAGCGCCTATCCTGTACCCAAAGGGTTAAAAATCAAACTATTTCAAATGTTCAAGAATTACACATCCAAACTTTAAAAAAAACACAACCCACTGTTTTGAAAACAGATGCACAAACCCACTATTTTGAAGACAGATGCACACTCGTTTTACAAGTTTAGTTTGATCTTGAGCAAACACTACAAGGAAAGAAAATTGTAAATCAATATCATGATTTCAGTTTTTAAAAAATCCCATTAAGTGTCACCGTCCAAAGTGGCAAATGCTAAAATGTCTTGTGACTTTGGGTCAGAGATGGGTCATAGGTTAAGGGTATCCATTGCTCTTCCAGAGGACCCGACTTCAGTTCCCAGCACCCACATGGTGGCTCACAACCACTTGTAATTCAGTTTTGGTGTATCCGATGCCCTCTTCTGGCTTCCTTAGGCATTACAACACACAGGCATACATACACACATCATCATAGTAATAAAAATAAATCATTAAAAACCAGATGTTTAAGTAAATCGATGTGGAAGATGGATCAGGGGACACTGCATTTCTACATGGGTGAAACCAGTATGGGGGTTCTCTACTGAACAGCAGCATGTGGCAAAAAGCAATGGTTTTTCAGTTCTGGAAAACTCCCAGTGGGCAAAGATGCATTTAATCAGACATCACACACACACTGGAAATAGTCACATGACTAAGCCTTAGCAGCATTCATATTACAACAGGGGTGTAAGAAACCTGCATTTTCTAGTATGTCCCAATGCAGACAAGGCCAGAGGCCAGTGGGTAAGTAGGAGGGGAACCAAATACACATTCCTTTTAGAAACTGTTGAGATTTTTCCTTTGCCCCCAAAGACAAAAGTATCCTCAATTCCAAATGATAATATGATCGATGTAGGAAAACCTAAAATAATAGACAGATGAAATGTTATGAAAACACTGGGTTCAGCAAGTTTGCTAGATATCAGGCTAATGTCAAGGAGGTGTCTCATAAACCACACAGGACAACTTAATAAAAATCAAAACACAGAAACAAGCACTGGTCGTAAAGCCTTGGAAACCCATAGTTTCCTAGAAATGAATCTAACTAAAATGCTTCTGACTTGTATGGTTAAGAAATAAACACTGTAATTCATAGAGACAGGATGGGAGCTGAGGAAAATAGCACAGTGTTTTAATATGAAGCTGTCAGTTGTCTCCAGTCTAACTTGCAAATCAGCCATTCCAATGAATCAAGTTTCCTCATGAAATCTTTCTCCTCCTTTTTATTTATTGTTATTTTATGTGTATGGGTTGTTGTGGAATACTATTTTAAGGTGTGTTACATTTGCTTATGCTGTGTAACATTTGTTTTAATGATGCAAAGACGTGTTGTATTCTCTTATTCTGTGTTTGTTTAATTCTGTTACTTTGTCTAAAACACCTGATCGATCCAATAAAGAACTGAACAGCCAGTGGCAAGGCAAGAGAAAGGATAGGCATGGCTGGCAGGCAGAGAGTATAAATGGGAGGAGAAATCTGGGGAGATAAAAATGGAGGAGCAAGAAAAGGAGGAGGACACCAGGGGCCAGCCACCCAGCCATACAACAAGCCACGGAGAGAGATATGCAGAAATAGAGAAAGGTAAAAGCCCAGAGGCAAAAGGTAGGATAATTTAAGTAAAGCTGACTAGAAACAAGCCACGTTAAGGCTGGACATTCATAAGAAAGAATAAGCCCCTGTGTGTTTCATTTGGGAGCTGGGTGGCAGGTCCTCAAAAGAGCCAAACATTAGAAAGCAACCAACTACAAAGGGTGATTTGCCTACATGTAAGTCTGTATATCGTGTGTGTGTGGTGCCAACAGAGTCCAGAAGGGGTCTTTGGACACCCTGAAAGTAAATTACAGACAGTTGTGAGCCACCGTGTAGGTTTGGGAACAGAGCTTGGGTCCTCTGCAGAAGCAGTAAGAGTGTTCCAGACCTTGACATCCTTTCCTACTGGGCTTTCTATGGATGCAACTCAGAGTCCCATCTCGTCTAGGTTAGCTCTATATCACTCATCTACACCTCAACCTGCATCTTAAGGTTACTGAAGACTCAAGGTGACAGGATTATTTTCAAAGACAAGCACGATAAGATGCCCTGTGTTCTAGTTTCTTTCCCGATGCAGTGATAAAAACCCTGACCAGAAGCAACTGGGCAGAGGGAGAGTATAGCTTCCACTTCCAGGTAAAAGTTCACCATTAAAGGAAGTCAAAGGAGGGACTTAAGCAAGAATGTGAAGCAGAAACCCTGGGGTAAATACTGCTTGTTGACTCACTTGGGCTCATGTTTGCTAGCTTCTCCATATGGGCCAAGAACTCCTGTCTAGGGAATGGTGCCGCCCACAGTGGGCTGAGCCCTCCTGTATCAGTTGGCTGCCCACATGCGCGCCCGCAGGCCAACCCAATCTGGGTGATCCATCAGCTGTTACTTCTCCCTAGGGTGACTTGAGGTTGTGTGAAATTGATGTTTAAGGCCTTCTAGACCGCTGCAATTTATTGAAAGCTCGTCAGTGTGACAAGCTTGTGCAGGGACAGAGAGGAGCATGAAGCAAGTAGAAATGGAGACCTGTACATACCCACGACACGAGGGGTGGTGGGGATAAAAAATGAAGATTAGCCACAGCAGAAAAACATAGGTATCGGCTTCGTACCACACACCCACGTAAGGTGGATTAAAACCTAATCATATGCATAAAAACAAGTTTAGAGCTTTAAGACATACAGTAAAGCATGAACTGAAATTAAGGAGAGCGGCTTTCAAGTAGAAAAGCATAAGCCATAAATGTGGTTAATGCGACTGCATTAAAGACACTTTATTAACTGAGCGGTGTGATAAACAAAGATGGGGATTAGCCACAGGGCAGAGCTACTGAAACGTGTGTTACCAGAAACCGATTCGCATTTATACGAAGATCACGAACGATTCCCAGAATATCCAGAGGCTAATCATCAGGACCAGATGAGTCATGGAGAGGAAACCACACAACTTCCCTTGACCTGCAGCTCTGGGAATTACAATACACACTCTGCTATGCCACAGCCACGGGTGTGTGACGGAAGATCCTCAGACAATAGTGGAGACAGCAAAAGGTGCTATGATGGCTTGGTGGGGGTGTAATTCGGGTGATACCTAGTAATTCTACCATTTGTGCCTTTCCAGGGGCCATGCTGCTCCCAAGTGTAGTAAGACACACGTGAGGATAAGGCCGTGGTTTTGTTTCTGAAGGGGCAGACCACAGGGCACACCCAGACAGAAAATAAGGCTTACTGAGCTCAGAACATCAGTGAAGCCGTTGTATTCCAGTTTAGGAAACCTGGTGGACTAAACTCAAAACCAGCGTGGAGGGACAAGGGGCAGCACATTAAAGACCGAATATACCTACATGGGTCCAATGCCAAGCTTTCTTCTGTGCGGAGAAAAAGACAAGGGAGGGAGATATGGAGGGAGAGATATTAGGAAAGAGACCACCAAGACGCCTCCAGATGCTTGGGAACCGTTTTGTCCCTAATCGGGTTGTGATCCAATGAGGCAGTGTGTTTGTTTATGTAATCCTTGTGACTCCACACATGCCACCTATGGAGTTTGCCTACTTTTCTGTAGGTATGGCAAATATCACAATAAAAGCATTAACGCAATGCCAGTGTCATAATTGGGATGTGGAGTAGTTCTCACGGCTCAGGTGCAGAAGGTGTATCCCCTGCTGCTGGTGTAATTCAGATGTGATCAGGTCCTGGGGATGCTAGCCTTCATCACTGGTTCTCTCTAAATGGGCACCCAGGAGGAGGGTCTTGTTGGAGGAAGTGGTATACCGGGTAGAGGGTGTCCTGGAGGTCTTCTCCATGCCCCTTTTTGTCTCTCCTGGTGCTGGCTGCCCTGTTTGGAGCATCAGTGTTGCATCTCGTGTTCCCTCCAAAATGTTCTTTACCAGCACATATTGGCCCAAAATACTGTGACAAGGAAGCCTGATAAGTGGCCATGGGCTGCAGCTTGGTACTGGAATGTAGCCTTCCTCCCTGCTGCCCAGCACAATTCGTCACAGCAACTGGAGGGACTCTCATCTCTGACATCTGGGTGGCTCTGGGCTCTTCTGGCTGCTGTGGATAGCTGTGGCTCTCTGGAAGGAGCTGGGGGAGAGTCATGTGTCCAAGGACACTTGGAAGCGTCTGTAGACCTTTCTGATTGGCACGTTGGGGAGTGTGCTACAGGCAGCTCCTGGTGGTTGGAATGCTCCTCATCCCACATTATATGACTGTCCCCACCACAAGACACATCATTCTCAGAATGCCACAGAGATTTTCTAAGGACCCTAGGACAGTGACGGGGTCAGGCCTGAGGAGCTCTGCTCACATGCTTAGATCCATTAACAAGCACACCCTAATGCAGACGAATGGATGGACAGACAGCAGAGGTGGATGACACATCTCCCTGGCTCCTGGTCTGGCTACGTTCCTGGAAAAATCTTGTCACTACAAGGTCAGCTGTGGCCATAGTGGCCACCCATACCCACCCCGTTATGCAAGCATTGTCCACAGTTCACTCCCGGCAGCCACTGAAGGTCACCCGGCTTCACCTGCCCATGGCAACTGAGGCCACCCTGTTTATTCGTTTCCTTGTAAGAACTCTGGTGGTCACCATCTCTGAAGATTTTTGATGAGCCAGTGAGTGTGGGCAGGGAGGATGGGTAGAGAAGAATGCATTTTGGGGACACAGAGAAGAACGAGGGAGCTTTCCCTGCGGCTGGCTTTCCCATGCACCTGCCCATTTCACAGAACCAAGAAGTGGGTTTTGAATCCCATCGAACGTCCCCATTGTGTGTGCCTTACCTGGTCACACAGGGTTCCAATCAACCCTTCCAAATCACGCTTCTCATGGAGAACCACCTGCTTTTCCTCGTATTCCTGCTCCAACTGCATCTCCAGCTGACGGAGCTGCGGGCACATGGGACAGAGGTGAGCACCCTTGAATGAGCAGAAAGAGCCCTGGCCGGGGTCCTGGGAGGAATGGACGTGGAGCCTGGGGCCATACTCTAAGAAAGGCTGCCTAGCGGATGAGAGGGGTATGTCTGAGAGAAAGCATAGGAACCTTAAAGCTTGGGACCTGGGCAAGAAAAGGGAGACCTGGCCAGATTGAGGGACCCCCATGCCCCACACTGTGAAATTTGTAGTCATGGTCACTGCTTGGATATTTTCTAGTCTTAGCATGGTGTGTGTGTGTGTGTGTGTGTGTGTATGTGTGTGTGTACAGGTACCTGTTGACCTGTGTGTGTGCATGTGAAGGTCAGAATTTGATGTTTGGTATTTTCTTTTATTGTTCTGTTCTCCACATTACATTTTGTGACACTGTTTCTCACTGAATCTTGGGCTGCCCATGGACTAGACAGACCAGGCCTGTGAGCTCCCAGAATCTTCCTGTGTCTGTCCCCCAGAGCTGGAGTCACAGAGGCTCCACTCACTTGGCACAATGGGGGCGGTGATACCTGAGCTCAAGCTGTCACACACGTACAGCATATACCCACTGAGCCAGTTCCTCTCCCCCACACAATGAATCCGCAAGGCCGTGTAGCACACGGCAGCCAGCCCGTTACAGCACTTATCTGTCTCCCTTGATTCTATCATGATGAGGCTGAAAAGCACAGCAGCCTAGGTACACGTGAGGGTATTTGGTGTTATGGACCATGTGAGTCCCCTCTAATGTCTACTGGATTGGATTTAGAAGGAGCTGTTGGGAGGGTTGGGCCAGAGGAGGTTATGGAGGAGGTGCCCCCCCATCACAATCAGTAAATACAAATCAATCTCTGTTTCCACCTCTCCTTCTCTCCCCGTGGCTCCCACATAAGGATACTATGAGAGGCGGCCATCGACAACATGGCCTTCCCCAGAACCTCCTGTGTCAGCACTGTGTCCTTAGACTCCCAGGTCCCAGATCAGTGCTTAGGAAGCCCCAGGCTATAATGCTTTCCTTCAATAGCACCAACTAAGAACTCTGAGTAAAAGCACTTCCTTAATTTGCAACCCACCCAGATTTCCTCAGTTATTACCCAACAAACAGGACATCCAGTATTTGAGTGAGCACACTCAAGGGCCCTAGGTCCCAGCATCCTCCCCAATGGGACCTGGTGATGCACTGTGCGTACAGCTCACGCACCCGCTTCTGGCAGGACTGACGCACGTCCTCCAGCTCTTCCTCCTGGTCCTCTCGGTCCTTCTGATGCATCTGCTTCATCCTCTCGATCTCCAACTCAAACCGCTGGCGAAGCTGGGGCAGCAAGCAAGGATGGAGCATGAAGTCCACACATGCATCCCAGCCCTCCATGGTACTCCTCACACCCCAGTCCCCAGCCCTCCATGGTACTCCTGACACCCCTGTCCCCAGCCCTCCATGGTACTCCAGGCATCCCTGTCCCCAGCCCTCCATGGTACTCCTGACACCCCTGTCCCCAGCCCTCCATGGTACTCCAGGCATCCCTGTCCCCAGCCCTCCATGGTACTCCTGACACCCCTGTCCCCAGCCCTCCATGGTACTCCAGGCATCCCTGTCCCCAGCCCTCCATGGTACTCCTGACACCCCTGTCCCCAGCCCTCCATGGTACTCCTGACACCCCTGTCCCCAGCCCTCCATGGTACTCCTGACACCCCTGTCCCCAGCCCTCCATGGTACTCCAGACACCCCTGTCCCCAGCCCTCCATGGTACTCCTGACACCCCTGTCCCCAGCCCTCCATGGTACTCCAGGCATCCCTGTCCCCAGCCCTCCATGGTACTCCTGACACCCCTGTCCCCAGCCCTCCATGGTACTCCAGACACCCCTGTCCCCAGCCCTCCACACAAGCAAGGATGGAGCATGAAGGTCCACACGCATGTCCCCAGCCCTCCATGCCACCCTTGACACCCCCGTCCCCAGCCCTCCACACCATCCTTGACCTTCCTCTCTAATGTGAGTGGTTACCTCCCTCCTACCCTAAGATGTCAAGAGCAGCAGCCGAACACCCCAGCACTGCCTCCAAATACCCCAGCATTGCCTCCGGACACCCCAGCACTGCCTCCAGACACCCCAGCACTGCCTCCGGACACCCCAGCACTGCCTCTGAACCCCTCCCATGGTGTCACTCGCCCATCACATTCTCCCACTGGGTTTAGGCACAGCCTCAGAATCCTTTTTGATGTTCTCCAAGGAATCTAAGGTTCTTCTGTTTAAGAATCTTTCAACTGTTGTCTCTAATGTGGAGACATGGGTAGGAAACAGAAGAACAGATCTGGGATCCTAAAATGTTGGGGACACGAAGACGTGAGCGGACAATGTGTGTCAGAGCCCCTGGCATAGACTGATTAGATTTAGCTCCTTCCCCCAGCCTCGCACAATGGCAGGGGTTATGAGAGGATGATCCCAGATGAGGGGCGGCATGAGGAAATATAATATTTCTTTTTCATTTTTTTCCAGCCTCTTGGGCACTCCTGACATCTGCAATATCATTTATGTCAGGCTTATATGAGTTAACATAAAACTCTCAGGAAAAAGTGCCTTACTGAGATCAATAAATATCTGCCTGGCCTCTGCGAGGGCGGGCGCTGTGCAAGGCTCTGGAGCGACTGCAGCATGCACTCAGCCTCTCCTCCCTTCCTGTTTAAGTTCAGGTTGGGGATCCAGGAAGGTGTGCCACCCCCACCCTTAAGGTCACGGTTCCTGTTTCTGCTTGTAGCCCTCAGTGGTGCTGGGGGGAATCTTCAAGAAATGATAATGGGCTTTCCACCAATGCCTGCTGGCTTGTTTGTGCTCGCAGACACCACCTGGGCCTGTCACACCGTGCTCCTCCAGCCTCGGCAGTCCCATCAGTGTGGACACTGCAATCTTCATCAGTTAGGCCTGGGGCTTGAGGGTTGGCAAGGTTCCCATCAAAGAAGGGAACCTAGAAAACCCAGGGCTGGCCTGAGATCCTGCAGACGCTGAGTTAACTCAGGAGTCTAAGTTGCCACTCTTTGGGTGTCACATGACTCTGTGACCACTGGGCCTTTGCAGGAGCTGTCTACCTTGCCTGGAACTCTAGTTCAGCCAATTCTGACTGAGCCTTCAGCTTTCATTTCCTCCAGGGAGTCTGCTTTCCTCAACTGTTCCCAAGACTAGATCAACAAGCTCAAGGATGCTTGATCCCAGCAGGACTCTGAGCTTTGGGGAGGCCGAGAGCAGCAGATGCCAGATTTGCTCCTCCATCTGTGTGGTATCTGATACAGATGACTGGCTAAGGAAAGCTAGCTGGTCACTCCTGAGCATCTGAGATCCTCCAGACCCTGACCCCTCCCTTTTCACGCCTGTGTCTCCCGCCCATAAGGCTTCATCCTGTGAAATGGAGTGAGGCTGAGCAAGATGCGAGTGCTGGCATCCGACCTCAATGGGAATGCATAGAGTCCACCTGCTCTAGCCATCCATGTCTACTGGCCCCCGAAGCAGGCAGGGTTTAAACAGAATTAACAATTGCAACAACCTGCCAAGAGAAATTTAGAGCTAAGCACTGGAACTTCTCTCCCCTTGAAAATCTGGGTGTCTTTCACACTGGGGACAGAAAAACACATGTGCCCACACTGCTTGTATCTCTCTGAAAACCTATCATGCTAACACCGACACTACCGTGTAAAGACGTGGGTTCTGTGTATCACTGTCCCCATCTCTCCCCAGTGTCTAGTTTTGGATGGGGGGTTAATTAGGGGGGTGAGGAATAGGGGTTGTTATTGTATCCCACACTGACCTCAAACTCTTCATGTAGCCCAGGCTAGCTCAGAACTCATGGTGGTTCTTCTGTCTCAGCCTCCAAGACAGGTGGGGGACAGGTGTTAGCTACCACACCGGATCTAAGCATCTACTTTAACTTGTGCTTTTCTGGTTCACATTGCTGTAGTTAGACTTTCTCTGTTGCTATGCGTGTATCTCATAACTGCCTCAATCACCATGTGCCTAGAAACCAGATGTTTTCCTGAAGGCACCGGGCATTGGATTTTCCACCCCTGCCTACTCCCTCACTTTCTGTGAATTCCCTAAAGCTCAAAATGCTCCTCTTCCCACTTCTGAAGTAGATATTTGAGCCACTGGGATCTGAGGACTCCAGTTCAACCGCCCCCCCCATCTCTCTCTGATTTAGGCCTCTGCTCCCACATCCATGGAGGGGATGATCCTCCCATGTCCTGCAAGGTTCTTATACAGAACCACAAGAAGAAGTCAAGGAGAGCAAGGGGTTGAGCCTCATACATGAACAGTGGGTGATCAATGATGTTAGATGCTTGGTCACTAGTCAAGTGTTGAGCATCGACAGGTGCACTTGGTGTCATTCTTGACTACAGAGCAAGACACACCATGAAAAAAGAGGGACCACCCAGCTAATCAACCAACAAACAAACCCCCGATGTCCAGAAACTTGCATCTTAATCGGAGAGGGATGCTGTGAAGTGTGATGTCCAGCCCGGTGTGGCCATTACCAAGAATAGGCGATAGTAAAGGGATAGCTGCGAGGCAGGATTCCTGCCAGGGGCTGGCTTCTCTGAGGCGTTCTGGAGGAATAGGGAGCCATGGACTACTGGGGAACAGCGGTAAGGGAGGCAGTCCTGTAGTGTTTCACACCATCACACTGTGGGAGAACCCAGCCCAGGACAGAGCATCCCCAAGACAGGGAGGGTCTCTTTACCTGCTCCAGCTGCTTAATGGTGTTTTCCTGTTGGCTGTGGACCTTCTGTTGTTCAAGGGCGTTGGACTCCAGCTCCCAGACTCTCTCTTTTAGGCTGGCTACACCTTGCTCCCCGACAGAGGCACAGCCCAGCAGCTCCCGCTTCTGGCCCTGTAGCCTTTCCACCTCCTGCTTCAGCTTTGAGGCTTCCTGCTCCTTTTGCTACAAGAAAAGGGCCAGGAGGATGGAGTCACTGGCCACGGTCCTCTCCCTGGATGCCTCCACCCTCTGCATGCAAGCTTTGTTATATTCCAGACTCAGAAGTAGACAGGGCCTCCTCACGCAGCCCAGGCTGATCTCAACCCCAGGATCCTCTTGCCTCAGTTTCCCCAGTGCTGAGATGACAAGCTCATACTACCATTTGGGTCCCTACTTTGCCCTCCTCCACTCTTGGCCCTTCACAGTGTCCCTGGGGACGCCAGCATGGCTGTGCTTTGGGAAGTCTCAGAGGGACACTGGGGGATGGAGAGGAATGGGCTTTCCTGGAGTTGAATCTCACTGCATGTAAGGGGAAGGGCTCGTCCTCTTGGAAAAGGAAGGCAGGCACTGTGCTAACTGGGGCCAGGCTAAGGAATAAAGGAGGCAAAGGGCCCGGAAGTGACCCTTTCAGTGAGGAAGCTGGGTCCAGGACAAAGTCTGCAGGCTCTCTCACAAAGAGCATGATGGCTGGCTACAGAGTGCACGGGTCATCTCATAAGGAGTCCCTGGATGATAAGGAACGTCTGATATCACAACTCCCTCTGTATCAGAGACTGCTTGGGGCAGGCGGTGACTCCTGGATGATGTCATGACTGACCAGTTTTATTTTCTACTGAGCCCCTGGGACCTCCCAGGTAGCACCTGGGTCCCCGTGCTGGAGCGCAGTGCTATGGGGGACTATCTGCCTGACAACCTTTGTGGGCTTCATGAGGACATGTCGGGGGCAGTGGTGACAGCTGCCTGGTGGACCACAGCACCCACTCAGGATTCTCTTCCTCCATCCACTGCAGCAGTGCATGCTGGGGATTCTAGAGAGTCCAGACAGCCGTGAGTCCCTAGTGTTTACCTCCAGCTGCTGCTGTAGCTGGCCCAGCTCCCAGCGCACTCCGTTGTTTTCCTGGCTCACTTTCTCCCTGAGGGTCTTCTCAAACATCGACTCCCCCAGTGCCTGGGCCAGCTGCAAGTCAAACCTGCCCAAGGCAGAATGGATATGTCAGGGAACTAAGGCAGGGGGAACCGAGGCAGGTGTGGATAGAGTTATGAGTGTGCTGAGGAACGAATGGGACTTTTCTTGTTGTTGGGGTGGGGAGGACCTGAAACATCATGGAGGGAGTTTCAGGCTTCTAAAGGATTTCCATCCAAATACTAGAAACCTGATGAAAGCATAGAGACAAAAAAATTAAAAGTATATTAAATATAGAGTAAATTAAATAATACATGTTTATAATAAAGGATATGGATGTAAGAGAAAAGAGAGAAGAGGCAAATGACAGAGAAATACAGAAGAGATAGGAGAGAGAGAGAGAATATGAAGGAAAGAGATAGGAGAGAGAGAGTGAGAGAAAGGCGAAAGAGAGACGGGGCAGGAGATAAGAGTGAGGAAAACAGCGAGAAGCTAATCCATCCTGTTGGACACTCCTTCTCCCTCCTAGATTTGCATGTAAGTGTCCCTGACCAAGGACACTCTATTTTCTGTTTCATGGCACAGGGGCCAGCACCGGCTGCAGATGGCACACCAGGCCCTCACAAGCCACAGTTCCTTAGGTGTGCCCCTAGCATCGACAGACCAGAGGTGGCCTACAGCTCATCAGAGGAAGGAAGGACCTCCTGCCCCTCCACAAAGGTGACCACCGTGAGGCTGCCTTCCTGGCCCTTTCCTCTCCGCTCATTTGTCCTGGCTTTCCACCTCATCAGCGGTGAGCATCTCTAGAGAGCTTTGCCAGGCCGCAGTGAAGGGTGACTGAGCCACACACAGGAAGCCCCGCTGCTCCAACAATCCTGGATCATGGAGATTAGTGACAAGAAGTATTCCCTGTATAAGATCATCACACCAGATGTCATCCATAGCCTCGGGCTTCCAAGAAAGCCAATCAGAGCTTTCTTTAGAAAGCCCTCCTTCTGGAACAGCCCAGAAGCTTTCCGATTGGCTGTTGGTGACATCATTTCGGAGGCACTGTCTGCTGCCCCTGAATCTAGAAGATGGTGATGATCGGGCTGTTCCAATGTCCTGGACCTTGGGCTGGGGTCTGTAGTCTTTAAGACAACATGACAAGAGGGTAATAGGGAGCTACAGAAGAAGGAGCAGCCGAGTGAGGTACGTGTGTGAAAGAAGAAACAAATGTTCAAAGAGGTGCGGTGGTTGAGCCCCAAATCCCCACAGTGGCAGAAGCGAGCTTGAGCCCAACTTCCCCAGCCTCATAGCCAATCTACCTGTCCATGCCCTGGGGCAGGTGAGGTAGGACAGCAGAGGGTAGAGAGTGACCAATGTTCCAGAGGAGTTCTTATCTTAACATGACACCTGATGCCAAAGAATGGCTCCTATAGACCCTAACTTCTGGAACACACGTTTGCACACACACACACACATACACACACACACACAGACACACACACACACACTTCGCTCCACACAGAGCATGGGCCTGCCCAGGCCCCAGTCTCTGGAGGTGCAGGGTCAGTAGACTGACACACGGCTCACTCCAAGAGCTCCATCAGCTCATGGAATGGAGCTTTGTGACCTATGCGTGAGGTATCTATGGCAACAAGGCTCCAACACCAGATGGAACCATTCTGGACCACTTGAATGCAGAAGCCAAGATAGAGATGGAGAATTCTAACCGTGGGGAGCCATGAATGAAGGAGGCAGCTGGGCCTGCAATTAAGATGACCCTGGAGAGACACAAAGGAATGCCCTCGGCTTCTAGAACATTCTATCACTGGAAATATTCAGCCAAAATGCCCACTGAACTGAGACTACAGCCATCCCATGGGTTCCCTATAAACTGCTCATCTACCTGGAAGCCCCATGTGTGTTACCAGCAATTAAGCATCAAAACCTTCTAAGCCAACGCTGGCAGTGGAGTGGAGGACTCCACAGGCAGGCTAGTTCAGAGAAACAGAAAGGCGAAGGTGAGGGATGACTTCCTTTCCAGGGCTCATCACACAAGTCCCTGGGGTAAGGGAATCCATAAGTCAAGTGCCCGCAAGCCAGTGCCTCCCTGTCAGAGAGATGACACGCTGAGGAGGAGCAGAATCCCAGAAGAGGACCAAGAAGCTGGTGACTAGGGGAAACCTGGAAGGTATCTCAGTATGTTTACTGCTCAGCTTATAGCTGCAGCCTAACAGGGCCATTCTCCAGTGGCCTGTGCAGCCTAGAATGCCTCTAAGACACCAGTAATCCCACAGCGTGGGTGCCTGTCATTGGACAAGGTCATGTAGCAAGTGGCTGACATGAAGTGTGGCCATTTTCCTGTGCTGGAGTGAGGGCTCGCCCATGTGCCCAGGTGGGTATGGGAAAGAGAAGAAGACAAAGGACCAGTGAGAAGAGTCAGCCTTCCTTTGGGAAAGCATGAAGGTCATCTTTGGATGAAGATTCCACTCCAGGAAGCTCCAAATAAAAGAAAGCAGAGACAAGCATGAAGCTGGGAGTGGTGACTCATGCTTTAGTCCCAGCATTTGGGAGGCAGAGGCAGGCAGATCTCTGAGTTTGAGGATGGCGTGATCTACTGAGCAATTTCCAGAACAGCTAGGGCTACACAGAGAAACCCTGTCTCAAAACAGAAAAGAAGAGAGAGAGAGAGACAGAGAGACAGAGAGACAGAGAGACAGAGAGACAGAGAGAGAGAGAGGGAGGGAGGGAGGGAGAGAGAGGGGGGAGAGAAAGAGAACAGAGAATTCAGAATCCACCATACCATCTATAGAATGTGGCCCTGCTCTCAGCCTCTTGGAAATGACACTGCCCAGAAAAGCCAAGGCTGGCTCATCTGGGACACTTGTCAACATTTCATCATGAGCCTTCTAATGGTGGCAGCATTGCATCCACCCACAGCTTAGGAACTCACTACTATGGCCATAGACCCTCCTGAACCCTTTAGCCTCACCAGGAGAGAGTCCCAGACTGAATACAGCCAAGCTCAGAGACAGAGAGACACCGTTGCTGGAGGATGTGGGTCTTGGTACCAGCCCTGCTTCTCTATTGCCTAGACATGTCAGCATCCACACAGGGAAGTGAGGGTGGTACCTAGGCACACCTTCAAAGCTATTAATACACTTATGTGTAAGGCCCAGCTCCCGATGGAACTGCTCCACATGTCCTCAAGAGGGTGGCAACTCCCATTGGGGGGTTGTTCATTTACTTTTCTTGCCCCCTCTTCATCACTGGGAATGGGCATCTGAGTCCACTTCACTTAGATGCACTGACCATGTCACACAGCTCTCAGCACAAGCAAGAGACCTCGCACCTATCTACTGAGGGGCATCTGGGACCCAGAGGCATAAAATGCCCATCAAATTCCCACCGCTAGAAAGAGAAAACAGTCAGGCTTGAATTGGTATGGTATCCTGGGAGGCCTTCTGCCCATCACACCAGCTAACTAACCCTCACTCTCCACAGCAAACTCTTGATGAAAAGAGGATGCTGCAGCCCAGAGAAGGTAAGTAATTTCCCCGAGGTCACAGAGCCACTGGGAACAAGACAGGCTGGGTAACAGTTCCTGGTTGGAGTCTTGAGAACCGGACAGGAATGCTGCATGGGAGTGGCGATGGGGAGTCTGTCCTCAAGGACGCCCCGACAGAAATAGGGTGGCTTTGGAAGATAACCCAGAGGGCTCAGTGTATCCCCTCACCACGTGGCCCACCCTAGCGGGACAGGACTCACTTCTTCTGCCTCTTCTCCAGCTCATGGTTCCTGCTCTGCTGGTTCTCCAGCAGCACGTGGGTGTCCTCCAGGTCCCAGGTGAGGTGGTGGCACTTCCTCTTCAGCTGGTGAGCCGTCTTCTTGGCCTCTTCGTAAGCGTTCTGCAGCTCCCCGAGCTATGGGAAGAGGGGAGTCAGAGGCTCGTGGGCGCATCCATCTCCAAGGCCAGCTCCATGGAAGGAAATGGATGCTGGGAGAGAGAGGACCTTGGAGGAGTTCCTGTTAGCTCCAGGAAGCTGCTTCCCCAAGCTCCCACTTTACTGGGAGGTAACACGGTGCGATTCCATCAGCCCCTTGATCATCTCTCTGCTTTGCCTCAGCCAACTTCCTGCCCCTACCTGGAATTCATGTTTCCCTGCCCTGCCTCAACTCAACACTTGAACTGGCAGGAGATTGACCGGTCTATCATCTGGAGAGGCTGCTGAGGGTTAGCTGAAGTGTCACCAAGAGGGCATTCCTAGCCGATCCAAGCAGGCACCCAGAGGCGGCCCCACAAGAGCAGGCGCCAAATGGTCCCTGGTGTGGGCTGAAGCTCACAGCTCACTCTGGACTGTGAGCAAACAGGCGCGAAGCTGCCTGCATCTTCCCCAGAATGAGGCTCCCCACCTCAGTGTCCTAGTTTAGATGTGGGGAAGAGGGGGGCTCCGCACGCACACTTTGAAGAAGTAGCCTCGTTAAAAGGCTGCTTTAAATAAGCAAAACTCCCGAGTTAATGAGGCCTGTAATTCTAAATTCAGTATTTGAAGCAAATGGGATGTTTTCTTATGTTCCGCTGCTCGGAGAAGGTTGCAGGTTTATGACTTTTTAATGTACTATGAGCATCCCCCTTCCTTAGGGAAAGTGACCCGGCTTTGTAATTTGTTATTACAGGCTCAGGCTGCCTCCCTCTTTGTCACCCTGTGTGTGGATGCCCAGGATGTCTCTTAAGAGCCACAGTGCTGTGTCCATCTTAGAAGTGACTGTTAAAAGCTCCACTGGCATCACCTTGGGGTGATCACCATACCTCTCTTCCACGGTGATCTCGCCTTAGCCCCCTCCATAGGATATCATAGTTTGTTTTCCTCTCACATTGAAAATATACTAACAGGATCAACAAATAGAAGCCTTCACCATGTGGCTCTTACAGAGAATTGGAGAGACCAAGAAATACAGATTCCTCCACACTGCGGGGTGTATCACAGACTCAGGGAGAATGGCCAAAGGATTCCCTCCTTAGGCTGTGCTGGCCAAGGTTTTAGAGAGACTGGCATTTGAGGTCTTAGGCTAGGGTGAGGATATGCAGAACAGAAGAGAGCTACCCTGGGAACCATTGCCACAGCAGATGCAAAGGCCCTGGGCTGAGGAAGAATCGAGCATTTGGGGAAGAGGACATCAGAGCAGCGCCGGGATGGGCTCATGAGGCTCAGATCTTCCAAATTCATCCTCCTGACAAATTGAAAGTGACCATTTCATCCTTTCAGACAGAGATTCTTGTGACTGGGGCTTGTCTTGAACTTGCAAAGAAACCAAAGCCTCAGATGTCTAATCTTCCTGTTTCTACCTCAAGTGGGAGGGCACCAGGCACAAGCTACCATGCCTGGCTCAGCATGATGTTTCTGCCATGGAAACTGGCCCACGGGGTACACTGTGGGAGTCTGGGCCATTTGCCTTCACCCCATGGGTAGAGTGCAAGCGGCAAGCCAAGAGACCAGACAGTCACAGGAAACGTTCAGACAGGAGGACAGAAGGTGCCATGACATTGCTAACAGTAAGATTTGCTCTCAGGAAAGAAATGGAAGTTGGGCCTGGTGGTGCAGACCAGTCATCCCAGCTGGCTGAGGAAGGAAGATCACAAGTTCGAAGTCACCCTGGATAACTCAGCAAGAGACCATCTCGAGCACAGTGGAAAGGAAGGCAGTGATAAGTAGCTTCATGGCAGAATGCTTGTCTAGCTCACACAGGGCAAGGCTGTGTTCAGTCTCCAGCACTAAGAAATAAAAGGGGGTGGGGCGGGGGAGTGGGGAATTCCAGAAGGTTGGCACATAGACGGGGCAATAGAGATAGACAGTAACAGCATCGTGGCAGCCTTGCCAAAGGTGAGAGCTGTCACCAGATCCCGACATCTCTGCAAGGAGGGGCGGACGTGTGGATAGACAGACAGACCCAGGAGATGAACCTTGGGCTTGGACCCTCAAAGAGAGGCACCCGGAGAGGAGGAGAAGATGAATGGGACATCCGAGCCTGGCCTGTGGTAGGGATGATTGAAGCCCTGGATGGGGGAGGAAACAACTGCAAGAAATCTAGCCCAGGCCTCTTCCAAGTGTATTTCTGACTGGGGATCCCTCTGTGGTGGTTTGAATGGAAGCGGCCCCCGTGGGTTCAGAGGGAATGGCACTGTTAGGAGGTGTGACCTTGTTAGGGGAATTGTCACTGGGGTGGGGTAGGAGGTTTGAAAAGCCCAAACCAGGGCCAGTCTCCCTCTCCCTGTCGCCACCTGGGGATCAGGATGCTGCTCACAGCTCGAGCTCCAGCACCCGGCTCCCCACCATCATGCTGACAATGGACTAAGCCTCTGAAACTATAAGCAAGTCCCCAGCTGTATGCTTCCTATTAAAAGAGCAGCCTTGGTCGAGTGTCTCTTCACAGCAATAGAACACCGACTAAGACAGCGGGACAATTCCAAGGACACACTGTCCTTGACTTTACAGACCAGATCCTAAGGCCCACCTGCCAGTGATGTCTGCTGGAGCCAGACCGCTGACACAGATCTAGATTCAAGGCAGGTGGGCACCCTTCCCTCAGAACACACTCCCTGTGTCTTACAGGACTGCGTTTATTCCAACAGTAGAGGTTCCAGCCCCTCTTTTCCCAGGACAACACAGTGGCCTCTCACAATGGAGGGCAGATGGCACCACTTCCGGGGGCCTCAGGGTCCTGCCCCTCCCCCTCCTCTCACCTTCTGCTCCACCTCTGTGCGGGCCTTCATCTCTGAGTCCAACCTCTCCTCACACTGCTGGAGACGCTTGCGCAGGAAGTCATTCTCCATCTGAGCACAGTCCAAGCGCATCTGCCACTCGTCGGCTATTTGACAGGGTCGAAGACTGGTGAGCGGGGTGACAGGCGTGGGTTTCCCCCCACTCCTTAGCCCTGTGTTTGCACAATGCTCACAGCCCCTGAGCCTCGGCCTCAGCTTCGGGGTAAGAACTGAAGTCCAGTTAAAGAAAAGGCCGGAGCTGCCTCCAGGCTGCCTGGCCTAACCACATCCAACTGTCTAGAGTGCTGACCTCACTGATGTAAGGGCTGGGTCCCTTGCGTTCTGCAAGATGCCCAGATGTTTCTCCCATAATCTGTAAGGCAGGGAGCTCTCTGGTCACTAGTGTTTCCCCAACATCATCTTGAAGTTTTCCAGACAGAGGGAGGGTACACTTTCTAGCTGCCAGCAAATCAGCAGAATCATGGGGCAAGGAGAGTCATACTCTTGGCTGCAGGCTAGATAAGAAGACTTATCATTGATTTGGGGTTGAGTTACTAGATAACTGAATGGGTAAACATTCAATAAACTTGGCCACAAGGTGCCCTGGGAGATGTTATGACTACTAAATCCCTTGATTTGTTTTTTTTAATCATGTGTTTGAATTGAAAATGTCTGGCTGAACTGGAGCTTATGGTGTCTCATCTTTTGATAACCAAACAAGAGAGTACTGTTCCTTACGTTAATGAAGCTGGGCAAGCATCCTAAGGAATCATCAGTCCAAGTCCTTATCATCCATCTACACCCATCCACCTGTCCATCCATTCGCTCATTAGTTCACCCAGCCATCTACCACTCATCCATCCACTGACTCATCCATTTGCCTACCCATCATAAACCCACACATCCATCTATCAGCCCATCATGCACTGCTTTTTACCAGTACAGGAGATAATTGCACTAAAAACAAGTCATTTCTACTCAGCTTCTAGCATAATTTAATTGGAGGGAGAAACATGTTCAGAGAGAGCCACAAACTAGTTTTATCCTGGGAAAACTTATGAGAATCCAGAAAACGGGCTCATATCCACAAGGACTATCCTAGGACATACTGTGATGTTGAGCATATGGTTAAGTGCAACAGAGTATTAATTTGATAGATAGATCGATAGATAGATGATAGATAGATAGATGGATGGATGGATGGATGGATGGATGGATGGATGGATGGATGAAGGGATAGATGGCTGGGTGGATGGTAAGATGGAAGACTAATGGGTGTATGGTTGATGAGTAGGTGTAATGGTGGATGTTAGGGTGGGTGGATAAGTCGGTGCATACATAATGGGTTGATGGGTAGGTGGGTGGATGGATGGGTCAATGAGCAAGTTGATGGATGAGTGAATGATTTAATCAGTTTGCACAGCAGTGCCCTGAATTATCCATTCACCTATTTCCCGGCTTTCTGTAATTAGCTATTTGAGTGTAAAACCCGCCAAAAATTCTTCTGTGGCCCCCAGTGTTCAGCCTGGTGCTGGATGTGCATTATAAAAGACTTGCTGTAAATATGAAGTGGGCATAAAGAAAGTCATGCTTTCGTTGTGATGCACAGAGGCAGCCGAGAAAGCTCAGCAGTGGTGGGTGAGCGTGTTTTATCAGCAGTGGTGGGTGAGCGTGTTTTATTGCCTATTTCAACTTCCCTGTACTTCTTGAGGTTTCATGTAAAGGGTATGAGTGACTTTCTCAATGAAAAGCAGATTATCTGTGACCTGGCTTCCCAGACTGCACCTCCAGAGCTGAGCACCTGCTCCATGTAACGGCGGGCATGCCTGTGAGCAAAGTGTATCTCCACATCATCAGCCCCCTGGTGACTGCAGAAGAAACACACCTGAGAAGCCTCGTCCAGGCATGTCTTGGATGAATGACGCCTGTTCTGGGATGCCTCTGGGGAAACTGTGCTATCCCACACAGTTGCCTCTGTATTAACAGGCCCCTCGCTCCCATGATTGAGTCCCCAGGCAGTGTGCATGACTGGGTCACAGCGGAAACACATAGTGCCACCTGCCTCTGACTGCACGGTGCCTCTGAGAGTCAGTGTCAACCCCTCGGTGTGTAAATGGGGTTGATGTGAGAACAAGTAGGGCCCGGTTCCTCATGATGATAAGGTAGCTGATGTCTACACAGCACTCTAAATGGCCCAGCACTCCCCAGTCATCATCTGGGACCACCCGCACTTGAAGGTAGGGGATCTGAGACTCAGTGAAGGCTGTGAGTGACACAATATGATTCAAGCACAGAGGTGCAACTTCTTGGACTCCACTCAGGGTTGTCCTCATCCAAATGTGCGCTTAAGACACAGGAATAGCAGACTGCCTAACACATGGACACCAACTCTTCTTGAGTGAGTGTGTGTGCAGCTGTGGGGGGTGCACATGTGTGTGTATCTATGTGAGCATGGAGGCCAGAGGTCAACCTTGAGTCATGGCTCAGACACCATCCACCTTTTTTTTTGGTGAAACGGGGTCTCTCACTATCCTTGAGACTCATGAATTAGGCAAGGTTGGTGGCCAACTAGCCCTGGAGAATCTCTATCTCTGCTTCCCCATCGCACCTGGCTTTTAGTGAGTATCAGGGGTCATTCCTGAAGCTGGCATGGCAGGCACTTTCCCAAATGAGCCACCCTTCCAGCTCTTCCCTGTTTTTAAATGTGGTCCTTCATCCACGTAACACCTCTCTCGGTGATGATCAGTTTTCACTGTGAATCTGGGCAGACAGCAAAGTGGCTGTTATCATGGACTGTAAGCTGCCCAAGGGCAGAGCTGTGCCTATTGGCCTTGGCAGATGTAGCGTCAGTGGGACATACGTGCTCGGTGCACACTCATGTACAAATGAGTCCCTGGCTGCTCACCTCCTCCTGCGTGCTTCTCTTCAAAGCTGGCCAGCTGGATCTTCTGCTGTGCCTCTTCCAACTGTTTCTGTACGGCCCCCAATGCCTCCTGCACCTGCTGGTACTTAGCCTGGAAGGAAGGCTTGATGATGGCTGGGGTTTGGAAACTATGGAGTCTATACTCTCGACCCTAGGTTTTCATGTGTCGAGAAACTAGTCCTCCACATGGCACTGTGAAAGGTGAGATCCCGTGGAGGTCTGGAGTCACTGGGGCCCAGGAAGGAATTCCAGTGCTTCCGTGAGACCCTCACTATAGTTCTCACAGAGGGTGTTATAAATGGAGGAACCTTCTATCTGGTTCAGTGATCTTTCCCTCCTGTCATGATGCCAGCTTCTCTTAGGCTTTTACCAAAGGCTGAGCCAAGGCCTTTAGCCTACAGAACCATGGACTAGCTTGTTTTATGAAGCACTTTGAGGTATCTTGTAGTCATGAAACTGGCCCAAACTGGCCCGAACCGACAATTTCACATGTGACCATCCAAAGCCAGGGTTTGGTCACCTGTTTCACATTCACTTGTGAGGCAAGAATGGTATCCCCTGTGCTTTTCCCACCGAAGGGTCCTCCAAGGTTGTGGGTTTGTCACACATATCATGACTCCACTGTCAAACATATTATGCCTCCATTGCCAAGGTTGCTACCCACAGCACCTCCCAGGCCTTTGCCTTGGGAATTGTCCCTAGGAGCCAGGGCACAAAAGTCAGTTAGCCGGTGGATCTCAGTTGGGCAGACAGGTCCTAGTAACCAGTAACTACTAGTAACCGGGCCATACCACTTCTATTCACACCTCTAGATCCCATGAGCTCTCACCTTGAGCTCCTGAACCTCCCGGAGTGCCTGAAGACGCTCTGCCCGCTCACTCTCCAGTGCCTGGCAGGCCACGTCACCTTTGAGGCGTTCATCAGCAAGCTCCGAGGTCAAGTCTGTGATCTGAGGAAGAGAAACCAGGAGGCAGCTGACTCTCTTCCCTGCTATACACAGCACACGGCACAGGACCATCCAAGGACAAACCACCACTGGGGAGAGGAGAGGCGATCCTGCTGCATAAACAAAAGGCTTGCGGCCTTGCAAATGCTCCATGGGACTGGGACAGTGACCTTTACAATCCAGAACATTCAGGGCCACACTGCTAACCACCTCCCACCCTGGGGATTGGCCTTGATCTTAAGCAGGGGCACCATGATGGCTCGCTTAGACAATTAGCGTGAAATTTAATTTGTGCTAATCAGCCTGAGCATGGGGAGCACAAAATTAATTTAATACATTAATTTTGAGTCTCATGGAACTCACAATCTGGAGCCCAAAGGACAGCCGCTTCTTCCAGCTACAGGAGACTACCTGATGCTCTGATGTGGTCAAGTCTACACAAACCTTCCCATTCCTCCTCCCCTCCTCCCCTTCCCCCTCCTTCTCCTTCCCCCTCCCTCCCTCTCTCCCTTCTTCTTCCATCCTTTGTCCTGCCTGGAAGCATAGGCAGAGGCTCTGTCTATGGAGAGGAGGAGGAAACCCCACACTCAGAACTATGAAAACCAATTTAAAGATGGGTGATCTGGCTTGCAAACTTCGCGGAGCTTTTACAGATGTCAGGAAATTGCTTTGACAGCCCTCCCCAGATCCACCATGTGCTGGAATCAGCAGAAATGTCCTTTCCGCTTAGGGACAATGGCTCCTGAGGACAAGCTGGACAGAAGGGAACAGGAATGGCTACCTGCTTTTATAGAGTCTAAAAGCAAGTGGTCCAAACTGGTGGCACCAGCTGGTTACCCTGGCAACCCAGAGACTGAGGCAGAAGAACCATGTGCTCAAGAACAACCTGAGTGAAACAGGAAGACATTGTCTGCAAAAGAGGGTGGGGTGGGCAGCTCAGTGGTGGAGTGCTCATGGAGCGTGTGCCAATCCCCAGTATTGAGGAAAAAGCATCTGGCACAGTGTGCAGCCCAGGTCAGATACTAAAAGCTGAACACAGCTGGGGTTATGGCTGTCATTATCTGTGGATCCTACAGGCATTATGTGCACACCTACTGTGTGTCAGCTTTATGTGAGGACACACGGGGGTAATTAGAGATGAGTAACTACTGGGGACGCATATCTTAGCCTTCCCCTGCCTTCAGGTCTGACTTTCAAAGATTCTCAAACCTGGGAAGAACCTGGGGGAGGTGAATGGAGAGAAGAGGGTTTTCTCAGATACAGCCATGCAGGGGGGCGTGGCTAGTGTTCTGCAGAGGGCAAGTGATTGACAGCAAGCAACTGTGTGTGTCTGCACGTGTGTATTAATCTCATCTCACAAATATATATATTATATATGTATATATAATGTCTCTGTTTCCCTCTGTCTCTGTGTGTGTATGGTATCTGTGTGTGTGTGTGTGTGTGTGCATGTGCGTGCGCACACACCCATTCACAGACACCTGTGTGGCAACAGAGAACAACCTTAGGTCTCTTTGTTGTTTTTCTCTGTTGGGTTTGCTGTGGATGCCAGGCTACCTGACTTGAGAACTCCTGGGCATTCTGGTGTCCTTGCCTGTCATCCTCCAGTGGGAATGCTGGGATTATAGATCCTGTGTTATACATCCAGTTCTTACATGGGTTCAGGGATTCAAACTCAGGTTGCATGCTTGGTGGCAAGAGCTTCTCCCCACTGAAACCGTCTCTCCGGGTCTTAATTCCCTTGTTTCAGCACAGTCAACAGACAGGACTTAAATGTCCCCAACACAAATCCACCATCAATGTCAACAATGTCGAGTGTGTGGTCACTGTGTTCTGGCCTATGTGTGTGTGCTGTGTGTGCGTTGACATGCCACACTCTTCCCCATCAACAAGAATGATTGGTCTAGGACTGGCACGTGGGTGCAGCCATGATCCTGTGACAGGTTAGCCCCCATCCTATAGGGAAGAATAAAATAAATTTATGGCCTCAAGTTGAGGCTGTGGGTGACAGAGGACTTGGGTGAGCAGTGTTGGGTGGACCCTTCTTCCTGAATGTACGCCAAGGCTGGTGAGTCACCTCCATGTGTCCTGCTCTTAGGACCCCTCTGCCTGTGTCCTGCCATTTCACACTCCATGAACTAGATCTTAGAAAAACCCCAGAGCTTAGGAAGAAAATTTTCCACCCAATATGTATCTCCAGGAGCTCCTGATCCTCACAGCAATGTCCCCTTAGATGAAAGTGACAGTGTCCCTGTGAACACAAGAGCTCCTCTCATGGGGCAGCCTCTCCCTGGCTCCCATGCCCGCTGCTTCACTGTAGATGGGCAGTTAGATCCCACTGCAGTAACTGTCCAGTAAGTCAGGCCACGATTCAAGCTGCTGCCCCGCCCGCTAAGACAAAGGGGTGGGGTGCAGCGGCACAGATGTGTTTGTGATGCCTGGTCATGATCAGGGTCATCTGGTCCCCAAATGGTAGGACAACAGAGCCACACAGAAAGCTGAGCATGCTCTCTGATCCATGGCCTTGTGACTCTGTGCGTCCTAAGGAGAAGGAATCCCTGCAATATCTGAGAACTTGCTTTATAAAAAGGAGGAGTTCTGGGACCACCCTAAGCCTGGATTTAACATTGCTAAGTTTGGGCTCTGTGCAGGTGTTTCAGAGTCACCCCAAGCCTGGGCTCAGTATCACTAAGTCTGGGGTCTGGTGGTGTCTGATCTATTAGGCTCTATAGGGCCCTGCCCCAGATTCCACAGTAAGACCCACTAGTCTGCCACGGGGTCATCTCAGAGCTGGTCAAAGAAGCAGGTGATGGTGGGGATGCCTCCTGAGTCAAACTTTCCACAGATGGGGCTGGGAGAGCGACAGCCTGGTGCCTTGCTGGCTCCTCAGGCAGGACACCCATGCAAACCAGTAATAGTTATTTTCCAGCAGGAAGATTAGCACCTTTCTTCAAATAAATCGTTACGTGGCGCCGGATGCCGCCACCGTCTCCAAACCTCACTGACAAGATGCACTTCTCTGGGATTGGAGATGAAAGAGGGGCACCGGCAGTGGGTATCAGATGTTGCTGATTAAAAACTTGGTCCCCACTGACTGTCACAGTCTCAGAAGGTGCTACACAGGGCACTGGGGCTGACGGGGGAGTTGCCAACCAGCGTTGAAATCTGCAGGCTACAATACTGACCTGCCAGGCAAGATGTGCCCACAGGAGCCATAGTGGCAGGAAAAGTTAAGGGGTGACCGGTGGCTTTCTGATTAGATCCAAGGTCCGCTCCCAGGGAACATACTGATACTGTAAATGGAAACCCATGGCTGGGGAGGACCAGAGTGTTGCTGGAGGCTTCTTGTCCCGCCAGGTCCCGTCGCCCTTCAGCACCCAATTAAACACATGGACGCTATATTAATTATTAAACTGTTGGCTGATAGCAAGGGTTTCTTATTGGCTAGCTCTTTCTTAATTATTAACCTGTTCCTATAAATCTATGTATTTCCACGTGGTCTTGGCTTACAGGAGAATGCCCGGACCTGTTACTCTTATCATGGCTACATGAGTCCTCTCGGTCTCTCTCTGCCTACCTTTCCCAGAATTATTCTTGTCTCCTAGTCCCACCTATCTTCCTGCCTCTACTAGCCAAACAGTGTTTTATTCATAAACCAATAAGAGAAACATGTATACAGAAGAATATCCCCCATCACCAGAGAGAAGGGACAGGAGAGGAAGGAACAATGTCCTTCATCTTGTGAGGCTTCCTGGACCATGCACTACTATGTCTTCATGGTCAACTGCACTATGAAATTGAGAGCCTCCTCTGTTTTTCAGTCTAGCATGGTACTACAAAAATGCTTCTACAGGACCAGTGAGATGACTCAGCAGGTAAGGATTCTTGCTACCAAGGCTAATGGTCTGAATTCAAACCCCAGAACCCACATGAGAGAAGAAGGGAGGCACCTCTCCTTGTCTTGTTGCAGGGGAGGGGGGAATTAGCATCTAACATAGTGGCATTGCGTGCTGCAGGGCACTGGCCACTTATCTATGTGACACCAGCTTGTTCGCCCACAGTAATATCAATTTGCATTCCAGAGATGTGGAGGCAGCCACACACCCTTGCCAACCCTCCCCTGCAGCCCTTCTCCATTCTGCCTGTCTGAACCCTGAAGTGGCTCTTAGCAAGGCATTGATTTGCATTTCCTGATTGCTACTTAGATTGGGCCTCTTCTTGGGAGTCTATTTGCACTCTTGAGCATGCAGATCCTTGAAATAAGACTCTCCCTGATGCCAGAACATCATGGAAGATGGGGGAGAAAGAATGTAAGAGTCAGGTGTGTGTGTGTGTGTGTGTGTGTGAGAAAGAGAGAGAGAGAGCCCATGCATGCGTATGTGTATGCGTGTGTGCACACGCGTGTGCAGGCATATTGTATGCGTGTGCATGTGTGCCTGTGTGTGAGCACACATGAATGTGTACATGTATGCATGTGTGTACGCACTCTGTACATGCATGCATTCATATGTGTATGCCTGTGTGTGTGTGTGTGTGTGTGAGCTCGTGCACATGCTGTAAAACACCATCTTCTGATTGCATTCATGAGCTCACAGCTTCTGTGCAACCTGCACAAGATCAATCCAGTCAATGTTCCAGAAGGGAGGAGTAGGGACTCATGCACACCCCCGCTGAGGCCCTATTGCTGGGAGGAAGAATCATTTTCTTTAGGGACATAGCTGTTGGTAAACTACATGTATTCCTGTAAGTGACCCCACCACACACAGAAATACACAGGCATGTGCACACACACACACACACACAGAGGCACAAACACACACACAAAGGCACATATACACACATGCACACACACAGGCACATTCAAACACATGCACACCTACACGCACACACCGGCACATACAAACACATACATACACACACACAGGCACACACACCCACACAAATGATGCTAATTAAATGTGGTAGACCACAAAGGAAGAACAAGAAAATAGGAGAGTACTTGATGGGAAGGAGTTCATAGGATTGGAAGAGGGTGAGCAGAGAGTATGATCAAAATAGATCATATGCATGTATGGGATTGTGAGAGATTACATTATCAGAATACATGTGTTTGGAGGCTTGAGAGACAGCTCAGTGATTAAAAGGACTTTCTGCTCTTCCAGAGGATCTGAGTTTGATTTCCCAACACCCATATCTGAAGACTCCCAACTGCCTGTAACTCACACGCCAGGAAATCCAGCACCCTCTTCTGGTCTCCTTGGGCACTGCACTCACATGTACCAATCCACACAGAGCTAATTTAAACATAAAAGTACATTTTAAGTAAAAAGTTTATCATCAACCTTGGCTACACCATTCAAGGCTGTATAAGATGCACCTCAGAAAAGAACAATTCAATAGAGAATATCTGGTCAGTAGAAATGTAAATAGTAGGCAGCAGGAAAGGAGATCTCACAGTGAGGCTGGGCTTCTCATTCATGTGTACTGCATGCTTCCTGTAATAGCCTTTAAATAAATCATCAATAATTTGCGGAAAGGCAAAAAGGAAGCAGCCAGCCTACCCTGGGAACCATCTGTCCATATTTTGGTCAGTGTTTATTTTCCCCAAGTGGAGGGTTTGTCTCCTGGTGGACTAAAACAGGTTCTCTGAATGGGACTCTACCCATAACATGTGGTGACATGTGTGACAGCTTTGACTCCATGTATTTATCGGTGTTTATTATGTCTTCACTTCACACTCTAATCAACAGCCTCCCCTTATTTTGGCATGGTGAGGTGTCCCTTTACCCAACACAGCTTTCTCATGTCATGGCTTATGTAGGGAGCTTTTTCCTCTTTGGGACAAAGTAGCATTGTCTGGTTGTGTGGGGTCAGGAAGATGCCAGTGTGCCAGGGCCTCACTTTCCTCCACCATAACCGTAAAATGGGTACCATAGCTGCCAGAGGATCGTGGTCTGTGGCACAAGGCCTCTCTCCCCTCAGCAGATGCTCAGGGAGTCCTGGTGGGTGGCGGATGGCCCCTCTCCCCTCAGCAGATGCTCAGGGAGTCCTGGTGGGGGGCGGATGGCCCCTCTCCCCCCAGAAGATGCTCGGGGCATCCTGGTGGGGGGCGGATGACCTACCTTGCTCTCCAGCAGGTCTGTGCTCTGTCTGAGCTCACTTCTCGACTTCTCTGACTTCTGCAGCTTCTGCCTCAGCAGTGTTAGCTCCTCCTGCAAGACAAACACCCATGTGGAAGCTGCCTAGGATGGGCCTTACGGTCCACTACTGCTAGGAGAAGTCTCAGGGGGTCAGGCTTCAGGGACAGGCAGCAACTTAATGAGCTCTTCAAGGGCTACAAGGATGTCCGTGCAGTCTGCATTTGCTGGAAGTATTTGAAGTCATCGTGTCATGTTAGTTGGGTTCATCACTCCACATACACGTCATGGCATCAAGACTCTACATCCCACCCCATAAAGTATTTTTTAATTACAAAGACTTTTTAAAAAAAGAGTGGCTGGCGGTGGAATGGTTATCAGTCAGCACACCTGTGCTGTCACCCAAATGTCACTTCTCCTTTACCATTTCCAAATATCAACATCTCTGCTCTTAGGAATCCTGGTCTTCATAGCCTAGTCTAGGGACTGAGTGCACAACTCCAGATGGGGACAATGCTCAACCTCAGACTGTGTGTGTGACTGTGCAGAAGGCATTCAGCACTTCATCTTCATAAGGGTCACCCTTCCCCCAGGGGCAGCTCTCCAAGCCTGTGATGCCATCATTGGAAGGAGTAGCGGGTGGCAGAATGATGTACCATCTGTGAGCATTGGGAAATACTATACTGCACTGAAGAATGAATTTGGGCTCCCTGAAATGCCCCTGTGGATATTCAGGATAGATTGGCAAGAGCATTGCACATGCTTCACGGGTTACACCTCACCCAAAGTGCCTGGGATCAAAGTGCCCAATTTCAGGCTCTTCCCAACTTGGGGACATTGGCATAGATTTTGTCAATGGTTATTTATAGGCGAAGGATGCATGGCCTACCTCATGTTTACTGTTTGTGCAAGAAATAAAAGACCCTTGTGCATAACTTGGTCATTTTTGTAACAAAATAAACATCAGAAAGTGCATACCAGAAGCTGTCCAAAATAACCGTCCACATGAGGGATGTGTGTATGTGAGTATGCATGCGTGTATGCATGTGTATGAGTGTGTGTGCATGTGCATGTGTGCGTGCATGTGTGGTGTGTGGTAGTGTGTATGTACATATGTGTATGTGGGGTGTGTGTGTGAATGTGCATGTGTGTAGTGTACATGTGTGTGGTGTGTGTGCATGTGTGTATGTGTGTTTGTGTGTATAGGCATGTGTGCATTGTATGTGTGAGTGTGCATGTGTGTGTATGCATGTGTGTGAGTCTGTGGTGTGTGCATGTGCATTGTGTGCGTGTGTGGTGTATGGGTATGCATACACATGTGTTTATGTGTAAGTATGTGTATATGTAAGTGTGAATGTGTATGTGTGAATGTATATGTGTGAATGTATATGTGTGTTTGTTTATGTGTGTATGTGTATATGTATGTGAGTGTGTATTGTTATATTTATGCATGTGTATTGTGTGTATGTGTTTATGTGTGTTTGTATATATGTGTATTGTGTATGTGTGTGTTTATGTGTGTTTGTATATATGTGTATTGTGTATGTGTGTGTTTATGTGTGTTTGTATATATGTGTATTGTGTATGTGTGTGTTTATGTGTGTTTGTATATATGTGTATTGTGTATGTGTGTGTTTATGTGTGTTTGTATATATGTGTATTGTGTATGTGTGTGTGTTTCTACGTGTGTATGGGTGTGCGTGCTCGTGTGTGTGTTGGGGATAGAGAGATGACAAGGGTTTCTCTGAGAGTTGCAAAGAGGTTGGAATGGCCCACGTGACCCAAGGGTGATTGGTACATTTGACCTGCACCGCAGAGAACAGTCATGTTTGGAGAACGCAGCTTCCATTGATGGAAGCCTCCAACCAACAGCATGGAGGACTGCTGAGTTGCCCATTGCTGCCCACAATGGCCCTGGGTGCTGGGTACAAGCTTTAAGGTGAGTGAGTGTCACCAGCCTGAGGCATGAACTTACCTCCTTAGCTTGAAGCTGCTCCACGCTAAGGGTGGGACTCAGTAGGGGCCGGAGAGATGCCAGAAGCCCCCACCATGGCCAGTCCTTGACCTCCAGGAACACAGCCAGATTTTTCTGGATGCACTGTGTGGCCAGCCTCCTGATCTGCAGAAGGAGAATGTGGGTGCATGAGAGTCTACCCACTTAGAAAAGAGGACAGGAGGACAGGCGGACAGAGGACAAAACAATGGAGGAAACAGGGCCACAGTCTCATGTCTATTCCAGGTCGTTTACAGCCCAGGCCAGCAGGGCGGTGGCCCACAGCTCAGTGAACTCTTCCACCTCCTCTAGGGCATCCCTCAGATGGGGTCTCATGGGGGTCGCACAGTCATGCATGTTCACCCCAGATCCACAACATCAAAATCTGCTGGTTGAGACAGCACAATACCTTCAGCTTCTTACATTCCTGGCGAGACAGAAAGCCCCTGCAAGCCGCTTGGAAGAGAACAATGTTCCGGGACACCAGCTTCTCTCGTTGCCTCTCCAGCCTGGAAACCACACCTGCCTTGAGGAAAACCTGGGGGTGCGGAGGGGAGGCACAGGTAAGGCCTCTGCCTAGCTGGGGGGGGGTGTCAGGGTGTGCCACACTGAACCATCTCTCTTCTCATGATGTAGCTGTGGCTTAATGAAATAGGAAGGATGGGAGTGGTCTGTCTTCCTGCAGCTCCTCCTCCTCCTGCCTCTAGCCCCTGTTTACCCAGCATGTTTCAGACATCGGTAGTAGGATGGATGCCACACTAGGGCTTTTATAAAGGCAGATTCTGGGACTGAGACGTGGCTCTGTTGGCAGAGAGCTTGCCTAGCAAGAAGGAAGTCCTGGAATCCATCCATATGTCATGAGACTATATGTGGACATCCCAGTACTTGGGTGGTGGAAACAGGAAGATCAGAAGTTCAAAGTCATCTTTGGCTAGTGGTGAGTTCAAAGCCAGCCTGGGCTACATGAGACACTGTTTCAAAACGAAAACAAACAAGCAATGACAAGAATACAAAGACAAAAGGAAGAAAAGGCCCTGCTGGACCACTGCCTGGATTCCACCCTGATTCTGGTGAAAAGTACCTTGGTTTGACAGTCACTACCAGCGCAGATGTGCTTAAAGTCCTCTGGGACAAGTTCACCCCTGGATGGTAGTAAACTCGAGTTGTGAGGCCTGGTCCCAGGCTCTCCTGAGCCCATGTACTTGGGCCAGCCCCCAAATGTTCATTTTTTGATCATTGACAAAACTACCTGAGAGATGGTGCTTAGAAACACCAAATTCGGCAGGGAAGGAGGGACAGAGGCTGTGGGAAGGGGCATCACCCTCCTGGCTTGTGCGCCCTTCCCCTGAGCTGCTCGGCTCCTGCCAGAATCCACACCTGCCAGGCTGCAGAGCATCAATAATGGATGAAGATGTTGGCGGTGCTGGAATCAACACTGCAGCACCCCATGGGGCGGTCCATGAACAGACTGCGGAGGATGGGATGCAAAGACTCAGAAGCCCAGGGATGTCTATCAGTAGAAGTCAAAAGGCAGCAGGTTCTGGGTTTGGGTTAAAGGGATTTATGAGACCTGAGGCTCTGCAGGCAGGGTGTGTTCAGTATACCCTTGGTCCTCCTTCCTGCATGCCAAGGAAAGATGTCTTAGTGATGCATTGACCCGACCCTGTGCATTTGCCAGAAGGACCCAAAGGTGTCATCTTCTCTTATGCCACTGTATAGCCCTGAGTTGGTGACATTGCCAACTAAAATACTGTTTACTGAGTGCTTAGAACAGACTAGAACTTGATAGGCAGGATCGTAGAGGCTTGCTATACTGATTCTCATTTCTGTTTTTGTTTGGTTTGGTTTGGTTTTTCCAGACAGAGTTTCTCTGTATTGCTTTGGAGCCTGTCCTGGAACTCACTCTGTAGACTGCACCAGGCTGGCTTCAAACTCACAGAGATCCACCTGCCTCTGCCTCCTGAGTGCTGGGATTAAAGGCATGCTCCATCACTGCCTGGTGATTTTCCCATTTTATGGAGGGAGAAACAAAGGCCTCCTCCACTCGAGGCTTTACCAGTGTGTGCCACCACACCCAGCTTCTTACACAGGGTTCTGGGATGGGACTTGGAGGTAAACACTTTAATGGCCGAGCTGTCTCCCCAGACCCCAGGGCATACACTTTTCAAAGCCCTTTGCTCTGTGTCCCATGTTGAAGCTCCAAATTGCCCCACTGTGGAAATCAGTAACCCAATTAATTCAATAGCTGGTGGCCCAGAAAACTGAGACTCGAACCCAGGACCTGGGTTCACACATCAGATGTTTGAATTCCAAAGGGAATTTTAATCTAACTGGAGCAAAGGTCCTGGCAAGCTCTCCACCCATTCTCAGTAAGGGGCCAATGAGATCATAAGCCCACAGGAAGGTGAGAATGAGCGCCTCTGAGGGGCCAACTGTTTCATGGGTCAGAGACTACTTGCTGTGACCCAAGGCCACCAGGAGGATCATCCTCACAGCATTAGAGACACCAGCCATTCCTGGCCCTCAGATTGCTCAATAATGACTGTATTAATTTCACAAGCTGGTGAGTCCCAAAAGCCACCATTAAAAAAAATCAATGATCAAAACGATGGCAGCGTATTTCACATATTACAGTCGGTGGCGGGCGCTGCCCAATCCAATATTGATTAAGTATGAGGCTTTCATTTGAAAGATAATTGGAAAGGACTGTGCACAGGGCGGGAGCAAGTCCACAGGCCCTTGGCTCTGCGGAGGCTAGAGTCTTGATCTGTGTCTTTATTTTTCCCCTTCCCTTTTTGAGAACATATTACCGGGCAGTCTGTCTACATGTGGAGTCACACTTGGTCAAAACTGTCAGGGCCGGCAGCACATGCCTTGATAAGGGGCCAGGGGCTGGGAAAATCACAAGGAGAAACCTAAATGATTCCCTTCTTGCAGGCTCAGCTGCTTGTGGGACCTGAGCAGAGAGGGACACCCTGCATCCCTCTTCCCAGGAATGCACCACACCAGGGCTCCCTGTTATTCTCGACTTAAAACCGCAAAAGCTTTTCAAAAGGTCTTGTTGCCGGGCGGTGGTGGCGCACGCCTTTAATCCCAGCACTCGGGAGGCAGAGGCAGGCGGATCTCTGTGAGTTCGAGGCCGGGCTGGACCGATAGCCTCCAAAACAATACAGAGAAACCCTGTCTCATAAAAACAAAAAAACAAACAAACAAACAAAAAAGGTCTTGTTGGGGATGGTTCCTGTGTACACGCTAGTGCCTCTCCTCGGGGTCATTTCACAGATTAGAGGATATTTTTAATATGTATTTGTGTTCACCTGTGTGAGTGTATGTGCACCACGCACATACAGGTGATAGTGGAGGCCAGAACAGGGCGTTGGGTCCCCTGGAACTGGAGTTGCAGGCAGCTGGCGAGCCACCATGTGGGTGCTGGGAACCTAACCCAGGTTCTCTGCAAGAGCAGCTCTTAACCACTAAGCTATCTCTCCAGCTCTGAGGGTTTTAAGTATTTAAATGTGACTTTCTCTGATAAATATATTTACCCCACTGGTAGATGTGTAAGGAACAGCAGTTTGGCCTAGGCAGTTGCTAAATGACCCAGGCAGGAAGCAGAGAGCAGGCTCCATGCTACAGATGTGGTAACTGAGACACTTGCCCGTTGGGAAGCTTCGAGCCTGGGCAGCGTCAGGGCAGCTGCTTCTCACTCTCCAACTGGATTTTTCTGTGGCTTCCCCCTATCAGTTCTAGGTTCTACAATGGCAAAATTTTGTACCTATCCCAAGAAACCCAGACTGGTGCTGAGCCTGGCTTCTCAGAGGTCACCTTGTCTCCATCACTCCTGGCAAATAACGAGTATTATGCCGTGACAATTACGTGTCGTTAGAGGAGGTTTAGGCTTCTCTGCTGCCAGCTCCTGCCACTGCAAAACCACACACAGTATCTTCTGTTCTCTCCCTTACTCTGCAGTGGCTGCTGGGGCTGTGGGGACCAATTTCTGTATTCATGAAATAACTGGGTAATTATCTAGCCCAGTGGTTCTCAGACTCCAGCATGCATCAAAGTCGCCCAGAGAGCCCGTGACAACAGCCACTAGGCTCTACCCTGCAGTTTCTGCTCCAGTAGGTCCTGGTGGAGTCTGAGGATTTGGGGTTTGTGCAAGCTCTTGGGCAATGTTCCTGTGGGTGGACTAGAGGGATAAAGTGGGTGGAGCTGGGGAACAATCCTTACCCCCACCCTGAGACAAAACTACCGGATCTGTGTGTGAACACACTGTCCACTTGCACCTATGAGCAGTGGGACCTGAGCCTGTGGGGAGGACCTTGGAACTCAGGAGCCTTCACTCCCTGTGGGGTCTCTACAAATAAGCGAGTTGCCCTGAGCACAGTCTGCTCATCTGGGAGGAAAAGACAAAACATGGAGCCATCTGGAAGTCTGTGGCTTGTGCTGAGAGTCCAGCTACCGGCTGGTGTATTCTTACTGTCAAGAGACAGCGGCAAAGGACCATGGGGGGCAATCCGGTCGCGCTCACAGTAAGGCCAGAGTGAGATGTTAGTGAGCAGTGGGCAGTGGGATGGCTGAGAACTCGCCAAGGAGAAGACATCTGTAAGAAGGTTCCATGACCACGGTGTCTACAGGGAGAGCAGAGTCCTTCCCCGGGGCCTCATGCACACCTGAAGTTGGGGGTCTGATCACTCAGGTTAGCCGGCTGTACTTAACCTGTGAGGAGCCGCACCTTGCCAATCTGGGATCTGAGTTTGTCTCTGGTGTCCTGCCCACCACTGGCCTGGCTCTTGAGCTTGAAAACCTGTGCCCACTCCCCAGGCAGCTTCCAGAGCTGGTAACGAGTATGCCACAGAAACAAAAGACTGAAGGCTCTGGGGTCAAAGAATTTGGGAACCCTAAAACACCATGCTTCCTTTCTTGAAAATACAGCACAGGGGTATTCTGGGGAAGCACAGAGATGTCTGTAAACATCTCAGCAGATGGGGAAGAGCTTTGAACTACAACCCCCTTTGCTATCTCTGCTCAGGTCATCCCATACCCTTCTGAGACTATTTCCTCCGCCTCCATCCACTGACTGCAGTGGACTTCCGAGGACTAGGGCTGTGTGAGAGCCACTTGCAAAGGAGATTGTAAGAGATCACGTCTGTAGAAGCGTGTTTCCTTCTGATACAGGGTAGACATGCAGTTCGACCATGAGGAAAACCACATGCAACTTGACAGTTGTCTCCTGACGGCCAGAGTACCTTTGTTGTTAGGGGTCCTGGATATTTAACGGTCAGGCATCAGTCCACACCGTGTCAGCCCACACAAGCACTAGAGGGTCTGTGTTGCCGTTTGAATGTGAAACACCCCTTACAGGCTAATGTGTTCCAACATCTGGTCCCACCAGCTATTTGGGAGAGCTGTAGAACCTTTAGGGGGTGGAGCCTTGATGAAGGAAATACATTCCTGAGGTTTCTTACAAGCAGACTGCACTTCCTGTCTTCTCTCAACTTTCTGACTGCCCATGCAATGTGACCATTCAGCCACCTGTTCTGGTCACCACCCCTCCCCTGTCGGTGGACAACATGCCTTGGAACTATAAACCAGAAGAAATCCTTTTCCCATTAAAATTGCTTTGGCCAGGTAGTATGTCAAAGCCTGACATCATTAGAACATGGCTTGCGCAACAATGTTGACACCCTTCCCACTTGTAGATTGTAGGGATTGTGAAAAGAAATACCCATAAGGAAGATTTGGGAACCAAGGGGTCCTCCTCCTTCATGAATATGCCACCTACTTCATACATATTTATAAGCACTGCTTTAGAACCCAAAACCCACTGGAGGGGCTCCCCACTGGGGGAAGCCCATTCTACTCTCTCTCTCTCTCTCTCTCATATGCTTTCTTTGTTCTGCTAAATAAACTTCTGCACAAACAAGTAGTCTCCTGCCTGAGCTCTCTCCTTCAAGAACAATTTCCAGCTGTAAGCAGGTCCTTGTGGAACCCAGAAATCACTTTAAGAAGGCCCAGACTTCAGCTCTCCCAGACTCTTGAGGCTCCTGAGCCGGTGGACTCTAAGAATGACATTTCTAGTGTCATTTCCACCCATGTGAAACTATGTCATCTTGATTTTGTAAGGACAGGGTCAGGATTTATTTGTACCCTGTAGTCGAGAAAAGAGAGACCCACGGTGATAAAGGGCCATTGGGTGAGGCAGGAACTGGGGACTGAGTTCCTATAAACGAGGAAGGGTGTCCCCAGCAAGGTGTTTACTCACTTGGCTGTGACCCACGGCCACCGCTTTCTTCTCCAGATCCAGCGTCTGCAAGAGTTCCTCCACCACCTGCGGCCGGGGGTGAGAAGAGAGAAGTTTACAGAGAGCATGGAGCAAAAAGACCCAAACTGAAGGCCAGGCTCATTGCATAGCCAGATGCAGGAGGGAGGAGCAAGCGGAGCCCCAACTCAGAGGGACCAGTGCAGCAGAGAAGCTTGCCCTGGACCCCTGCCACACGCTGCACACTCCACTGGAACCTCCAGGAGGCCCCAGCGTTTCATCCCCACACCACACCCATTCCACGGAAGACATCTAAGACTCGAGGTGAAATGATGTGGGCAGCTGCTGCCAAGAATAGCATATCTGCATCTGCGACAAGGTGGCCGTTAACTGTGACTATCTGACCTGACCTCAGTCACACGGGAGGAGCCTGTGTTTGTCATCTCCTCGTCCCTGCATGGCATTAAGATACTTCTCCATGAATACAGTGAGGACTCGGTGAATGTGGGGAAGGGATGAGAGAAGTGGGGGAGGGAGTGATGGAGGCCCACATCACAAAGACCCAGACAGAGGTCAAAGGTCATGGTTCCCTGCAGGCAAAGTTAACTTCCTCAGAGAGTTTGGAGGAGGCAGAGACGAATTCCTGTGGAATCTTCCTTTTGTCAAATAGTCACAGAAAGCGCAGAACGCCCTGCTGGACTCTGTCCCCCCAGACTGTCCCCTCCAAATATGACCACCCACTCTGCCACCCCTATGTGCGTTCCCAACATAGACAGTCTGAAAGGCTGTTCTCAGGATGAACTACCCTGAGAAACTGCAACACTCGGAAAGAACTGGAAGGGTGGGGAGCGCAGCAATTGAGCAAAACAGCTGCCAGCTTACAGGCCAAGGGCACCATGGGATACTTCCCGAGATACCCCTAAAATTGCTTCTTTAAAACTCTAGTCCCAAACTGTAATCGGCCTCCTCTCCTGACACCCTGGAAGAGCCTCCTATCACACCCCCTCCAAGTTTGAGTGGTTTCATTTGCTACATTTTAGCCAAAAAAAAAAAATGCTCCAAGGGAGTTGTAGGCAGCAGCCAAGACACATAAAGCCAATATACCCAAATATAACATCTCTTCTCTCTGCACAAGAAGAAAAGCATGGTAAAAATTGGCTGAAAGTAAGACGGATGGGGAAAACGGGATCCCAGCTACAGACATTTTTCTGTCTCTTTTAGAGGCAACGGCTAGCGCATGTGCTTGGAGAAAGAGTGTGTGGATCTGGGGCTAACACCAGCACTTTGAGGGGCTGAGGCAGGAGGATTGTGAGCCTGAGACTAGTGTGGGCTACCTAGAAACACGCTGACTCAAACAACAAGACCTGGAGCTGTGGCCACCTGGGACCAGATCTGACTTTGAGCAGCCATGAAAACATCTCAGGCCAGCACTTTCAGACGACTCTTGAAAAGATAGAGGAGGGAATCTCAGCTGTTCGTGTGACCTCGCATACCATGTGATCCACAGATATCACACCAGGGGAGTTGGGCACCAAACCACACCCGCAGCTTCCATTTGTGCACAACCCTGGGAGAGGTTCTAACAAGTGCTAACCCTCCTGTTCCCAGATGCAATATAGACATCGTCTAACCATGCATTCAGACACAGTAGGAATGGAGGAATCTTCTCTAGTTCCTGATTTTCCTAAAATCCTTCAGAAGTGGACAAGAATGCCAGCCCTGGGGGAAAACTAAAACCCTTCTACTTTGGAGAGAGACCTGTGAGAGTGTTCTGGTCCAACTGATGGAGAGCAAGTGAGTGGTGTATCTCTGACCCCCTTTCTGGCCTGTGAAAAATGATAATAACCATGTCTAGACCTTAAAGCCCCTGGGGAAACTTCAATTGATCGAATAGCAAAAGGAATTTGTAAATGACTTTGCATTTAATTATTTAATTGCTGTTTGTGTTGTCTTCATTAATATTAATATGTGATTGAGCCATATGGAAATGCTCTTTGTTTAGGCCAGATATCAATTATTTAATTTAGTTCAACACAATGCAATCATTGTCCAACAGCCTATTTAAAAAAAAAGATGTGGCAGAGATCCAGTTTGCTGTGTGGAATGGCTTCTTTGTCACAAGAGCTCTTTCACTAACACCCGAGGCTCAAAACTCAGTGTGGAATGCTGGTCTGTGAGTAAAATATTGGCCACTTTACTCTGAAGAGACACAATTTGGTCAGGTGTAGTAGCACACGCCTTTAATCCCAGCACCCATGAGGCAAAGGAAGGTGGATCTCTGTGACTTCCAGGCCAGCTTGGTCTACACAGAGAGTTCCAGGAATTCTGGTCTACATACTGAGTTCCAGACAGCCGTGACTGCATAGAGAGATCCTGCCTCAAAAGAAAGAAATTGTATTCAGCCTGCCTTTTGATTCCAACTACTGTTCCAATGGTCTGCACACAATTTGTACCCAGGCCTTTGCAATAAATAATATATTTTTCTCCTTTGCCAAGGAAACAACTGAGGCCCGGTGCAATGGGAAGGGACATGGTCCAGTAACGGATGCTGTAGGATCCAGGAACCTGACTCATGAAATTCCCTCTGATGCTGGCACCCAGCCCAGATCCTCCATTCACTGGCTGTATGACCTTGAACAAGCTACTCCTGCGCTGGTCCTCAGGATGTGGGGTCATACACCTGTCTTAAGGAAAGAGACTTACAGAGGTTGTAGGAGTGGCATGCAAGAGAGAGGTTCCCAAAATGGTGGGGCAAGGAGCTTTTTCTGCACAACCATCATGACAACAGCTACAATTGCATAAAGGAACAAATTCAGCACTCAGCAGACTGAACAAAGAGATTCAACAAAACAAGGTTCCAGGAAGCCTGCTGAAGGCTAGGTTGGAGCAGTGGGAGCTGGCAGCCCTCGTGACTGGGGTTCTTTCATTCCAGCTCCCTGCACCCCAAACATCTCTAACTGTGCAGTGGGGCCACCAGGCGAGTCACGCCGAGAAAGCAGCAGATTCTCAGCTAGAAAGGGCTCGTGTACACAAGGCAAGAAATAGCGAATCTAGGCCAGGTCAGCAGCCGCAGTTAGGGTCAGTTGCAGCTGAGACGGCTGCTCTGACAGAAGCAAGCAGTATAACCAGGAACCTCACAAGTTGTAGAAAACGAAGCAGCCAGTGGGCTTAAGAAGTGCCTTTATAGTTCCGACTCGATGCTACAGACATGAACAAGAGCCATGGGCATGGGCGTAGGAAGACAAAGGACAGACAGAGCTACAGACCTGGAGCACAGTACTGATGCCCCAGATGCAGACAGCTCTCCGATTGCACCCCGACTCGTCAGTAAGAGAGAAACATGCAGGGAATAGCCTCTGCAGACCCCAAAGATGGACACAGATGTGGCTCTCACTGGGAAGGATCCAGGCCTTACAATAAAACCATGGACGTTAACAAACACTAGTCAGGACAAGTCACCATGTGGTTAAGAAAAGACCCGTGCCTAAAGTCATTATCTAAGACACACAGTTTTCAATAGAGAGAAACATACACACACACACACATACACACACACACACACACACACACACACACACACTATCCCAGAAAATATGTCTCCTATTGGGGAAAGGGGGGTGTAGCCAGTAGAATAAACCCCTGGGTTCAGAATGTGGACTTAGCATTCAGATTTCCAAGTATTCACAGTAGATTTGTTCAAAGACTTGAAAAAAGTTCCACTTAATGAGTTAAAAAGACAGAACAGGCTGTAGGTGTCTGTGGCAGACTCCCTGCTGAGCATGTTCAGGGTCCTGGGTTTGATCCCTAATACCAAAAGAAAAGGAAATTTCACAGTGAGCATTAGATGTAAAGTATCATTAAAGAGATGTACAGATATAAAGGACTAAAAACTGCATATGGAAATTCTTCATTTTCAAAAAAAAATCAAACAGCTAAAATGACAACTTGACCATGGGGCTCAACAGCAGACCCAGGCTGGCAGATGAGCTGGTGAGTTGGGAGTGACACCAAAGGGACTTACTCAATTTGAAGAACAGAGAAAGGTGGGAATAAAGAAAAATGAGTCACACCTGGCAACAGAACCAAACCCTGACGGGGGATATCCTGTATGCTGTGAGTATATGTTTCTCTTATTGGTTGATGAATAAATGCTGATTGGCCAGTGGCCAGGGAGGAAGTATAGGTGGGGCTACCAGATTAGGAGAATGCTGGGAGGAGCAGGAGACAGACGGGGGCCGGGTGAAGGAGACACCATGTAGCTACTGGGAATAGAACGACACTGGGAATTCTCCATTAGCCAAGACCATGTGGAAATACTTAGATTATTATAAATGGATTAATAATTAGGAGAGAGCTAGCCAATAAGAAGCCTGAGCATCAGCCAAACAGTTTATAATTAATAAATGCCTCTGTGTGTTTATTTGGGACTAAATGACTGTGGGACCAGGCAGAACAGAAACTTCCATCTTCAAAGTCCTGTATCTGCATGGTGGAACCTCAGAAGAAGAGAAGAAAAGTAGAAAAAATGGGACACTGGCCCAGGGCTTCAAACTTTACTACTTCCAAAATATAAAAGCCACCTAGAGAACCCAGGAGGTCAGTGAGTTACAAATAAGATGATGAATGAAGAAGGGCAGAGAACATGACCAAGGGGAAAACAAGATAAACTATCAAGGAGTCTTGGAAATGCAAGAAGGAAGAGATAAGTCAAACAGTGACTGGCTAGTGTGACACAACCAGAGTCACTTGGGAAGGAGGAACCTCAGTGGAAGGATTCCCTAGGTCACACCAGCCTGTGGCCATGTCTGTGGGTGTCCCCTTTGATTATTCATTTATTTAAGAGGGCTCAACCCACTATGGGTAACACCATTCCCTAGAAAGGTGGTCTTGGGCTGTATAAGAAAGCACGAGCATGCACACACAGAAAAGATAGAGACAGACACAGAGACCAAGAGACAGAGAGAGAGATAAAGAAGGAGACAGAGACAGAGATAGAGAAAGAGAGAGACAGAGACCAAGAGACAAAGAGAGATAGAGAAGGAGAAAGAGATAGAGAAAGAGAGACAGAGACAGACACAGAAACCAAAAGACAGACAGAGAGAAAGAGAGAGAGAGAGAGAGAGAGAGAGAGAGAGAGAGAGAGCGAGTGCCGGCAAGCAGCGTCCCACCATGATTTCTGCTGTAAGTTCCTGCTTTAGTTCTCACCCTTGCCTGCCTTGTGATGGACAATGACCCAGAAGCCAAAATAAGCCCTTTGCTCTTCTAAGTTGCATTTGTTCACTGTGTTTGTCACAGCTATTGAAAGAAAACTAGACCAGTACTGTCCACAAAGCCATAGGATTACATAGTAAACATGCCAGAATGGAAAAGACTCTGTCTTTTCCTGTCAATCAAGGCCTCTACACCATACAGAGTTGTGCTCCCTGTCCTCCCAAAACAAAGATGACTCAAAACCCTGCCCAGGCACACATAGGCTAGGAAGTCACCACTACTAGGTCTTGCATCTGTATTACAGGCTTAAAGAAATATTAGCTCAAGTCTTTAAACACTCAAGAATGGTAGAAAGCATAAACATGAAAGAACGAGGAAATAGCATAAAGCTCTGTGTGGAGGTGCACACCTCTAATCCTAGCACTCAGGAGACAGAAGCAAGTGGATCTCTGTAATCTGAGGTCAACCTGGTCTACAGAGTGAGTTCCATGACAGTTGGGGCTACATGGTGAGACCCTGTCTCACAAAAGAGAAAATATTATAAAAAACATTTTAATGAATTTAAAATATATAAGACTAAGTGAAAGAAAAATGTAAAATTGTATTAGTGAGTTTATAATTTGTACTTGTAACAACAGCACAGAGGATCAGGGGGAAGCAGATCTGTGAAAAAATGCTCTTTTCTCTCACCAGAACTAGGCTAATATTAATATGTAGGAAACCTGATGAATGAAGATACACTCTATCATCTCTGGAGCTTTGCCAGGTTCCTCAGATGGTCCATGAGAAGAGCAACCAAGCCAATACATAGTAAATTATATGGCTGCTTGCAAGGGATTCAGACCAGAACCCCACAGAAAAGGCAAAAATGAGACAAAGCAACAGCCTTCAAATAGCAAACATAAAGGAGATGACATCGGCGCTGACACAAACAAAACTGGACTTAAGCCAAAGCCATTGCCACAAACAGCTAGGGAAGTGTCCAGTGATGGAAGGGTTAACCCTCCAGCCAGACAGGCAAATTATCTCAGCACCTAACCAGAAAGCCCCAAGACATGAGAAGCAGAAAATGGATAGAATCAAAGAAAAGCAAGACAGCTCAACACTAGTGGCCAGGGGCATTAACACCTACCTGTCTCTTAATAATTGATAGATCAATTAGATATAAAAATTTTGCCCCAGAGTTTTTATCAAGAGCTTCCTGTGTCCAGGATGTCAGGGAAGGGTGTAGCCAGGAAGAATATGGATTGGAGTCTCACATGGGAGAATAGCTCAGGGCTGTGCTGGACACTGCTCTGAGCTCGTCTTAATTCAGACAGCTACCAGGTAATAGGCTTCAATTCTCAGAATGCTGTGGAAGAAGGAGCAGTTTGAAGCCAAAGCCTCCATCTCTAAAGCTCACCCATCTTGAACTCATGAGTCCCTCCCTCGTACATTGACCATATCATGGTTGAAGGCAGACGGTTTTATTTAACCCACAGGGTGTCAACTTAGCAGCATGTGTGCAAAGAGACCCACCAACGAACACCCCACACGCATGATGGAACTGGATCATATGTTGGAGAAAAAGAGTGATTAGAAGAGCTACCCAGAGGCCATAACCCAGCAAACAACAGAGAATGCTGATGAAATTAATCTCCAGAGACCTGAGCTCAGCAGGATGAGGGCAACAAGTTCAGCACACTGAGTGTGGACAGTTCCCTCTGGGTTCAAGTTCAGCACGCTGAGTGTGGACAGCTCCCTCTGGGTTCAAGTTCAGCATGCTAAGTGCGGTCAGCTCCCTCTGGGTTCAAGTTCAGCACGCTGAGTGTGGACAGCTCCCTCTGGGGTAAGGGTAGGACAAAATAACTGAATTCAGGTGGCTATTGAGCAAGCAGCCTCAAGCCCCTGCTGTCAGGCACGTGACCACTTTCACCACCACCTCTCCCTTTGCCATGATGGTCTGTACCCAGAGTTTCCTCCCTTTGACTGTTTCTCTTCGGGTCCTCACAGTAAGGAAAGTGGTACAACTGTAGTCACCTCCACGTTTCTAATTAGTCAAATTTAGATGCATGTGTCTGTGTGTCCTAATGAGTGCATGTACACCAGGTACAGACAGGTGCCGTCTGAAGGCATTGAATCCCCCAGAGCTGGGGTTACAGGGGATGGTGAGCTGCCAAATGTGGGTGCTGGGAACTGAACTCAGGCACTCTGCAATTGCAATAAGGGCTCTTCATGGGTGAGCAATCTCTCTACCCATAACCATCACTTTTAATGTTCTGCATAATAACCCAGAGTGAGAGTCTGTGTTTGAGTCCTAGCTCTATTCCTGCCTGGCTCTGCAGTCCTGTTTCAGTCATCTCTGCTAAGAAACTAATTCCCTGGGCAGAAGGCTTTGTCTTGGAACACTGTCTAGGTTTGTAACTCTGTCACCTTGTGCCTTGGGGATGAATGCAAACTCCTGATCCTTCTGCTTGTACCTCCTTAGTGTTAGGATCACAGGCATGTGCCACAACACCGAGAAACTATTTTGTGATGCAGGTGTGCGCATACCCAGAATGAGAGCACTTCTCCCAGAAGTTTGCATAGCTTGCAAAGACACCACCAATCAGGAGCAAGGGGGAACTAGTTAGGGCCCATTTTCCACCTGACAAGAATCCCCTCTGCTGCCGTCTAGCGTCAAATGACGACATTGACCTTTCTTCGCTGTCGGACCTGTCTCACTAAATCCTGAAGTCTTAACCATTCTGCAGGCAGAGCCTGCTGGCTTGCCCACCAGAGCACATTGCTCATGTTTAATTCATAGCCCATCACATTGCCTGACGAATGAATATTTATCAGCTTTTTCATAAGAGGCAGGATGGTGTTTTCTTTCTTTGCTACCAAAATTCTATGCCCCAGCAAATGAAATTTGTGAACAAATATATATTTAAAAAATAAGAAGCAAAAGAAAAAAAAGTAACTCCCAGCCAAGTCCATTGCACTGGTAATTTTCCATTCTCTGGTGCCTGGAGTGTACACGGAGGTGGATTCCGCTTAGCAGCAACAGAATCCTGCTGACTTGTTCAGAGTCCAAACGCTGCCATGAGCCTTACCGTCATCCCCACAGGAAGCTCCCTCACACCCCCAGCCTGCCTCATTTCCAAATGCTCAGGAGCCCCAGAGTCTCCAGCACTGTGGACCCTCTGTGTGGTGATCAAGCATGTGTGGACCAAGGAGAAAAGGCTTCACATGCCGATTGGTTTGGACCCAAACCAAACTGTGGAGCTTCCAAAATGTGCTGCCAAACAGAGAGGGGACGGCTTACTCTCAGAGAAAGGGGAGAATCACACAGAAGGATCTGTGTCTACTGCTGGAGCTGCCCCGTGAGCAAGAGCCCGAAGACTGTGGCTCTGTTTACCTATCCAACCTCATGGCTCACTGAGGATGGATTCCAAGTACAGCTGGGCACATACACACACACACACACACACACACACACACACACACACACACGATGGTTCAGTGTGGCTGTGGACAAAGTCTGTGGATCAACCACCCTTCAGCCTGACCCTGAAAGACTCTGCAGCTGCTATGACTGCTGCTGCTCTCGATAGAAGCAGCTCACGTGCATGAAGCCCTGCCTGTGTGCCCGGGCCTGAGTCTGCACGTTGGCTGCTCTACAGTATTTTATCTCCAGGGCACTGGTGGAGGCTGCTGCTGCTCCCATTCTAGAGGTGAAGAGACTGGGGCAGACAGATAGTCACTTACCCAAGCGACAGCTGGAGTCACACCTATCTGACCCCAAGAAACACATTCTTCCACTAACCCTCCTTTGGAATTTAGAACCTGGCTTCCAGGGAGCAGGCCCATGAACACCTGTGGAATTCCCTGACATTTGGTTCATCTTTATGGGCCTCACTTACCAAAGTGGCTGAAGGTGCTTGCTTTCCAGGGCTCCCACACGGATGCCACCAGGCTCTACCCACCAACAAGCCCACAGTTGTTCATCATGGGGCAGCTGTATTGTGGAGAGTGAGGTGTGAGGAGCAAAGACGTGGCTTCGTGCATTTGGAGCAGGATTGTAAACAGGAAAGGAAGGGTAAAAGTACAAAGATAGATTGCGTGTATGTGTGTGTGCACACATGCACATGCACACACGTATGTATGTATCTGTATGTGTCTCTCTGTGTGTGTACAAGCGTGTGGCTTGTGTGTGCCTGTGTGCAAGTGCGCACACACATACATACATGCATGTGCGCTTGTGTGTGCATGCACACCCGCGTGTGTACCCAGCCTTCTGGTTAAAATTACTGAGTCCTTGCTGGGAAACTTAATTTCAGTTAAGGGCAGGGATGCATGAGACATCAGAACAAGAGGAATTGATGATGGGTGCCCCTGAGCTGGGGTTGGATAGCAAAGGGCACATCTGTGAGCCCTGGAGAGGACAGCCAGTGCAAAGGCCCTGGGATGGCCTGTTCGTTTCATTCTCAAGTGAGGCTCTCCTCAAACATTCCCATGGGCCACCTCAGAGCATGGGTGAAGCTGGTCCCCTTGGGTTTTGTGCTGTCACAGGCCTTGTGAGTGAGACACAGGACATACCACTCTATTTCATCTTATTTTCTGTGTGCCCTCATGAAGATTTTAGGAGGGCATTCTGGGTTAGGATGCAGTCTAGGGCTGAGATGTGATGCCAATCACAGACCACTCTCCACACGGTCCTCACGGCCCTGCTCTCAGACCCCTCATGCCCCAGCTGCCCTCGAGCAGTTCATACAGAACGGCCTCTGCGGCCCACATGGGAGCACGGGGCCTCCTCCTGCTCGTGAGCCAGCATCACATACCTTCCTCTCTTCTAGTCCCTCAGAGGTCGAGTCAAGCTTCTTCAGTAGCAGAGGGTCCAGCACCTGGAACCGACGGCGGAATTGAGTGAGCCCCATGTGGTCAGCGTAACCTGGGGACAGAGCAGGCCAGTCACAGGTGGGAAAGCACCTGGTAGGTAGTGCTCAGTCAATGCGGGCTGTGGCTCACATGTCCCTGCCCAGGACTTCTTTGTACAGACCTCTTCCTCAACTCTGCAGTGTCTTTCCAAGACTTTCTCTCGGGTGACTCTTTCTCAATAGTTCTCACACACTAATACCCCTTCCCTCCAGTGTCCCACGGAACATGCTTCTCTGTTCACCCTATGGGACAGGTTGTTAAAGCTTTTGTACACTGACCAAGGTATCATGCTTCTCATATAATCTAAGGGGTGAGAAAAGTAATGGGAACAGACAGTAGATGCCACACAAATCACATACCACACACATATACACACCATACACATCGCATAAACACATCACATACACAACAGATACATACTCAGACAGACACAAACACACCACACACACACACAATGCAACACCACACATGCATGCATACACACAAACTCATGAACCCACACACATATATTCACACAGACACACAATCACATACATGTACACATATACTCACACTCTATGATGCAACCGTGCCTGCTATCAGTCAGGCTGGTCTTTTGACTGTGGGGCCTGGCTGCCAGCTGTGAACTCTTTTCTTTCCCCTGTGACATTCATTATTCACCTCCCTCTGCCTATGCAGTGGAGAGTGGGGGGGGCGGTCTCAGCCTTGTCTTTAAGAACCTCATCTTCTCTGTCAGATGCTCTGTCTCCACGGCTCCACTATTGACATGGGGTTTGCAGTGACCACAGGACAGGACATCAGAGACCATAGGACATGGTACAAACAGGCTGCATGAGACAGTAGCCTGGCCTCTGCAGAGAGTGGCTGAGCTTAAACTTTGGATGCTGAGTGTTATTCAGATCAAACTCAATGCGTAAGATTAACCAACAGCAGAAACCACAGGCACCAGGTTGCATACTAAACAGACCTGAACTCTTTTCCTTTGCCTAAAACCCCACATTCCCCCATCACTCAGCTGTACCTGGCAGAAGCCGAATGGCCAGTGAAGGCAGCTGTGGCCTCCCCTGGTGGACTGTTAGCTCTGCATCCAGCTTGATCCCACTCTCTGAAACCCCAGCTCTTGTGCCTTCCTGCCTTGACCCTGTGGTCCCTCTGCTAATTGTCCTCTCACCTGCAAGATGGCAGCTAAATCTTCCTCCTTGGGACCTGATTATTATTTTACCTCTGCTGGGGGTACCCCCACCCATTAATAACAGGAAAGCCCCCCAGGCATCCATGAGCCTCTTGCCTCTGCGCAATCACCTTGTCACCCCTGCAGTGGCACAGATCTTCACACCAGCCTACAGTCTGAAAACAAACTATGACTGGCTTGAGAAAAATCTACTCCTCCTGTGACAGGTATGGTAGGCTAAGTCTAGCCCTCTGGAGCCAGAAGCAATTCTGGAAGTCAGGGAAACCTGACTCAGATTCAGGAGTTGCTTTTGTCCGTGCAGTGTGGCCCTGAGGGGTCCGTCATTGTTCTGAGCCTCAGTTGCTTCATCTATAAAATAGGAGACAGATTCAACTTTTCTCACTGTGTGCACAGCGCAGGGCACATAGTGGGTGCTCCTGTTCTGTGACCATCTGACCTATAATGATGGTCCTTATCCTATGGCTGACTGGCACATAGTGGGTGCCACCAGGACAAGGACACCTTGTCCCCATCTGTTTCTTACCTGCCCTGTGCAGTCGCAATGCCTCTAGGAGATGAGAGCCTGCAAGTTGAACCCTCAGTGATGGAATGTCCAGAGCTGGGGGCTCATTGGCTACACCTTGGTCTCCACCAGGCTGTGGAGGTGATGGAGTCCCCTGCCCAGGCTTGCTTTCCACTGAGGCTGGCACAAGACAGTGGATGAAGTGCAGCCGAGACCGACTCAGCAAGCTGATGAGAGCATCCTGGGACCGAAGCAGACAGGGAATCAGAGCCAATGTCTCAGGGGGACAGACAGACACACATTGAGCATGGTCTGGACATTCCTGGGGACTCCCTATGTTCTACACCCAATGCATTGTGCTTATACTGGTTTATGTTCAAGAGAAATAAGTGGCCTGGTGGACACAGCTGGGGAAGCTGAGATATGGAGGAGGACAGTGAATGGGACCAGGTCACAGAGACACCCCCTCCCAGCAGAGGAACCATGGCTGGAACCCAGGACTGAGTACTTGGGGCTAGTACCCAGGACTTAGTACTTGGGGATAGTACTGTGTGATTTTCATTCTTCAGACAAATCCTTCCCATGGTCTGCGATCTGCAATTGCAGTTCCTTCTTACATTCAACCTGACCAGCGACCAAGCTGATGTTCACTTATGTTATCAGGTTAAGGTAGCATGTTCACACGGGTGCTGGATCCTGCTGCCTGTGCCCCACCAGAGGGGCTGTCTCAGGAAGAAAGGCAGGTAGAAGTAGTCTGACAGCTCAGACAAAGGGGCAATGGTGACCCATGAGTATCCCCCAAGGCCCTCAGCTTAACACCAAATATCCAAGACTCTGGCCTTGGACCTGGGTGAATCATTTCTCAGGGGTGCCCATGGCCACACTTCTCCAGAACTTGGAACCTCTGTGTCACTCTCAGCAGAACCGGAGAACCTATCCCTGGGGTTTTGCAGGGCATTGTAGAAGTGAGCATCCTGCTGAGGTAGTGGTCTATGTCATGGAGGTCCAAGGTGACCCAGGTCATAGCCTGGCTCACTCACTCACCATCTGCAGCTTGATCTGGGCACAGGGAGCCTTCCTCTTCAACGCAGCGACACTGCTGGCAAAAGCCCTACGCACCACACGACCCCGGTGCAGAGCCTGCTGAGAGGTGCCCTCAAGGCCTGCCACCGCACGGCACAGGGGAGGCAGCTTGGCCCGGGCCTGGAAGAGGTCCTGCAGCTCCTTCCTAGTAAGGAAGAGAGAGCAGGTTGCCAGGGACTCTCTGGCAAGTTCACCCATGTGGAAGAAAGACATAAGCCCCTCTATTCACAACCTTCCTATCTCAGAAATGCTGGCTCTTTCCTGGGCAACTTGCTCTTCTCTGCCCATGAGAATCACCCTCCCAACAATCCCACCCCCACCATCCTGAAGGTACAGACAGCCATGTTAATTCTCCCTATAATAGGCCAGGTATACAGTAGGTACCAACTGTATGGTTGTAGGAATGAATGACTCACTGCTATAAGACAATAATGAGGTGTCGAGGCTCACACCTAAGCAGTCTCCACCTTCCCTGAGCCTACCCATAGCAGGACTCTTCCAACATGTATTGTGAGGGTGTCTGACTTCTAAGGCTCCCTCAGGAGCCCAAGCTGGCCTTACACAAGGGCAGAGAGGTACGGAGCCAACCTAGGTGTCCAACAGAGGCATGGGTAAAGAAACACGGCTTGTATCACAACTGAATCCTTTGGCCATGCAGAAGAATGAAGTTAGGCATTTGCAGAAAAATAGATGTAACTGGAAATAATCACATCAAAAGACCTCAGGCAGTCTCAGACAGATGGGATCACTGCTTTCTCTCATCTGTGGAACCAGACCGGAAGAAACATGGGTCATCTGTGTTCTGATTAGAAGCAAATCCATCTGGGAGCAAAGAGGGCTAATGGTGGAGGAGATGGTGAGGTAGCTCAACCATGGGCCTGAAGCACATATATAGGATGTAACGGTTGCCATCCAACCCTTCAGACGGAGCAGTCCACATGGGGGCCAGCAAAACAGCCTCACATAATCCTGCATCATAATTTTAAATAATATATCCAAGTTATTGTTCTTTTTTCAAAAAGAAAGAGGCAGCTAGACAGAACCCACAGCTCCAGTGGAAGGAGCTGGAAGCCAGAGGTCTGGTTCCTGCCAAGTACCACCAACCCTATCTGGCCATGAAACATTTGGGGATCCTTTGTCACTACCCAAAAGCCCAGGTCCCACTCTAGCCCCGTCCTAAGACAAGTGATTCAGACCAATGCGCACTGGCTCACAGGGCCAGAGGTGTGTGCAATGGATTAAACGAGTGAGCAGGTGACAAGAATGGACAGAGGTGTGGCATACAGTGCACTGCCATCAAGGTCTAACCAGGATACTGAGGCCACACCCAGGAGCCACGAGCCTGGGGTGGAGACGGCAGGTGCTCCCAACCCCAGCCCTGCTCTGATGTGTGGCTGTATCAGATGGAACAGATGGAATCCTCTGCTTTTCCTTTTTCCTGTGACCTTGGGCAAGTCCCCTGTTCTCTCTGGGAGGCATCAGCTACCCAGCTATAAATAACCTAAGCAAGACTGCTGTAGCTTGAGAGACACGCAATCTTCTGAAAGCCCTTGAGATTATAGGTAGAGCCCTGGAGACACCATGCTGAGCCCAGTCCTGGTGGCTTCACTGAGGCCCTGACTACGGATCCTCACTCTAAGGTCCAGCAGGGCTTGCTCTCACAGTCACCAGGGTTGGCTTCTGTGGGCGACCTGCTGCAACAAGTTCAAAATGCTCATTTAGTTATGCTTGTTTGGTGGTTTTTCCTGTTGTTGTTGTTGTTTGAAACAGGGTTTCACTGTGAGACCTGGCTAGCCTGGACTTTACTGTGTGAGCTGGGCTGGTTTCAGTTGACAGAGATCTGCCTGATTCTTCCTTCCATGCATGGCAAAACATTTTAATAGGCTTTATGCCCAGTAGTACTATGCCTCTCTGCCCTTGTCCTGGCACTGAGACCCTGACTCACCTGGTCAGTAAGGGTTTGCCTCACCCTTCCCTGACTCAACACCCCTCACTTGGCTTCAGATGCAGGTCTCAGAGCAGGAAGGAACTCTACCAGACCCCAAGGTGTGCTCGGAGAGTCTGCTGCAACCCAGGCTCCTCCCTGAGCCTCCTGCTACTTTATATTGTAGATATTTTTAGTAAGCACCCTCGTGTGGTCACTCCCACGTCTCGTGCTATGGAGTGGAGGCCCAGGGTGAGCTGCAAAGAGACAGAAGCACAGTCTGCATGTCCCCTGAATCTTCTGCCTGGTGTGGCTTTGACTCTATGGTGGAGGAAGCCATAGGCAAGAGAGTGACTGCTCGGCATCACACTCAAGGATAGAACCAGGGTTTGACCCCAGTGTCCTAGACCCTCGTTCACTGAGCCTCTTTTATCCCTCATTTCCCATCTGGGACTCAGCTACAGCTATGAACTCCCATGGCCTTCTGGGTTTTGGGGTTCCAATGAACTCTGACCATAAGACCCTAAGATCTTCCCTGAGTATTGTTGAGGTTCAAGCTGTATCCTAGCTCTGCCAGCAGAGTCAACTCCATGGTCAAAAAAAATCAAGGGACTTCACCACATTATCCTGGCTGTAAAATGGAGCTAAGGATGCAGCATGGACACAGCGCACAGTAGGCCATCAGCACACAGTCCTTCTTGATCAGTCTGCCTCCCCGAGACACTGGTGCCTCCTTCTCCACCTGCCTCTAGGCTCTGCCCCCAGTGGGTTTCCAGCACTGACCCTGATAGGCAAGCACCGTCACCAAGCAAGCGTTTTCTTTCAACCTGGAAGTGGAGCCGGGATTGCTTCACGCCTCATGCTAGTGCTTCTGGTATGAGTGAGCAGGGAGTGCAAAGAGCTATTCCTACTGCTACAAAACATCATTTTGGTTTTATGAGCCCCCGGGTCCTGGGATGTCCATAAAAGTTACTCCAGTCACATCATCTCTCAGATACTTAATGAAAGGTGGAAAGCCAAAACACAGAGACACGGCGTTTTAGCTGTGAGCTGACTCCCCCAAAGGCCTGCTCTGCTCTGCTACTGGGTCTGCTCTGCCCCGGGGGAGACATTGTGCCGATCCAATTGGAGCCATGGCCTTCGTTCCACAGCTGCAGACAGGATGGGATTTCTAGACTGCCGTCCACTGTCGCTCACTGGGTTGTTGCTGAACAGAAACAGCCATGGGGGTAGATGGCCCTGCCCTGCCCCACACCCAGCTCTGCTCACCTTTTTGACTGCTGCAGGACCTGTGGGGCCTCCAGGGCTGAGAGATTGGGCTTGGCTCTGCGAAGCCAGCCTGTGAGGTCATAGCGCACAGGGTCCTGTCCCAGCTGGTGGAATAGCTCACACTGAAGGGGCTGCTCACAGATGCGCAGCACGGGGGGCCCTGGAATGAGATAGTGGCATGGGTGCCGGGGGTTCATGAGTAATGTGCACCTTGTTCCCATACCCTACCACAAAATTTAAAGAGTCGACGTGTTTCTAGATAGCTAAAGCCAGCAGTTACTTCCAGATATACTCTGTTTTTGTCTTCTTAAACTCCAGACACATATTTAGCCCCCAAATCAGAGAACACACATTCCTCCTGAGTTTCCTGTACATACCCATCTGTCACCTGGGCTGTGATTTACCTCAAGTTTCTTTTAAACCCACTCACGTTTTTTCCAAGCACATTCTTTCTAGAAGAAACATTTGACCTGGTGTATATATACAAGCTTCATTTCTTTTCTACCATGAGTGGAGATAAGCAGTTGTTAAATACTTTAAAACATGCATCCATGTTCAATCTAGTCAAACAAGGGCTCGTTTGGGGGACACTGGCCCCAGCCCCTTGCTTACGAGGGACAGGATCAGAGACACAAATGGCCTGGCCTGTGGGTTACAGGGAATGCAGGCAGATGCACTGGAATGAATTACTGTGTGGAAGGGACCAAGTCACGGAGTCTGTCTCGGAGTTTGGTTCCCTGGTCTGCGAAGTGGAGCTTAAATAATACATACCTCCCAAGGTGAGTACAGGCCAAAGGATGCATTTAGATGGCACATGGCACATGGTGCTCACTCAACAAGCGGCAGCACTGCCACCACTGTTTACTTATGTTAGCCTGTGGGTGATGCTTCAGAATCACAAAGTGTCTGTCTCTCTCTTTGTCCTTGGTGCTCAGTGTCGTGCTTGGCATATGGATTGTAGGAAGCATTGGGGAATGGATGGATGGGTGGGTGGGTGGGTGGGTGGGTGGATGGATGGATGGATGGATGGGTGGGTGGGTGGGTGGGTGGGTGGATGGATGGGTGGGTGGGTGGGTGGGTGGGTGGGTGGATGGATGGATGGGTGAACACTACTGAGAGATAAAGCCTTGTTTTGTATTGTTCCAGTCCTTCATTAACTCCCCTGTAAGACTGAATCTCCAGACAGGGTCTTTTCAGACCTTTCTATTCAACCCCTAGGACAGAATGCACAGGATTTAAAGTCCAGGGACACAGTTTCCTGGGGACTCCACCAACCCTTGTTGGTCTCTGTGGTAGTTTGAATAAGAGTGGCCCCCATTATACTTATGTATTTGACTACGTGGTCATCAGGGAGTGGCACTATTTGAAGGATTAGGAGTTGTGTTACTGAAGGTAGCCTTTAAGATTTCCAAAAAACCCACGACAAGCCAAGGGTCTCTCTTTTTCTAAAACGGGCCCAGGCACTGAGATTGCCTAGCAAAGAAGTCGGAGCCTTTCCCAGCTGGTATAGATAGATTCCCATGCCAAGGCAGGACTCACCCCTACCCCTAGACCCTGACTCCCTTACCATCAGCCCCAGCTGTCTTCTTCTCAAAGGCTGCGTGAAGACGCTCAAGTACCACGCTGTCACTGGAGCCTTCCACCCGGACCTCTTCATCCAAGATGCAGAAAAGACCCCCAGCGTCTTCAGTAGCTTTTCCCGCTGGCAAATGGGCCTGGCGGGAGATGCAGCTGTGCTGAGATTCAGGTCTGGACATTCTTCCCAACCTCAGAACTAAGCATGCTGGGTGGGGCCTGTGACACTGTTCAGCCTTCACTCCACTCTCCATACTGAAGCCAAGCATTGTCTTCAAAGGGTCTGAATCCTCCCTGCCGCCATGTTTAACTCCCGTATGACCCTGGACAACTTACTGAACCTGCTCTGAGCCTCGTTTCCCCAAGTGTAAAATGGAGCCTGGAAAGGCCTTCCCTGGAGCTTTAAGAAGGGTGTGTCTGTTTGTAATTCCTCTCTCTCTCTCTCTCTCTCTCTCTCTCTCTCTCTCACACACACACACACACACACACACACACACACACACACACACACACGGAGCTGAAGGGTGTGCACAGTCAGCCCACCATATCACTTCCTCTTAGAAGTCTTGCTATTCTATTATGCTGAGACTTTTGGGAATAAATTTAAAGAGATAAGCATTCAAGGAATATTCCAGAGAACATGAAGTTGATTCCATGGCAGACAAGGAATTTTAAAGCAAGCCATGGCAACTTTCCAGGAAACCTGTGGGTTTGCCTATGGGTATGTGAGAGAGACCTGGTGTGGTTTGAGTTGGCACAAGACACAGTGAACTAAACAGTGATGGGGCATGAGGTGTGGGAACATCAACCAACCCTGCATGCCTGGAATCCACCACTTGGGGCTCATGGAGCTAAGCAGGACTCTAGTGACCTTTCAACCTCTAAAACCTGGAGATGGCAAGGGACACATTCAGGGCCCCATGGTGGTCCCAGGGTCAAAGCCTTCATCATTGGGATCAAGATGGGCAGCTGGCCCATCCTTACTTAGGAGAGGCCCTCAGAAGCCACAGGTCCCTCTACCATTGCATTCTCCCATCTGACGGTTCCAGACAAATGACAGACAGGTAAGGAAGCCCACAGAGAGAACAACTCCCGACCTTCCAACGGGAGGCTCAGCACATAGCCATTCCCTGGGGCTATGGAGGAGGAGGTGTCCCAAGGGGAGTTGGCTCACTGTGCCCAGGAGGAGCCATTGCAACCATCCTAGTCAGTAGGAGGCAGGATGAGGGGGTGCAGCCTGGAGTATCCTAAAGCTAGGGAAGGGCCGCTGACAGGGCTCCTCTATCGCAAGTCACACTCAGTGACAAGTGTGTTCTGGTCAATGTTTTGATGAGGTTATGCCCACTCAGAGAAACACACTGTCCCCACTTTGGAGAAGGGGAAACTGAGGCTGAGAGAGGTGAAAAGATGGGCTTGAGGTCATCAAGATGGAACGCATTCCTGCACTGTTCCATAGTTTTCATGGACTTTCACACCGAAAAGCAAAGGGCAGAAAACAGAAAATAAGAAGCCAGGGTCACAGGTCAAAGGTGAGCTGGCTGGGGTACAAATTATCAGGTTCTGGGAATGAGAATGACGTCAGTGAGTCCTCTCCCACAACGGTCTGTCTCCAAAGTCGCCCCCCCCACCAGTGTCTGCAGCCAGCATTGTCGGCTGAACCCCAGGCTCCAGGTGGGAGCCGCTGGAGCCTTGGCGTGTTTGGCTCTGATCAGTCCCACGTGAGTCTGTTGTATAACATTTCTGTTGCACAGATCTGAGCAGTGGGTCTTAGGCCCCAGGGCATTTCCGTGTCCACACCCCTCACCAGTCAATGTCTCTAACTTTCCCCGGGGAGTCCTGGTTCAGAGATCTTGGAGAATGGGTACCCCCAAGCCTATATGCTGCAGTGTCATGTCTGAGAGCCCAAGTCCCCAGTTGCTCTCTTACCTGGGAGGGGTTTTGATCCACAACAGCCACCGTAGTTCCTGGGGATGACTCTGGGAGGTCAAAGTGCACAGGAATGCCTTCCTGAAATTCACACGATGTGTATGTTAGTTCCCTCTGTAAGCTCAGTGGGTTGGGGGGGGGGAAGCAAAGATACGAACACTATTAAAACATCCTTTCAAAGTTAGCTTCAAAATTGTTGTGAAATGTATGTAACAGAAACTTTGCCCCTCTGACTATGGATGTGTGACGAAAGAGGCCTCTCAGAGCCCACTGGGCCTCGTGTGTTTCTGGCTCACATGCTAACAGTTCATGGAAAGCCCCGCAGAAGGTACGTGGCCAGGCACATGAGCCTGCCACTCCATTAGAAGTGGCTGCTTGTCTCCCAGAAGGGTGCTCAGCCTTGCGTCTGTACACAGCAGCAGTGTCTGCACCAGGGCAGAGGCGGAGGAAACCAGAGCTGCAGCAAGATGCTCTTCGTGTAGGTGACTGGGGCCCCTTGGGGTGGACGATCATGCCACCCATTTGGCTTCACCCCTGGTCACAGGCCTGGGAGGCCCCAGTCCAGCTGACACACACCTCTTGGTATCTCTCCAGGGTAGAGACAAAGGTCCTGTGGTAGAACAGCAGCTGTAAGCGCTCCTGGGCATAATTGTAACACAGCTCCTCAAAGGTGGCTGCCCGGTCCTTCCCCTGGTGCCTAGGATTCTGGAATCCCGGGGAGTCAACCACCATGATGGAGGCCATAGACAGATGGTGAGAGGAGAAAGATCTGGGAAGAGAAGAGAAAAGCCCTGAGTTAACCCATGGTCTGATGGTTCAAGCCTCCCCCATAGCAGAGATGGAGAAACCGAGGCAACATTCTATGTAGATTTGGAGATCTGGCTTCAAATCCAAGCTTGTCATTTATGGGCTGTGATGCCCCAAGCAAGTTACTTAACCTCTCTGAGCCTGACTTTCCCCAGCTGATAAACGATGCAGAAGTGAGCTGGTCCAGCCCTGCAGTAAAGGAAGTGGGGTTTAAGCATCGGCATGTCCCGTGACATAAGGGTACAGCAAGCTTCAGCCTGACAAATTCTTTCCTCGTGGTACACCACAGCTGAGAGGCCACATTATGTATGTTTTACAGAGGGTTTTTTCCCCCAAGCTATCACCTCCCTGAATAGTTCCAATGCTCTGTCAGGGTAGACAGCCTGGACTGCTTAAATCAAAAGACGGAATGGCAAGACTTTGAAGCATGAGCTGCCATCCTGCTCTGCCACAGAGGAGCTGTGTGTCTCTGGGGAGCTGCCTGACCTCTCCGGTGCTTGACTGTGAAATGATGAAAGGTAAGAGGCTAGCTCCAAAGACTTCTGGGAGAACGGGATGCTACACCACACCCGCTGCCACAGCCGTGCAGCTTGTCCTGTGATTGATGCTCTCATCAAAGTCCTCGGCTCCCGTCATCTCCAGCAACATCCACCATCAGATCTGGGGACTGGGCTTTCAACCTTAGTTCTCCATTCTCCTTGTGAAAATCTTTCTATCCATAAAACAGGGTCACAAGGGGCAGCCTCCACAGAGACATGCTCGAGAGGAGGGTGAAGTTGGGAGGGCAGGTACCTGCCCATAACCGGCCTGGTGACCTCGCTTCTCATCAAAGCCTCTATTGTGGAGATGGTGGCAGGTGGCGGGCCAGAGAGGTGGCCTGTCTGCCTCCCTTCACCCCCGCTCGCAGCCCTCCCTTCCTGGAAGCACGATGATCCCTCGGTTTCTAGATAAGGTACCCGTGCCTCCCAATGGATGGTAATTACTCAGACTGTGATAAAGGGAGTTGATTCCAAGGCCCTGGCGACGGGAGATCCCGGCTGCTCCATTGCTGGTTGCTACGCAGCAGCAGCTCATCCCTTAACAGGATTCAGAAGTCTAATTATGCTGTGCACTCTTGCAGAGAAGGGGGCCCCTCCCCGTGTTCCCCACGGGTCATGCTGGAGCTGCTCAATGGGCTTCTGAGGAAGCTGGGCTGGGAGCAGCCAGGCATACTCCCTAGACTGCCACCCCACGGACCATCCTGTCATTCTGTCCTACTTGTCCCCTGCACCCAGAAAGAAAAGTTAGAAAAACAAATGACAAGGGCAGCATGCTGGAAGACAGCAGCAGAGGGTAGCATCTTACCGGCTCCCCCTCCCATCCCTCATTCTGTTTCACTTGCATACCGGGCCAGTGTGAGCCGTAAACAGTACAAGGCAGGTTGAATTGTTAGGATCATGTCCAGCCCTTAGCAGGTGTTTCCCTATCCATGTAAGCTTTGTTGGTGTGTGTGTGTGTAAACATGTGTGTATTGTATGCACATGTGTGTATGCATGTGCATGTGTGTATTATGTGTGCATGTGTGTGCACATGTACCTGTGTGTGCTGGTGTGTGTGCACGTGTGTATATACATGTACACATCTGTGCATGTGTGTGCACATGTGCCTTATGTGCATATGTGTGTAAGCACATGTGTGCAGGTGTGTGTGCATGTGTGTGTTTGAGGTTCAGGTCATGTGCCATTTGCTGTTGCTCATATCCTTTTGAGGCAGGGTTTCTCACTGAACATGGAGCTTAGTGCGTTGGTTTGCTGACATCTGCCTGGTTTCTCCTCTCCAGTGCTGAGGTTACTGATGTGTGCTTCTATGCCTGGATTTCTTAGGTGGGTGATGGGCTCTGAGCTTTGTCCCTCTGACTTGAGTGGGACAGCTTTGGCTCTTGAGCTATGCTCCCAGTCCCTGCCACTGGTATTTCCACCAATAGAAACTTACTTCAATGTATTGTTCACTTCAACTAATGTCCCAATGAGCCTACAGGAAACAGAAGCTTTCAAGTTGTGAAGACCAGAGAGATAAATGGACTTGGTGACATCACACAGCAAGGGTGAGATGTAAGCCTGGCTCTGTCTTAGAAGCCCTTCCTCTGTTCCAAGTATCCCACTCCAGAAAGTGTCCCTGGCTTGTGCTCTTTATACGCTGCAGGAGGCCTGGGCTCACCCTGATGAGAACACTGTTACCTGTTGATGAGAGAGACCACAGCCCCGAAGAGTTCTTGGTACAGGCCAGAGGCCATCCCCTCCACACACTCCACACCGGTCATCTTGAGCCCTGGATTGGGGAGACAGAAGATGATCCATGTTCAGAGGCCATGATCTCTCCCAGGGCCAAGAGCATCAATACCAAGCAGCCAGGGTCACCAGAGTGAGAAACCTCATCTCTCAGTGCTCAAATAATGTGCAAGTGGTTTTAAGAAAGGTGCTAACACGCCAGGCAGTGGTGGTGCACGGCTCTAATCCCAGCACTCGGGAGGCAGAGGCAGGCGGATCTCTGTGAGTTCAAGGCCAGCCTGGTTTATAAAGCTACACAGGGAAACCCTGTCTCAAAAAAGAAAGAAAGAGGGGGGGAGGGAGGGAGGGAGGAAAGAAGGAAGGAAGGAAGGAAGGAAGGAAGGAAGGAAGGAAGGAAGGAAGGAAGGAAGGAAGGAAGGGAAAGAAAAGAAACCAAGTTACCCCCCCAAAAAAAATAAAAAGAAAGGTGCTAATATCCTAGTGGGACTCCAGAGACTGCCCTAGCTCACCATGCCTTCCTCTCCGGATGCCTCACATGCTCCTCAGAGAATAACTGAAATGTTTGAATAAGAATGGTTCCCTGCTGGGCTTTGGTGGTGCTTGCCTTTAATCCCAGCACGCTGGAGGCAGAGGCAGGGGGATCTATGTGAGTTCGAGGCCAGCCTGACTGGTCTACAGAGCAAGTTCCAGGACAGCCTCCAAAACAATACAGAGAAACCCTGTCTCGGGAACAACAACAACAAAAAAAAGAATGGTTCCCACAGGATAACACATTTGAAAATCTGTCTCCAGCTGGTGGAACTACATGGGAAGGATTAGGAGGTGCGACCTTGTGGGAGGCGGTGTGGGCTTTAAGGTTTCAAAAGACTTGAACCACCCCCATTAGCTCGCCATGCCTCATGCTTGGAGCTCGAGATGTGAGCTTTCTGCTGTTGTTCCAGTCTGTCGCCATGCCGAACGCTTTCTCTTAGAAGTTGCTTTGGTGATGGTGTCTTACCACAATGATAGAAAAATAGCCATTAGGCCACTATATTTTCGATGTGGTGCTACATTCCATGTTCAGTCCTCGGCTTGGCACTCCCTGGAGATGGCAGAAACTTGAAGAGACAGAGCCCAGCGGGGGTACTGGGTCACTAGGAGTGTGTCCTTGAATGGTGGAACCCTTGATTGCCCTCTCAGCCCAAATAACCCTTCTGAATGTGACCGGCTCCCGTCCTTTGTACATACAGAAAGATGACTGCAGAGTTTCGCCTTAGGGTAGCTTCCCTGACAATCCCTTTCCTTCAGTTCAGCCCACTGCCAGCCCTAGTCTTGGCATAAATCATATACTTATACTTTATATCTACACTTTGCTTCCATGGTCCTTGTTATTTTAAACTACGCCTCCCTTCTGAGACTGGGGGTGACCCTAAGTGAGGAACTAACTCTGGGATCGGGGCCTTAAATCCCCAGTACCAGGCATGGAATGTAAGAGTGGGCGATTTCCTCTGGAAGTAGCCACAGGTTCACACTCAGATTCAATCACTTCTCTCCTAAGATTTGACTCGGGTGAAATATCCTGAGAAACACAGCAGTCTGGGTTCACAGAGCGTTCCAGTTGTTTGAATTGTCCAGAATCACTTTGTTGAGATAACTTGGTCATCCAAGCAGAGCGAATGATGAGATAATCGGACTCAGTCAGCCCATAGGCACGGAGTCGGGCACAGAACAGTGGGAATCGGCAAAAGCTCTCTCTCCTGGGGTGGTGGTGGAGGGGCTTAGCAGACCTGAGACTTGACTGAGCACAGGGAGACAGTGTGTCCCGTGAAAGCAGCTCACCTGGACATGGCTGTGCAGTGGAGAGAGGCCAGTCATAGCTCCCTTCAGAGGATCAGAATCCATTTCCCCTCAAGACAAACACTTGTGCTTCACATTCTACACAGCCTGCCCACTGCCGCTCCCAAGCATTTCCCGTTCTTCCTTTATCTCCATCCCCACCCTGGGCTGTTGCTAGGCAACACACAGCCTCACAGCATCGATCTGAGGCACACAGGTCCCTTGTCTGCTTAATGTCTGTCTCTGAAACCTTCGCTGGACAGACCAACTCAGACTCAAGAAGTGGTGTGTCTGTCTGTCTGCCCCTCTGTCTTGTGTGCGTTCTGTGCACGAGTCTTTCCATGTATGTGGCACATGTATTCACGTATGCACATGTGTACATGGGTTGTGCACACACAAGCATGCTGTCTGCGTGTGTGGCGTGCTATGGGTGAGAGGAGGAGGCAGCAGAAAACTAACCGGGAAAGGAACAGAAGAGCCATCACTTTATTGGAAGGTAGTCAGCTCCAGGGACCCACAGGGCAAAGAGGTTTGTCCCTGAGGTTGACTCAGACAGCCCCTCCTCCTCGTCACAAGCACACGCATGACAAAGCACAGCTTCCTCTTCTTTGAACCACAGCCTCAGAACCCTGAGAGCCACCCTCATCTGTCCTTCACTATTGAAATGCCTAACCTTTTCCCCATGGCTCCTCAGGCCCAATCCAACTTGGCACCCTAGTGTTTACTGTGTCACCTCAGTGAGCACCCTAAATCCAGCATCTGCCCCAATCACCCTTTCACCTAGTGATCCTTTCATCTGAGTGTAAGTGTGTGTGTCTCTGTGTGTGTCTGTATGTGTGTATTGTGTTTGTGTGTGAGTGTGCATGTGTGTTTGTGTGTGAATGTGCATTTGTGTATAAATGTGCATGTGTGTTTGTGTTGTATTTGTGTGTGAGTGCATTTGTGCGTGAGTGTGCATGTGTGTTTGTGTGTGAATGTGTGAGTGTGCATGTGTGTGTTTTTGTTGTGTTTGTGTGCAAATATGCATGTGTGTGTTGTTTTTATGTATGAGTGTGCATGTGTGTGTAAGAGTGTGTGAAGGCCAGAGGTGAAACTGTGTCTCCTTCTACTTTGTGCCTTATCTTTTGAGACGAGGCCTCTCACTAAGACTGGAACTCACCGCCTCAGTGGACCCCAGGACCGTCTCTGCTTCCTCGGGGCTGACAGCTTTTAGGTGGGTTTCTGGGAATCCAAACTCAGGTTCCCATGCTTGCATGGCAGGAACTCTACCCTCTGAGTCAGCCCCAGCCCTCACCTAAGGTTCTACGAGTTCTCATCTCTCCTCTGCCTTGCTGCTTGCCTTTCCAGCTGAGGTCTCCTGAGAACAGGATAAGCCTCGTCCTTCCCTGTGAAGCCGCTCTTCAGTTTCCCATCAGTCATTGCAAACTGTGTATGCGGATAGGCACCAGCCTTCCAGCCTCTCCCACATCCCTCCTGGTTGCAGACACAGCAGCCACGCTCTCAACCCTCACACAGGTAAGGCCTGCCTCCCCGCCTATCAAGAGTTCCATAAACACGAACCACAGTGGAAACACATGAGGCCTCTAGACACTGCCTAAGAGTCCCCTCTGCCAGCACAAAGGACCCACCCAGGACTCAGCAGCTTCCATGGTTACCGGCCAGAGAGAGCTGTTTGACAATAAGCACCAGAAGGGGAGGAACCATTCCCTGTTCCACCAACGCCTGTGCTCCCTGGCCTGGCACTTGTACACAGAGCAACTCTCCTAAGACATCTTGATGACCATGTGAAGGCATGGGGAAGCATGCAGCACAGACACCAGTGCAGCCGCTGCAAGGCATGAGGCCCCCAGAGCGAGGCCTTGAGGACTTGGTACCTGAGCTGGCATCATTGTCCTCCAGACCCTGGCGTTGCGGCCCTGATGTCATTTGCTCGATAATCTGCCGTAAGTGGTGCTTGAAGGTGGCCGTATTCAGTTCCTCGTAGTCACAGCCCAGGGCCTCAGCAGCATGGTTGGCCCACTCAAACCGCATGAACTGCTTCCGGCCCACTGTGCAGAGAGGTTGAGGAAGAGGTGTGGAGTGAGATGGCAGGCACAGGGAGGCTGCATGACCAAGAACACTTCTGGGAGTCCTGCCACCCCCCATCTGGTTTGTATTTTTTTAAGCTGTTAAATATAACAAAGGAGAACACCCTAAATGGAGAAGAGGGTAGGATTAGGACATGTCCCCCCATGCATTTATCTGTGTGCATATCCACTACGTTTTGACCCCTGCGTGCCCGATCAACCACCCAACCACTTACCCACTTACCCAGCCACACATCCAACCTGTATGTTCAGCATATCTATTGAGCACCTCTGATGTGACAGAAAGTCACACATGGTGACTGCCCTCATGCATCTTACAGTCCAGTGAGGGAATTGGGCAAGAAGCAAGCAGACAGACAGACAAGTGAGATGATTTCAGGTGGTACATGTCCCAAAGAGAAACTAAACCAGAATGGTGGACAAAGAGAGGTGGAGGTTGTGTTAGTGTCTGCTGGCCAGAAGAACTCTGGGAAGATGTGATAATGGACTCGGGCTGTAACCAGTAAGGAGATTAGAGGTGAGGGGGCAGTGCAAAGGTCCTGGGGCAGAAATGAGTGTGGTGTGTCCAAGACAACCAGTCCAGCTGGAGCATACTGGGCAGGAGGGCAGCAAAGTGAAGTCATCAGAGATACACTGGGAAGCCGGCGAGTGGTGTGAAGCCTTTTAAAACACTCCCTGGCTACAGAAGGGGTTAAGTAAAAAGTGGATGACAAACCACCCCACAAGACACTGTGATGTCGTTTCTAAAGCTCTGTTACAATGAGAAAAGTGGGGAGGGATGGTGAGATGGCTCAGCAGGCGAGATGCTTGCCACCAAGCCTGAAAGACCTGAGTTCAATCCCCAGGACCCACAGGGAGGACTAGGAGAAAAAACTCGTGCAGGTTGTCAATGCATGCTACACAAATAAATAGATGTTTTTATTTTTTAATTACATGACAAACAGAAATGCAGTCAGACAGTAATCATGACAGGGGGAATAACTGACATTTTCTAAACCGCTTCCAATAGCTGTGGACTGATTTTTATGACCCAAATACAAATAACTTACTAATTAAACCATATCACAATGTGCTCCTTTCAAGCATTCTCTGTCTCCTGTCTTCTTGAAAATGTATTCCTTTACTTGAAACACAAACCATGGCTATCTACAGACATTCCTCTGTCCCCCAAGTGACTTCCAGGGCACAGTGGGCCAAGGAGACAGATGAATAATCAGTCTCAGGGTGAAATTAGAACCCTGGGGGAGAGATTCCGCCTGAGACTTTAAGCAGTGTTTCCTGAGGAGGATCGCGAACAGAGGCTGCTTGCTGGGTTTCCCATGTGCCAGCATGCAGGGGTGCTCACCTCAGGTGCCGCTTCCCAGTGGCAATGAATCTGAGACTTGGGGCAGTCAGTCAAAGATGATGACATAGCTGATGATGGTGGTAATGTGGGGGTGGGGGTGATGACGATGATGGTGGTGGTGAAGATGGTGGTGGTGGTGAAGGTGGCGGTGGTGATGATGGTCATGAAGGTGATGATGATATTAAGTGACATGGTGGTGGTGATGGTGGTGGTGGTGAGTATGGTGTCAACAATGAGGGCAGTGACAGTAATGGTTAAGCTGTGTGGACCTTCTCTTATTGGGCATGCTGTGTTTTTAGCTCTCCTTATTTGGACCTTGGGAGCCTATGTGACACCACATGCTGCACATGGAGAAATCTTGATATGCGTTAGCCCATTCATTCACTGTTTATCATCACCATTACATTTTCACAAGCATTCTAGCTCTATTGCCATTTGTGCTTCTGTTGATTATTTCTTTGGAGCAAATTCTCTCTACCCAGCCCAGGCTGGTCTGAGCTCACTATGCATCCTGAACTCTCGGTCTCCTGCTTTCACCTCTGCTACAGATGTGGGTGGCCATCATCACTTAAAGATGAGAAAAAATGACTCAAGAGAATCACCTGACAATAGTTAGCCACTCAGTGGAAGAACCTGTTGTCGCCAAAGTCCGCCCTTCAAATGTCACCTTTAGGAAACTTAGCACGTCCTCAGGACCCCAGATCAACATTCTCTAAAGTGAACCCAGACTTCTATTTCTCTCAGAAAACACATTGTGAAAGGGAAATGCTAGTTCTCTGTCTCACATGAGAACCATTGTCACCTGTCACAACAGAAAGCAGAAATAAGCACAATGCAGGTGCCACCAGGCCATTAGATTCTAATTAGATCCATTGCCTCCCAGGCTGAATCCAGCTCTCTCTTTGTCAGAGAGGGAGCTGAGCAGACATTAGAGAGAGACTGGACAGCCCAATATCCCAGAAGAGGCTTCCTTCTTCCTAGACACGGGGGCTGCTTGCACTAACAGGAGATGACTTCCCCATGGGTGTCTCTGGTCCTCTCCTGGTGCCCACTGTGCACATCTACTCTAGAGTTCCTGCCCCCACCACACTCTAGGGTAACCTGCCCAGCTTCAGGGAGCTGGTGAAGCTGGAGGGGTTGGGGGTGAGGTCCCTGGGAGAAGCTGAGGTTTCTGAGAAGGTCTTCTGGGCTCTGTGGGTCCTCCTGGCCTATGGCACATTTCCAGGTTCTGCAGAAGGACCTTCAGCTAGTGAAACCAAAGTGGCTGGTGGGAAGCTTGGCCAGAGAGCTTAACCAAACCTGATTCCTCTGCCTTTGCTCAGACAGGTGCAGCAGCCCCAGCCCATCTCAGGAAGGCCAAGGACTCAGGGGTGCCACCTGAGAGGGAGAGAGGCAGAACTGGGTAAGATCACCAGGAGGAAACAGGCTAAGAGTCCAATTTCCACCTCTGCCTTTCCCAGGTGACTACTACTCAGATGTTTACACAGTTATTATGACCCGTGAAAGATCATAACAGCCCCCCCCAAGATCCTTTTAGAAGGGCATAAGGCCTGGGTGGAGACAAATGGGAATGTCCAGTGTACTGTCACTGTGTCTCCACCTGTAAACTCCAGAGGGCGCTCCTTTCCAGGTCCCAATAGTGCAGGGCGCCCCCTGCAGGTCTGTCAGCTGCCTCAGGAAACGGCTGTGATCATGGAGAATGCTAGCATTGGGCAACAGCATCAGCATCCCCTCTGGGGGGCCTCAGTTGACTAAGGCTACTTCTCTACTAAAAGGGAGACCTGTGTTAGCCCAGTGTCTGCTACTAACTCCCTCCAAAACCAGGGACACCGTTACACTCCTCAAAAGGCCACCACTGAGGTTGAGGAAGGATCAGGGGTTCCCAGCATCTGGAGGAACAAGGACATCCTTGCAGAGATGGCCCCATCATTAAAGTGGGGGCCTGAGTTCCGATCCCCGGAACCCATGGGAAAAAGTCAGGGGTGGCAGCACAGACCTGTAATCCCAGCACTGGAGAGGTGGGCACAGAAACCCGCGGCTTGCTGGCCTTGGCCAGCTAGTCTAGCAAGAGTGGAATGCCCCAGACTCAGTGAGAGGCATTGTTTCAGAATACATGAAGGGTGGAGAGAGACTGGTGAAAGCAGCCACAGCCAGACAGCTGTACACATGCACCAGGGAAAATGACTCCTGTGTCATAGCCATGTCACAGCCTGGCCAAGTGTCACAGCTGCAGGACTTCTCAGAGCCCTTAAAGCGGCTTCTACGAGCCTCTAGCAAGGGGACGTCCTTTTTAACCCAATTTAACCTCAGAATGCCTTCACAGAGCCGGCAGCAGTTCCCATGTCCCAGCAGAAACTGGTCTGGGAAATTCTGGTTCAGCTAAAGGAGCCCCCCCCACCACGGTTTCTCTGTCTCCAGAGTCACAGAGCTGCAATGCTTGAATAGAGAGGGCAAAGGAAGAATAAGGAGAGAAAAGGAAGTTTCAAGAAAAGATCCTGGGGCTGCAGAGTCTATGACTCAAATCTACCTGCAAAGGCGAGGTTTGAGGGGGCGGGCGGGGGGAAGGGGAGGGAGAGAGACGCGCGTGCGAGTGCACAATGGCACAGCTATTGTCCCCGTGCACGGTGGGTTCAATTGCTATCAATTACTGTGACCTCCTGCATTTATTAATAACTGAGTTATTTCTCCTTCCGACAATAGCTGAGTTGTTCCTGATTACTCAACATTATGGGGCTTATTTATAACGCCAGAGCATCTGGCTCCCACTGCCTCACACAGAGATTTACAATTCCGAAGCATGGGAAGACGGAGGCCACCTGCAGAGGAGAGATAAGCTCAAAGGGCTGTGGCTGCTGCAAGAGCAGGAGTCGGCTCCAAAGACAAAGTGGCTGGTTCAAATCCCTCCTCCACCACCAATGTCCTGAGACGTCGGGTTGACTCTCAGATACTCTGTCTTGTCCTCCTCAAAATGACAGAGGAGGGCATGCGTGAAGACTTGGCAAGGTTGTGGGTGCACCGGATCTGCACCCCAAAGCCATCCACCATCAAGAAAGATGCATCAAGAAGAACAGGTTCCCAGCAGGAACATTCCTGGAACCAAATCTCTGTCCCGAAGCCCAGCCAAAGACTGCCCCCTCACTCTTACAGAGCTTCCTGCTTCCTAGGGATCCTAACCTGACACTGCCACCCTCAGGCGACATGCAGCCCCGCCCACCCATGTGACTCCCTACTCTGGCTGCTTTGGAGGAAGCTGGCATCAGCACAGGCCTCTGCTGCTCACACATCTGGACAAAGCCTTCCAGAAACTGCTGCTGAGTTATACATGACCCAGCAGGAATCAGCATCACGCCTACAGCTGAGGAGTGGGGGCAGCACTTACACCTCATGGTGTTCTGGGAGGTGACACTCCTGAGGGCACCTCAGGTAGGGTGACTGACAGGCCAACCCAACAGGCTTTAGTGCAGGACTTCTCAGATGCTCCATTGTGCCCTGTGCACTGAGAATTCACAAGAGGAAAGGAATAGACCTCAGGGAGGTCTCTCAAACTAACAAAACCAAGACTTCAGGGGCCTGTGGCTGCCAGTGACTCCTCATGGTGCTGGGGGACTGTGGGAAGAGCCAGAGGCCTGAGGTCCAAAGACAGTTTCAGTATTGTTGTGATATCTCAAGCAAGAGACATCCCCTTTCTGGGCCTTGGTCTTTTTATCTCTAGAATGGGTTGGCTGCTTTCCCACTGGGTCATTTAAGAGTAAAGTTAGACACTGAATGTAAAGCCAGCTAGCAGTATCCCTGCACAGGGGACACAGCTGTGGAGCAGAATGTTCGGGGAGTCCCCAGGCAGAAGGTGTCACACAAAGTGGCAGCAATACCAACAGCACAGAGAGACTAACAACAGATCCATGGGTGGCTTGCCTGAGGCCACTCTGCTAGAAAAGCAGACACCGGGAGGGACTTGGATCTAACTGGGTCCAGTCAAGAACCCTTCAATACAGATACATGCTCCCTGCAACAGGAGGCCATGTGGGCCACTCTGCACATCCCTTTGAAACTACTTATTACCAGTATCATAACCATCGCCATCATCAACATCACCATGACTGTCATCACCACCATCACTGTCATCAGCACCGCTTTGCATGGGTGTGGAGCTGTTCAAGCAGCACTTAGCACCTGGTGACCACTAAGGGACATCAGCTTCCACTATTATTCAAACAGAGTATAAAATAGAGGGGCTTCCATGACCCACCAAACTCCTGAGCCCCCCGTGTTGCGGCTTCCACATTTAACCCCAAGGCCGGGAGCCACTGGGAGCTCTGCTTTCCAGCCCCAGCCACTTTGGGGAGTTCATTTTTCAGAAACTTCTAATTGTTTCCATCCCAGAGCAGCCATCCCCGCTTAATGAATGAATTCAATATGCTCAGAAAATGCAGAATAAATCCTTGCCTGTGGCCCAGAATAGGCCTGCTGCACAGCTGCTGGGATGGAAGCCAAGCCACCAGCTGGGGCAGGGCGGACAAGAACAGGCTTGGCCTTGAGAAGCACATGGGAAGAGGGGATGGGGAGGGGCTGGGTCTCAGGACCATCGCTGGGCCCAAGGACAGATTGATGGAGTCTCCACAGTGCCCAGTCACATGCCCGCCCACAGCTGTCCATCTACCATGCCAGGGCAGGGATTTAGGTGGGAACTCAGACTCCAGGCCTCACATGAAGAAAGAGAGAAAACCAAGAACCAGATACGCAGACCCTGCGCACCACAACTCCCAGAGCATCGCCCTATGTCCGTTTCGTAGGTTTAGCTGTCTGTAGTACCCTGTGGGGAAACGGGAGGCTGGAACCCTTCTCCTCCTGTGCCCAGCATCACTGCATTTTCCATAGGCAATCTGTGTAGTCTGGGAAGAATGAGGGCAGTGTCCCAGGGCAGCTGGGGACTACCATCCTTGGGAGACGAGGGGAAAGAAAGGACAGAACGGGACTGCAGAGATGGCACAGTGGCTAGGAGCACGCGTTGCCCTTGCAGGGGACCTGGGTTTGTTTCCCAGCATCTGAGTGGTGACTCACAGCTGTATGCAACTCTAGTTCCAGAACATCTGACACCCTCTTCTGAACCCCAGGACACCAGGCATGAGCATGATGCAGACATACATGCAGGCAAAACACCCACACACATAAAATGACTACACATGAAAAGAAACGGAAGACAAAAGAGGAGTGAGGTGGAGAAGGAGGGCATAGGGGACTTCTAGTTTCATCTTGTGGATGTGACAAGTACCCTGACCAAAAGCCACTTAGGGGAGGAAAAGGCACTGCTGGAGTCAGCCACCGTATCCAGGGGCAGCAGGATGTGGGGCAGGAAGGAGCTTTCCTGGTTGGTGCCAAATCCTTTCCTAGTGTTTCTGTTTCTCGTAGACACTAAGTATAGGTGGGACCACAGCCACGAAACAGCAGAGAGAGCAGTTTCCTGGGCAGAGCAAGGAAGACGCTGCCTTGTGTCCGTGCTAGCTCCTATGCCCCAGCCTAGAGCAAGTCCACCGACCTCCTCCACCCCCGTATGGACTGACTTTGCTAGTGTCCAGCAAAAGATGGGGTGCTGGGCCCTTGTCGTTAGTGACACTGTGTAGTGAGCCTCTTGGGGCCCCAAATTATAGCCCCATTCATTCCGGGCCTGGCATCTTTACGATGGTGGCGGGTAGCGGCCTTGCGCCTTGTTTCTTTCCCATCACCGGCCCTTCTGGGCTTATGTATGGTCTGACTGTGTCGTATATTAGGCAGTGGGTCAATGCTAAGCAGGCCAGTGAATTTAGTGAATGGCAAATAAATTAAGTATGCTCTGGCCTTCACAGAGAAAAGAGGCCAAGCCATAGAAGTCACAGACACGAGCATCTCTCATCCCTGCTGTGAGGCGGGATTCTATTTGCCGTGGTCCTCTCTGTAGAGCGGTGAGGGTCAGCAGGCACAGTGACACTCAGCCCCACTTTCTGTGGAGAGCGATGGGACCACGGGGAATGGGGAGGAATGGAGACAGGCCCAAGTTCCCTCACCAGGTAGAACTTCCAATTGATGATAATCATATCAGTATCAAGGAAACCAGCAGGGCCATAAATGAGCAGATTAAGGGGAGTCAGTCTTGTGAGTGTGCTGGCATGGTCATTACTGTCACATTTTACAGATGACAGCATTCAGTCCCCAAGGACAGAGAGTTGCCCCAGTCGGGAAGCTTAGCCTGGCCCTGGGAACACAGGCCCTCATCAAACCACTGTCATATGTGCATGTTTGTGTGTGTGTGTGCATGAGCGCGTGCATGTGGAGGCCAGAGATGAGCTTCAGGTATTCTCCCCAATCTCTTTCCATCTTGTTCCTTGAGACAGAGTCCCTCACTGAACCAGGAAACCAGTGTGGTCAGCAAGCACAGTAGGAATACAGATGACAGCCACTGTGCCCAGCTTATGTGGGTGCCAGGGATCCAAACTCAGGTCTCCATGCTCACATGACAAAACACTTTACCAACTGAGCTACCTCATAGGCCCAGTTCATTTTACGGGAAGGAAAGCGAGACAGAGCTCCCCAGCTGCCACTCTTGTCCATATCACGATCTGCACTCAGACCACATTTGCAAATATTCTCCTCAGAGCATCGGTGCATGCCCTCATGCCATCACCTCACAACGTCCCCATCCAGTCACCAGACCACACATCACCCCACCCATGCCATGCTGGTTTCAAGACTTCTAAAGCAGCCTGAGAAGGCACAGGCAGGATCCCTGATTAATGAAAATGAGCCTAATATATTTCAGAGCGATCTGTTATGACACAAGGCAGAGGCGTTTACACACGACTGTGGATTTTTAATAGCTGATTCTAGAACAACCCATTATGAAATCTTCCAAAGCAGAAAAATACAGTAAATCACAGGGCAGGGCTTCCAGGCAGACTAACACAAACTTTCCGTACAATAATGTAGAGGGTGGGTAAGTATGTGTGGGGGGAGGGGGTGGAGGGAATTACTGCCATACCATGAGTTAATAAAATATTTATAGACATGGATTTCTCTCTTATCATCCTTGGCATGTCAATGCAAGGGAGCTTCTGAAAGCACATCGGAGGGGATGCCCACGTGTCCCAAGAGGAGAGGGAATTGAGCTGAGACCCTCTTTACCACGGCAGGTCAACTGCAGTCTAGCCCAGTTGGAGGCAAAGAGCATGCCTGGTTGACATGGGATGGTGGGGCCAGCTGTCTGCCCAACTGGTCCTCTGCCTTCTCCTCCTCACCCACCTCTTCCTCATCCTCCTTCATCCTCACCCACCACCTCCTCCTCTTCCAGCTGAACCTCTCCAAGACAGCAGGGAACCTCCTCCAGACAGTCCTTCCCACTGAGCGCAGTCAGAGCTGTGTCAGTCAAGGAGTCCTAGCTTATCAGAGCCGAGAGTTGGACACATGGGCAACTATAGCCCCTTCCTTCTTTCTAACTCCTGGTTGTGGTCCCCTATGTCTTGGCTGCACTTGGGGTAAGACCATCTGTGGTCACTCAAGGACCAGTGTTCTTAGAAGCAACAGAAAAGGACATGAGAACCAAGAAGGAAATATACGAGGAAATATACGTGATGGCAGAAATGGGGATAAGGCATCGTTGCCAAGAAAGGCCAGAGTCGCAGACTGGAGAGGGACGTGCTCCTGTGAGCCTTCATGGGGTGTGACTGCACACAACCTCTTCCAGACACCGGGCACCCAGCACTGACAGAGGAGAGGCTGGACATTTGCCACAGTGCCACAGCAGTGAGAGAGACAGAAGCCACTGCAACAGTCCAAGCACAGATGTGCAAACAGGCAGACACCTGTTGTAAAGTGCCAACGAGGGCAGCGACACCACAGCAGCAGCAGTGTGGGCAAGCCGCTGAGGAGGAGAGGGCAAAGCCACCAAAGCCACAGAGACACCAGTGATGAGACACAACCAGCAAGCTGTCAGTCACAGATGACAGGGATGACTGGTGGAACCCAGCAGGTGTGCTAGGGACAGTCGTCCCTTACATGACACACCACTTATATACACATATACCACATACACATCACACACACATATACACATGCACGCACACACATATATACATGCACACTAACATACAGCGCACACACACACACACACATACACACACACTCTTACACATTTACATGTGATTCTAAATTCAATTCCTTAGCCATGGGTGACATTTCCTGTGCCCTATGGCCCTGTGCTCCTGGTGACCACTGTGACAGACGGTGGAGATGACAGGGTCTCCATCAGTGTGGCAGGTTCTCAGGGACAGCACTAGCTGGAGAGTCGCTGGGGAACCCTGAGTGGTGACAAGAGGAGTCTGTCCCCACCTTTCTGAGAGAAAGACCACATCAGAGCACAGCTGGCAGGAGGGACTAACCGTACCTTTGCAAGCCCCTGCTGCACCCAGGTGGTAGATGGCTGCCAGCACCCGCCAAATGGCTCGCTGCTCACCCTCAGAGATGCCCAGCAGCTCCATGGCACCCCGGAGCTGGGAAAATGCAGTCGCCGCCTTCTGCTTGTCTTCAGGCTAAGGGAAGAGGAGAGAATAGCAAGGCTGTCACAGTGGAGAGACTGGAATTCACAGCTCAGAGCTGAGGTCGGTCTGCAGGGCACACAGTCAGTTTATGACGGCGGTAAATTACCCACGGTTAAGCCAGGCTAGGTTTGGCAGCCACAGTCAGACTTCTGGGAAGGTTGTAAATGTCATTTGTGTCCGGTTTGGGGTGCGGGGTGGGTTTTATTCATTCTGGAAGGATTTATCGAGACTCTGATTTTCACTGAGCTCTGGTCTGGATGCCAAGATAACAGAGCCCGAGCTCAACCCTGGAGCCTCTCAAGGCAGAAGTGAGCGAAACATAAAAGCGACGGGGCGTGGGAAACAGGCTGCGTGGTGGATCCCAGGCCTGAGCAGGACGCAGGAGATCACAGAGGAGAAGCAAAAACCGGGGCGGGAGCTTGAAAGGTAGATGTGGGGAACCGACCAAATGAGCGGAATGGAGGGCCCCGCACATAAGGATGGACGCGACAGAGGTGGCTGAGCAGAGGAGGATCCAGAATTGGCTATTAGCAGAGGTGGGTGACACAAAGAAGGAAAGCAGACAAGGCCTGAGACGGTCCGCGGTCCATCACGAAGGCCACAGACACCATTCTGAGGAGCAGAAGTTTCCAGCCGGGACTATTAAGTCCTCACACCTGACCCCACTTCCATTTCTGGACCAGCAGCAGACATCACTAATCAATCAAGATCCCACAGCAAGCCGGTGGACCCAGATTCATTTCAGGACACCACCTTTTGCAACCAAACCCCAAGATCTACCTCCGGAGCTGGATCAGTGTTTGTTCGCCGCCCCCTGTGGGATGAAGGGAAGTTGTCAGAGAATTTAAAGCAGGGGAAAATGGCCCAATAAGGTGTTTGTGGGTTATTGAGCTTCAAGTGTCATTTTTTTCTCTTTTTGTCAGATTTATGGTTCTAATTATATTTGATTGAATATTAAAATTAATCTGAAAGTAGTCCTGTGTGTGAACCGTCTGGCCGAGGACACACAGCCCAGAAGCCTGGAAGGCAAAGAGAAAGTAAGGTGGGAACAGGAATCCTTTCATCAGTAACCTGCCACAGCACATAACGAGAGACCAATTTGTACCTGATCCAAGTAAAGAATTTGGGTGACACAGGGCAGGGCAGCCTGTTAGAGCTGACAGGTCCTGGATTTTTGTAGAGTCCCATGCCCAGAGAGAGCATGACAGATGCCAAAGGCCACACAGCAGATTAACGGCAGACAGAAGACCAGAGGCTTCCCTGGGTCCTGCCCACGCCGTTCCTTTTCTACTCCAGCCACAGAAGATAACTAAGAGACACGCAAGGATCCTCAGCCAATTGAAGTGACATCAAAGCAGGTGGTGACATTGAGGGATTCGCCTTGGAAGTGTTTCAATTAACAACAGAAGCATGTCCCAGCGCTCTGTCATATTCCTGGGCCACCACAGAACCACAAAGTCCCTAGCAACCTGGGGCTCAGCCTAGCAACCGCAGCTGCTCCTCCACAGCAGACAGGGAAGGGAGGCTTCTCCAACAAGCACCCGCTTATTTATGAGATTTCAAAGTAGCAGGGAAAGGATATGCAGAGGACAAGATGCGAGATTACCGTGGCTCCGAGGTCAGCAAGGAGCACTTGATTTTGAATAACAGATAGAACCCATTACCCCGCTGTTAGCTGTTGTGAGAGGGTGGGGAGACACCCGGAGAGCCTCTCTCCTCTCTCCTCTCTCCTCTCTCCTCTCTCCTCTCTCCTCTCTCCTCTGCACCCCACGTCTCTTTGGATGCAGAGAACATGAGATAGCAAGGAGATGTATTCCTGTCAAATGTGACCAGGCTCAGGACGATGACTAGAGAGCCCATTGTTTTTTGTTTGTTTGTTTGTATTTTTGTAACTGCACATCACCCTGACTGATCTGCTCTTGGGTAAAAACCGTGAAACAAGAAATAAATCAGATGAATGGATACATCACCTCCAAGTAAGCTGGGTACCAGGAGAGAGGCTAAGAACCTCTCCTTAGGATCACCTAAGCAGTGATCCACAGCCCAGGGAAAAAGAACAAGGCGATGATGTATTCACTGGTGTGTGGGGGGGGGGGGTTCCAAACCTAAACTGAGTCAAAGAAGTCATGTCCAAAGGGTTACTCTTCATCTGCCATCTGCCGCCAGTTTTAAAACGTCTGAGACAGGGTAGCTAACAAGAAAGCATGCCTTCCCGTGGGATGGCTACCTGGGAAATTCCCAGCATAGCCTTGGGCAGAGCCATAGCACAGTGCCTTGTTCCTCGTGTCTGTGGGTGTCTCTGGGTCCCCCCACAGTGCCTTGTTCCTCGTGCCTGTGGGTGTCTCTGGGTCCCCCCACAGTGCCTTGTTCCTCGTGTCTGTGGGTGTCTCTGGGTCCCCCACAGTGCCTTGTTCCTCGTGTCTGTGGGTGTCTCTGGGTCCCCCCACAGTGCCTTGTTCCTCGTGTCTGTGGGTGTCTCTGGGTCCCCCCACAGTGCCTTGTTCCTCGTGTCTGTGGGTGTCTCTGGGTCCCCCCACAGTGCCTTGTTCCTCGTGTCTGTGGGTGTCTCTGGGTCCCCCCACAGTGCCTTGTTCCTCGTGTCTGTGGGTGTCTCTGGGTCCCTCCACAGTGTTTGTGATGCTGAGGTGCTCTCCTACCGTCCCAGACTCATGAGGGGACATCGGATTTTGTCAACAGCCTTTTCTGCACCTGTTGAGAGGACCTTGTGGCGTGTGTCCTCCATGCCATTCCTGTGACATACTTATTGATATGCGTGCGCTGAGCCACCCCTGCACCGCTGGAATTAAGCAAGTGTCTTGTGATGAATGGTCTTTAATGTGCTCTTGGATTTAATTTGCAAGCATTTTGTTGAGCTTTTATTTTTTCCCTTCATCTATGCTCAGAGAGGGCCTACAATGTGATGTTCCTTTGCGTCATTGATCCAGTTTGACTCCTCTCTACCTGGTGGACTCCTACTCATCCTTCAGAACCCAATGTCAGTCAGGCCCAATGTCCCTGACGGGGGCTGAGCACCTCTTCCAATCACCCTCCAGTGCCCACAGCCCCACTTTCTCCTCCGTGCTCTTCTCTCGTAACTGTATTAATTCCCCGCCTCTTTCCTAGTGCCAGAGTCCTGACCTTCAACCCCAGCTTCAGCACAGCTGAGCGAGGGCAAAGGTGGTCCAGAAAGATGGACATCTGGAGACCTAGGGTTGAAGGGAGATGCTATACCTCGGGTCTCTACCACCACGTGTCTCCCTGTTCAGAGACAAGTCTCACCTCCTCGATCAGCCCGGACTCTACAAAGTCAGTCCCCTGCCTCTCCCACAGGACCACCACTGACAACTACAGAGCCAGAGTGACAGGAGGCAGTGGGTCCCAGCCTGGCCCTGGGACTGGGATGCACCCTGGAGGTCAGTCGCTTACCCGGGACCACACGCCCATGCCGAAGGCATTGCTCTCCAACGTCTGGTGCAGGTTCAGCTCTGTCCTGAAAGGAGGATTGGAAGCGAGGGGTCAGCCCATGCTGGAAGGAAACACAGAGCAGGAGGCATCCCCCTGCAGGCCACACCACACCCCGACTGCCCAGGACACAGCAGGCTGTACCTGTCCCCCATCACTGTTCGAACCAGGGCCTCCCTCCCTGATGGCCCCGTGCTCCAACCTCACACACCACTCCTGAGAAAGAGACTGAGGCTCAGAGCGGATAAAATGTGAGCAACGCCCCTCGGCCCTTGTGCAGAGCCCAGGAGACTGGGGTCCCCAGCACCCTGTAACCCAGCCTGTCAGCCTGACTAGAGGTTCACGCTGGGCCCTCTTCATCCCACTGCCTCAGCTGGTCTGATCTGTCCCAGGTGAGGTGCTCACCTGAGTTCTACATCCAGCCCAGCCAGCAGCTGAGAGAAAACTTCAAAGTTGCCTTCCCCTTGCGGCTGCCGGGCCACACGGCTGTTCTCCAGAAGCACTGTCTGTGAGGGCAGCATGGGCAGTGTGAGGCTGGTGACACAGGCAGTGTGAGTGTCTTGGTCCCCAAAGGCCCCACGTGCATGCCCCGCCCCCGCACTCCCTGAGGCCTCACCACAGGGATGACCTCTCCCCAGGTCCAGAACTCCACAGGCTATAGAGTCCTCTAGCAAGGCTTTAGTGGGTGCTGAGAAGCCAGCTCTCCCTGAGCTGAGCTGAGCTGTCACCAGGTGCTGCGTGGCCATCCCCTCAAACACCCGATTCTGTTTTCTGTTCAACTGGAATGTTGGAGAGGGGGACAGGCCACATGTCCGGCACACAGGGGCAGGCTTCTCTGTGTATCTGTTACATTTCACCGGGGGCTTTTTACGGCCGGCCAACAAGCACCTGGATTCTGTTTGCACTGCGTTGCGCCCACACCCCAGAGCCACACCGTGCTGGCTGCTCTCAACATTCTGGGGTGCTGAGCCTCGTAGGACCCTTGTCCCCGAGGAGCTGCAGGCATTCAAACACGTCCCAGGGTCCCGACTAGAGATGTGGGTACAGGCACCACACTTTAAGGAGCCCTTGCCCATCCCTGAGCCTCACCTGGAACTGAGCAGCTGTGACCCGGCCCGTGGCGTTGAAGTCCAAGGATGTCACCATGGCAAAGCGGGTGGCCCTACGGCTGTGGCCAGTGGACACAGAGCCGAAGGCCCGGAGGGCAGTGAAGGCAGCCTGGAGCTTCTCCACTGTTGGGAGGGAGGCAGAGGGGAGGTGTCACTTGCGCCCCAAGTGGGCCACTCTGGTGTCAAGTCCCAGAGTCATGGGTAGGACAGAGACAATCTGAGCCACAGGGTTGTAGTGCCCAGGGTCTACTTAACTCCTTATTAACAGTTAACACCTGAGGGCCAGCAGAGGGCCTAAGGGTCCTGGAATCTCCCCTGAGGGTATTCTGAGTACCCACAATGCCCTGCTGCTGTACCAGGCACCTGGACACAGCCTATCCTGTCTTCTACCTTCATGTACACAACAGAACCAATCTGTGAGACAGTCTGGGAGGGCGGGCCCCACCCCCATCCCCAGCCCAGTAAGCTAAGTGCTAGAGTGACCACAGTAGGGGCAGCAGGCAGAGCACCTACAGGAGGCCCAAGGGGGCTCTGCCCTGCAAGGTGTTATCCTCTTTATGCTTCAGGTGGCCCATCTCTGGAGGCTGGAGGTGCTAGCAGCGTGACCCTGGCGTGGCCCTGACTCACTGACTGACTTAACAGTTCCTCGTTTGTGGAAAGTACCTGTGGGCTGCAATGGTGGCTGCACAGCCACTGCCGTCAGGGTGCAGTGCTGTGTGGGTGAGCAGACACCATTCTAGGAGGAAGTGAGAATGCTCCTGTTTCTAGAATACACACGCACACATGCATGTACACACACACACACATGCATGTACACATACATGCATACACACACATGCATGCACACATACAAGCTCATGTGTGTACTTTCCGGGCAAACTCTGTGTGTGTGTGTGTGTGTGTGTGTGTGTGTGTGTGTGTGTGTGTGTGTTTTAGCTGTGGCATTGAGCTTTCACGCCTGAGGCAATATGAAGTGAGAAATGTCTATGATGGCTCCATGGGGACATTAAAAACATGATTGAGAACCCTGGTTCAAGGTAACTACCAACCTCAGCTCTCCAACCAGCTTGCTCTGTGGCCTTGAGCAAGCTAATTAATCTCTCTGATTCTCAATGCCTTTATCTACAAAGTTCAAATAACAACAGCTACCTCCCAGTTCTGTTCAAAATCACAGACTCTTGTGCTTAGAGTCTGTCCTGGGGTCCCTGGGGGTGCCCACACTGATGGCTGTGACCACTGTCCTCATCATTCCTTTAAGGCCCACTGCACCCCACAGCACGCTTGCAGTCTTTGCTTCCCGGATCCTCCGTACTCCGGTTGGCTGCCCACTGCACAAGGACACACACACTCCTGAGGGACTGTCAATCTGTCCTGGGGGGATTGCGCCCAGCAGGTGGCAGCCAAACTTCTGCTTCCAATTGTCCTAGCTATGATGGCTGCATAACAGAGGTGGATACTTATCCTGGCATTGTGCAATGTACAATGCAGCAGCAGCTTCCTGGGTCAGCAGCCAACACAGGGCCCTCATTTATCTGTGCTCAGTGAATGGCAACTGAACAGAACTAAAGAAGAGCCACCTAGAACACCCTTACATGAACCACTCAGGACCCCCCAACCCTCCCATCCCTATTCCCACCCACCTGTCACCAGGAGCCACTGTACCTGACACCCTGCTGTCCACGCTGCCTGTCATGCCCACCAGGTGCTCCAGCACCTGCTCGCAGCAGGTGGTCTTCCCAGCCCCACTCCGGCCCAGTGCCAGGATGCTCTGGTCTCTTCTCTGACTCAGCAGTGCCCAGTAGGCACGCTGGGCCAGGGATGTGACGTGGGCGGGCAGACCATCCTGGCGCCCTCGGGGTACCTGCCGGAAAATGACAGGCATCAGCCCTGCTGCCAGCCTGCAAGAGTCATTCATTCACCACTGGTTCACCAGGAGTCCTGGGAAACCTATGAGCGCATTATAGTCTCCACCCAGAAGTGGTTCGTTGAATTTACAAGTCAAGTCATTGGGTAGGATTTGCCTGAGGTGAGGTAGCTGGAAAGGCTGACACAAATTGAGCATGGAAACAGGCTACCAGTTTGTGATGTCTGCCATGAAAACAAACTGAGCCATCTCCCTGGCCAAGAAACCAGTCCTGAGCAGTCACTGCTGGGTTCTGATGATGATAGGAAACAAGCAAGACCTCAGGCAATGCAGGTGGGTGCTGGGTGACGCTGTCACTGTAGCGTGCAGGCTGGAGCTTCCTCCCCAGAAATGAGAGAACTCATCCCACAGCCCACACCAGTGCTCCAGGTATATGTCCAAGAGAAAGGAAAATGTGTTCTCAGAGACCCACGTGCCACAGGTCATCCCAAATGTAACAGCAGCCCGGCCCTTGGGACCGGAGCACCCTCCAGCCAGTGCATGGAGGCAGCAGCCATCCAAGAGTTTGTACAGCATGTCCCAAGTCACAGGAAACACCCCAAACTCAGGAAAACAGGTACAGCATGAATAAGCCTCTGAACTGAAACCGCTTTACTACCAATAAAAGGAGCACACAGAGGGAATGCCTTGGAGGCCAGCTCCTTTGGATGCGGGAAAGGCAGAACTACTGGGCCAGAAAGCAGATGTAGGTGTTGTGGGGGATCTTTGTAGGCGAGGCTGGTCACAGAGGGCCCAGAGTCCTCTCCAGATGATGGGCTGTCCTGTGGAGGACTGTGACAACCACAGAGAAAGTGGATTGGACTGGGTACAACCTGGGCTTCATCAAACCCAGTTTAAAGAGAGAGCTGTATATAGAGACACAAGTCTGTGATTTCAGCTACTCCAGGGGCTGAGGCAGGAGGATTGCAAATGCAGGACCTGCCTGGGCTACAAAGGAGTTCACAGCCAGCCTGGACAAGCCAGGGAGACCATCTCAGAATTTTAAAACAGAGGGCCTGGGTGTGACTCAATGGTACAGCACTTGCCTAGTGTGTGAGCGAACCTGGGTTCCATCCCCAGTACTCTTAGCCATAATGAGACAGACACAGAGAGACCCATACCCTGCACTCTGATGTATGAATTATTCCAAAGCCCCCAGAATAGCCTGAGAAAACACAAGAGTGGCCCTGGAACCCAGAGTGGGTGAGCAGCCTCCTCCACGCTGCCCGGTGTCAAAGAAAAAGAGACTGGTGACGCAACTTGGTCTTGTCATGTGACCCTGACAGTGTCTACACAGAACCACCCTGGAAACAGGAGATGCTAAGGAGGCCCAGGCCTGTGGGAGACCCAGAAGGATGGAATTCCAAGGCCCCCAGGTCTCACAGTGACCACTGGGCCCAGCCTAGCCTTGTCCCCTCCCTGAGATTTGGAGGAACCAGGGCTCATATCCAGAATGCCCTCCTCATAGCTCAGACCTTTAGGTGGTGGCTGTTTTTCTCCCTCGAAGCCCACAGGGCAGCAGGGTTGGTGCTCAGAGCCCAACACCCACCAGCAAACAGCTGCCTGGGCCAGGCTCTGAGGACACAGGTGTGATCCAGGCCTTCCCACCAGATGGCGCCATTAGCCTTTGTTTTCATGCTTAATCCTGACCAAAAATGCCTTTTCTCCCACTTAACAGATAATAAATAAATACCAGGGTAAACGGCTTCTGTCTCCCACAAATATGGGTGTGTTGGACTTCCAAGAGTCTAGCGTGTGTTAGGAGCTCAGAGGAGCCGCAGCCTGGCCTTTGCCCCAGCTCCTGGGGCATGTCTGGCTTTCCAGGTGGGTGTCACCTGGGCTTACAGTCACCTGGGCTTTGAACCAGATGTCACCTTTCCTCTCTAGGGAGCAGAGATCACATGGTCCTCAGTCCCAGATTCTCATCTTGAGCAGAGCTGAGGGTTTCCCAAGGCGCTAGCACTCTGTCCTCCCCGCCGATGCCCAGGAGAAGAGTCGTGTGGCCTGTCCCTGTCCCCCACCTGGTCCCACCTCACCTTTCCTGAAGAAGGCACCCTGGTCTTCTGGGGCTGCAGGGCGATCAGATCAGGTCCTGAGCGGGTATGTGGCAGCTGAGCCCCGTAGCGCTGCAGAAGTGTGTTCAGGATGCTTGACTCGTTGACGCAGACCAGGGAAGCCAGGTCCTCAGCCTGGTCCAGCTCAGGGGGGTTGGCCTGCAGACATCACATAGGCTCTCCTCTGGCTTCCATAGGGGTCCCCCCCCCAGACCTCTGTAGGCAGGGTCAGGGAAACCTCTAGCAGGGTGGGGACAGAGGGCACGGGGCACTGGTGGGAGCGAAGGGAGACTCACTCGGTGAACCTGCTCCTCGTCCACCTCAGTGACGGTCTTGTCTGCGTCCATGCAGAGCCGCACCCTTCCAGCCGGCAGATCAGCTGTCCCCTCGTCTGGTTTGAGCACTGTTGCTGTGTAGACAGACAGAGACAGGAGGGGAGGGAGGGACGGAGGGACGGAGGGATGGAGGGATGGAGGGATGGAAGGACAGAGGGACGGAGGGAGCGTTTCAATGTCAGACCAAGAAGCTGCAGACAGAACTTGGGACAAACTAAAAGGCTCTATGGATTCTGTTCACATAAAGGGCCTCAGCTGTGACCCCCTAAACCAGCGGTCCTCATGTGGGTTGTGACCCCTTTGGGCAAGTTGAACCACCCTTTCACAGGGGTCACCCAAGACCACCAGAATACAGATATTTACATTAAGATTCATAACAGTAGCAAAATTACAGTCACGAAGTAGCAATGAAATAATTTTATGGTTGGGGTGACCGTAACATGAGGAACTAGGTGTATTGAAGAGTCGCAGCGTTAGGAAGGTTGAGAACCACTGGTCTAAGCCCTTTAGGGATAAAGACTGAGTACAAACTTACAGGGCCGAATACGGAGCAGGCCCCCCAGAGGGTCAGGTCCGCTGACCTGCCCCACACCTAGGTCAGGACAGGACAACAACCCTTCCAGCTCCATGACAGACAGTACCAATGGATCCCCCTTCTCTGGAACACAGAATGACTTAGAATATAGCCTTCAGCCTCAACTACTCAGTAAGCATGGGCTGGGGAGAGCGGATTTCTCTGCCACAAGGCTCTGGACTCCGGTCCTGGCAGCACCCTAGGATCCATACCATGTGCTGCTTTTTCATCCCCAAGGCTGAGTGTCCCACTCTCGTCTAGGCTCCTCCTCCCCTACCTCCCCGCCCCCCAAGAGTGAAGTTAACCTGGCTGAGAACTGGTGGCAGGAGAGACATGCAAAAGCAGTGTGGGACTCCCCGAGGAGAGCTGAGCCCACGTTCCAAGTGTGAACCCATCCTTCAAGGAGAGCTGAGCCCACTTACCAAGTGTGAACCCATCCTTCTGCACCAGCCAGACTTTCTGCGCCTCGTACCACCTGTCCTCCTCAGATGCCTGCACGGGAAAAGACTGGCACTTAACCGGCAAATACCACCAGCCCCGGAACTTGATGTTGGCGGGAACCCAAACCTGGAGCTTCTCACGAAGCCACCAGAGACCTCAACCTTCTAAGGGAACCTTGGACCTGGGAATCTACATGCAATGCCACTGCAGAGAATTGTGGGTGACACAGGACAGGGCAAGCACTGAGTAGCGTGGGGACAGGGGAGAAGTCTAGCCTGGGCAGGGGCCACTTGAACCCCAGGGACGCCACTTCTCAGAGAAGAGCCTTCCGGGCTTCCCCGTGTGCTGGGCTCTGACCAGCCTTCTGCCCACCCTGTGGCCACCCCTAGGGCGTGCCCTTTCCGTGTTCCACAGCCCATGGCCCATCACCTGGTCAGAGTCTCTGCTCTGGTCCCCGCTGCCCGGGTCCTGCCGGACCGGCTGCTCCTCCGTAGGTTTCTGCAGAGAAGGCCTGTCCTCCTGGGTCTTGGGAAGGGACTCCACGTGATGTTCTGCCCGAGGCTCCTCAATGCCCACTTCTTCCTCTGCGTGCACACAGGGCTCCCCGGCACCCTGCACCCTGCTTTCTGGCTGGTCCTCCCTCTTTGCAGCCTCCGCCACCTGCGCTGCCAATGTCGCTTCTGTGGGTGTCCCACCCGGGGCCTTGCAGCGTTCCTGGGGACTCTGAGTCTCAGCGGCAGCTGCCACCCCAGGCTGCTCCTGGCATTTCCCTGGTGTCACCAGCTTCTTCTGGGGTTCCTCTGCCTTTTCCATCATCCCTGGGGTCTCCTGCTGCTGCCCCCTGGGCTCTGCTGCCGTGCCTTGAAGGTCACCCCTCTTCTCATCCCTACACTGAGATTCACTTTCTCTGTTCTTACTCTGAGGACTGTCCCACTTGCTCCTTCGGCCCAGGGAAACTCCCCACTTCCTTATGGGGACCGGGGGCTCCAAAGGTCTCACTTCAGCTCCCGCACTCTTGGGACCATTCCCCTTTCCCATCTTCTTTGGGGGACCCCCTCCTCCTTTCTCTGCTGTACCCACTTGTCCCTTGTTTCCTGCCCCCTGAGCTGGGGACTTGGTCTCCTGCCCCTCTGTGCCCTGGGACTCACATTCTTTTTGCGCTTTGGTCTGGGAGTCCCCGCTCCCCTTTCCCTCTGTACCCTGACACGTCCCACCCTTTGTGCCCTGGCTTGTGTCTCCATCACCCCCAGTCCTGGTCTTCTCAGTTATGGGTGTCTGGGGGCCACAAGGAGTCCCCGTGTTTGCCCCTTTCTTTGTCCCTCCAGGGTCTGTGGCCGGGGTTGGGGTCTTGTCCTTGGGGGTGTCACGAGGTTGGGTCTTCTGCTCTGGCGTGGCCAACTGTGGATCTAGCTTGGCTACCATCAGCAACACATCACCCCTCCTCACGCCCCTCTTGAAGGGCAGTGTCCTTTTGGCTGGTGTCCCTGTGGGACCCGACTCCTGCGGCTTCTCCCCTCCGGTGCTGGTCACAGATGTGGAGTTCTTGTCATCGGCAAGAATGTCTGCATCCTTCTGAGTGGCTGATGGGCTGTCCTGGCAAGTCTTCCGGCCTCCAGGCTTGGGGACATTGTTGGTCTTGTTGGCTTGGTTAATGGGAACTTCTGGGGTCTAGGAAAGAAACCACAATGTATTAGCTGCCAGATGACTCAACGGCGGCCATTCCTTCCCAAGTTCACCCACCTAAAGATGCCCAAGCCCACTGACAGACATTGCAGAATCTGCGCTTGACAGTGAAGTTCAGCCCAGGCAGAGGCTGAGGGTCAACATAATTGGGGGGGGGAATAGACTCAGGAGTCCAACTATACCTCTGTCTCTCTCTACTGTGTGTCGTCAGGTAAATTCCTTCCCCTCTCTGAGCCAATATCTTATCAATAACATGAGGACCATAAAGACCTGCCTTTCGGAGTGGGTGTTAGGATTGGGGGTGGCCCAGCACACAGTTAGTCCTCAGGAGCCGCTGCAGATGCGGCTATTGTTGTTATTTCTATCTCAATCCTCCTGATGAGACCATCGGTAGGGAGGCACGGTCTCCTCATGGTCCTGATGCTGGGTGGCAGTGACCAGTGTCTCCCATCCCTGTGAGCTGTGCTCCCCACACAATACACGTGTGCCGTTTAGATTGCTGCAGGGAGGGTTTCTCTGCAAAGGCCTCCTGGAATCCCAGAGCGGGAAACCGAAGGTAGCGCACACTCCGGACATCCTGACTCCGAAACCTACTGTCCACGCCATCCAACCTCCCACCCACCCACCAGCTGATTGTCATTGTATACCCCATCAGGACACCCCAAGACTACAGGATGTACATCAACACACGCTCAGTGAGGTTCCCCCAAGCCTCTTCAGGGTCAGTTTGTCTCTGGTCACCCTACATTCTGGTCACGCTGGATACCTTCTGGTCCATGGCTCACCCGCCCCTTCCCTGCACCCTCAGGCTTGCCCCTGACACTCAGCAAATGTGCCCTTTCTCCTCCCTCCCTGCCTATTCTGTTTCCTGTGCCTCGCCCGCCTGACCTGCTCCCCCCAGGCAGCTCCAGAGAACAGGCTTTGCATGGCCTAGTTCTGCCTCTGTCTGGTCTTGTGACCTTGGAGAAAGTGTCCTGGGCTCTCTGGGCCTCAGTCTCCACCTCTGATAAATGGGTATGACTCCCATCCCCACTAGTGCACTGAGTTTTAAACAGAGTCACATGCACTAAGTGAGCATTGTTTGGTGATAGACAGGGACATTTGTCATAACCTAGCCACAAGGTATGCCGTGGTCTCTGTTTAGGCATAAGTCAGGCAGAAGAAGGCACAGGGCCAAGCTATCCTGTCATCCTTTTCCATGAGACAGGACCACTGTGCCCACAGCTGCTGTCATTCAGAGAAGCCTCTGTCATTAGACAGGTGCAAGCACTTGTGGCATAAATGAACTGCGGAGGAAGCAAGGAAGGAGCCAGGATGAGTCTTGATGCAGGTCAACACTTGGCTCTGTAATCCCTGATCTTCCCAGACCAATCCTGACATTACTCTCTTCACCTCAAGAGGGCACTATAAAGGCACCGGGAACTGGTGCTCTGCCTGCCTGACACAGGGGTACTCCCAGGATGCACTGTACTCCAATCCTGGCTCCCTGGTGTCCAGCCTTGGTAACCTGTCCGGGCTTTGGGGGTCTCTGGATAAGAAGAGTAGGGAGGCGACACCGGCCCCTTCGTGGGCTACTTCTGGTTGACGATGCCCATTGGTACCATTCGGAACAATGTTCTGAAGCGGACAGGTCACCAATCAGAAGGGATACCATATGGAGTAAGCACTCAGGCTCTCCAGCCTGGCTGAGGTTAATCCTTTAGTTCCTGGGTGATGGATGCTCCAAGGTCCTTGGGAGAAGCTGAGGGACCTGCAGTTGGAGTGTGGGACACTGGCACATGTGCCCGACCCAGAAGGATACTGCTGATGCCTCAGCCTCAGGCTAGCCCAGTAAGTGTTGTGCCAGCATTTTTTTTCTGCTTTAACAAATGAACTGAGCCAGACCCAGAGACCAGGCCTAGAGCCACAGCTACTCAGGAGGCTGAAGCAGGAGGAGCAGAAAAGTTCCAGGCATACCTGGGGCAAGAAGCAAGTTCAAGGCCTGAGAGCTACTTGGGGTACGGAGCTGAGCCAGGGGCGGCTGCTGCTATTAGGGGATTCCTAATAAGACACGTGGTCTAAAGACAAGCAAGCATGGGGGAGTTAGGGAGTAGCGCAATGTGAGGGCCTCCAGGGGTGGGCAATTGGAGATGGGCTTTCCAGCTTACATAGGAGCTCAGCAGAGCAAGTGGAAGAAAACACTAGGACAGCAGGAGCAAAGACCGGATGACTGACTCAGCACAGGATGGAGGGCACCCGGTGCCACACGCACGCACACATGCACACACATATGCACACGCACGCACGCACATGCACACACACATACACACACGTACACACATGCACACAGACACACACACGCAGGCACACACACACATGCACACACATATGCACATACACGCAGGCACATGCACACACACATACACACGTACACACACATGCACACAGACATACACACATACACACGCACACACATGCACACAGACACACACACATGCACACAGACACACACACATGCACACAGACACACACATACACACACGCACGCACATGCACACAGACACACACACGCAGACACACGCACACACACACACACACACACACACACACACACCGCTTACCTCTCCTTCCGGGGAGGCGAGTGCTGCCTCTTTCCTCCGCCTGGCCTCTTTGGACTCTTTCTCTGTCTCTCGAACCAGCTGCTTGATGAAGCCCCCAGGGATGACAGAGAACAAGGGAGGTGGTGAGGACGGAGGGGGGCTCTTGTCCTCTTCTCGAATCTGTGTGAGGAGAGAGCTGGGAGTGAGCCTGCAGGGCCAGGGTCCAAACCAGACAACCTTCCATACAGCCTGGGCGTTGCCTAGGGGACAGCATGGGAGGAAAATGGAAGGACTCTGAGGGACCCAGGAGGCTGAGACAGTGTGGGGAGCGAGAATGGATGGGCCCGTGACAGCCATGCAGGTGGTGTGACTTCCGCCTCCTGAGAGGAACTCAAATTGTCAAAGTCACAGGGGCTCCCTCCTGCTCTCAAGGCAGCTTTGGGGATGTCAGGATGGGTGGATCACACATTGGTTCCCCTGCTCTAGTATTTCTGGCACCAAGGGGGTGCTGGGGGAACTCTAGGAGAAGATGCCTTTCCCGCCTTTTGCAAGGATACTCCCAGGGAGCACTGCACTCTAAGCTTGTCTCTGCGGTACCTCCTAGTTGCTTAAAGAAGCCTCCTGGGGTCTTGGATTAATTAATAGATTGTTCCTGTGTGCCAGGACCATAGAAGGTGGGAAGACCCTTAGCCATAGCCTATGCAGCTGGCTTTCCTACCTGTGTCTATGAATCTTAGCAACCATGAACCAAAAAAAAGTTTGATAAAAAATACAAGCATCTATACAAAGGGAAGGAAAGGGATAGAGGTGGAGGAGGGAGAAGAGAACAGGGGTGGGGAAGACAGAGACAGAGGACCCCTTAGGGCATCCTGTGAAAAGTGTACATGGGAAGAAATGGGTGACCAGGGTAAGAGCCCTTTTCCAGATCTCTTTGGTGACCAGAGAAGGTCCACAGAAACCCTCAAACGTTAGACGGGAGACCAACAGCCCACCCCTGCCCCCACCCACCCACCCACCCAGTGCTCCTCAGGCTGCCATGGGTGTAGATGGGGAGGCTGTGCTGCCATCACCCTCAGCCTCCTGCTGGGGATGAGAAAGGGCAAGGCAGGTGGCAGATGTGACCTAGAAGGACTGGCCAGGCCACAGAGACGGCGGGCTGCCACCCCGCCTGAGGTGGGAAGGTGTGATTCCGGCCACCCAGGCCATGGCCCATCTTGCCGGGGTAGAGTCCAGCCCTGTGAACACAGTCCCCCAAACACTACTTTCCTTCTGCTCCCACAGGGCAAGGCGTGACGATATGGCCATGGTGGCACGTTGGCTAGACTGCAGGTGACGAGACCAGGTTGTACTCCTGAGGCTGGCACGGAGTGAAGCTTTACAGGCTCGGGGACAGCATAAGACGGGAGGACAGAGGCCTGACACGCTGGCACAGAGGAGAGAAGGGAGAGACTAGTTAGAACTGGGCCTCTCCACTGCCAGCACCACACGGGAAATGAACAAAGCTGCCCCATCCTCTGCTATGATAGTCATTTATCCCCACGAGAGTGTGCCCAGGGGTGAGGCCGCCAGCTACACAGTGTGTGAAATTTCCTGCCTCTCGACTCCATACCATAGCTTCACATGGAGGGAGGAACACATATGGTGTGTGTGTGTGTGCATGTGCACACGCGTGTGCAAGTGTGACTCCTAACCACTTACACAAAGACGGTGCCTGCCTAAGCAGCATGGAGACGGAGTTCCAGAAGAGTCAACTTAGCTCAGGGTGGTGGAGATGAAAGGAATTTCAGCTGGAGGGTCACACAAAGGAACTTTCTGGAAGGCATGGAGTAGTCTGTATCCTGATCCAAGTGAGTTACACATAAAAATCGTCTTGCAAAACCATTTAAGATGGTCATTTGCATCAAAATCCCAGCACAATTCTTCACAGATGTTGAAAAAGAAAAATCAGTCTTTAGCTTCATATAGGAACACACACACTATACACTATACACACCACACACACACACACACACACACACAGGCTAGCTAAAACAATTCTAAATAATAAAAGAACTGCTGGAGGTATCACTATCCTGATCTCAAATTTTACTACAGAACTGTAGTAATGAAAACTTCATAATATTGGCACAAACAGACATATTGATCTGTTGAATCAAATTGAAGATTCAGACATAATAAGCCCACACACCTATGTATACCTGATTTTTTTAAATAAAGAATAAAAAAATACGCACTGGGAAAACAAGACAGCATCTTAGCTGGTCAAACTGGATGGCTGCTTGTAGAAGAATGTGAATAGATCCATACTGATCACCCTGCACAAAAACCAACTCCAAATGAATCAGAGGCCTCAACATTAATCTAGATACACTGAACCTGACAGAAGAGAAAGTGGAGAATAGTCTTGAACTCATTGGCACAGGAGACAACTTCCTGAACAAAACACCAGTAGCGCAGGCACTAAGATCAACAACTAATAAATGGAACCTCCTGAAACTGAAAAGCTTCTGTTTGGCAAGGGCACCCTCATCCAGACAAAACAGCAGGCTACATAATGGGAAATTATTTTTACCAGCTACCCACATTAGAGTGCTAATACCCAAAATATGTAAGGAACTAAAAAAATAAATGAAATGAAAAAGCAAATAACTCAATTAAAAATGCAATGTAGAACTAGGCAGAATTCTCAAAAGAGGAGACACAAATGACCAAGAAGCTTAAAGAAATGTTCAACATCCTTAGTCATCAAGGAAATGCAAATCAAAATCATCTTACACCCGTCAGAAAGGCCAAGATCAATAAAACAATTGACAAGTCATGCTGGTGTAGATGGGGAGGGGCCACACTCACCCATTGCTTCGGGGAGTGCAAACCTGTACAGCCACTATGGAAATGAGTGTGACTGTTCCTTGGGAAGCTGGAAGTCAATTTACATCAAGATCTTGCTGTCCTACTCTTGGGCATAGACCCACTACAGAAACGCTTTCTCATCAATGTTCATTGCTGCTCTATCCATAATGCCAGAAATCGGAAGAGCCCATATGTCCATCAACTGATGAGTGGATAATTTAAAATGTGGTGCATTTTACACAATGGAATATTATTATTCCGCTGATAAGAAAATGAAACTTTGAAATTGTCAGACAAATGAACGGATCTAGAAGCAGTCATCATGAGTGAGTGTCCCCTGGAAATGTGTCCGCAGGACTTCCACCAACAGATCAGAGACGCCTGCACCTGGAAATGCGTCCACAGGACTTCCACCAACAGGTCAGAGACACCTGCACCTGGAAATGCGTCCACAGGACTTCCACCAACAGGTCAGAGACACCTGCACCTGGAAATGCGTCCACAGGACTTCCACCAACAGGTCAGAGACACCTGCACCTGGAAATGCGTCTGCATGATTTGCACCAACAGATCCAGAGACGCCTGCATCTGAAATGTGTCTGCAGGACTTCCACCAACAGATCAGAGACAGGTTTGCTGCTGCACCAGACTCAAACAGATGTCCACCATGGAGGAAAGGATAAAGAAATGCGGTCCATGTGCATGGTGCAGCTTTATGCCGCCATGCAGAAGGGCGGGACTATGTCATTTGCAGGAAAGAAGACACATCTGGAGATCAGCACACAGAAGGCCCAGGAAGAGGCAGCTCGGATTTGCTATAGTTTTCCGATCTTACACTTTACGTTGAGACGTAAAATCATGCATGCGTATAGGACTTGAAAGTGGAAAGGAGCCTGGAGTACATGCTTGTGTGTGTGAGCATGTGTCCTGGAGATCTTTTTTGTTTGTTTCATCCCTTTTTTGTTTCATTTTTCCCCCCCACTTATTCAGGGAATCAATATCTCATCTTTTCTCAGCTCTGTAAGTTAGGAAAATTTGTTCAGAGTGTTGTGTTATACAATAATTTAAAAAGCAAAGAGGTGGCAAATCTCTCTCTCTCTCTCTCATACACACCACGCACACACACACACACACACACACATACACACACCACAGCCTTCTTTGGTCTATGGCTCCCTATACCCTCATGGGCCTGGAACTTGGCTATAAGAACACTGCATGGGCTTCTGCAACCCATAGCCACGGCCACTGCAGAACACTGGGACCCCAGTTTCTCTGCGCATCTCTTTCTGACTCAGCCCCCAGTAATGACTGATGAGGGGCCTGGCCTTGACCTCAGAGAGCCTGACCCTAGACATTGGCAGCTGTCATACACAGGGACTGGGTTCGGGAAGCTGGTTAGCCCACAGTTATTGGGGAGTCTCTGACTAGGCTCTTAGCTCACTCTGTGGCTGGGCAAGGAGGAGATTCAAGGTTCAAAGAGCTAAGAAGGCACATTCAGGCTTGGCAAGACCTCATGCCAGAAGGGAGGCTGTAAAATGACCATGTGCAGGTGGCCAGAGCAGCCGTGTCTTTCCCTATGGAAGAATCCTCACAGGGTGAGCTCAGAGCACCGATAGCATGAGGCCACCCCATTCCCCACACTGCGTCCCTAGGGAGACACCGGAGAGTGTCCTAGTGACTCACAGGCTCTGAACTCAGGAGCTGAGCCCAGGGTATGAATAGGCCTGACGTGGTGACGTGGTGACGCTGGCTGTCCCCGCCACCGTGCCCTCTCCAGCCCTGGCCAGGGCTCTGAGATGAAATCACTCTCCAACTGGAGACTCAAAGAACACTGGCTGTGACAAGCCTGAGCTCTCCCCCAGGTCTCAACTGGTGTCCCTGTGCCCAGCACCCCAGCCCCACCCCCAGGCTCTGGGCCAGTCTCACTGACTGGGGCTGGGAGTCCATTGTACTCCAAGCTGCCCCCCTCCCCCATCCCCGCACCTAGCCTTGATTTACATGGAGTTCTCATGTTGCCGTCCCTTCCAGGCCTGACCCACACATGCCGTCAGATGCCAATTTAAGCAGCTCCCGGTGCTGACTCTGGGATCCTGTGCCCTCTCTAGTCTCCTCTGTGGGGGAGGGCTGGTGAGAGAACCCCAGTCCTAGGATCTGAGAGTGACCTGGAACATTTTCCATGTTCAGGCATGACCTGCAGGGCCCACCGTGGCCCTCTGAGTTTCCCCATCACCCTTAGTGTCCAGTCTCCATGATGTAGCCACTGAGATGTTTTGCCACGTAAAATGAATGCCCGAGCCCTTGTGGGGACTAAAGAGTCTCTCATGCCCACCTGCCTAACGCCTCGTCCTGTCAAGGCAGTTAAGCTGAGCCCTGGGAGTACCCTTCCAGGCAGTCTCACCTCAGGTCTTTTGTGATGCTCTTCTGCCTGCCTCGAGTGCTGTCCCAGCCACACCCCTTACATCTTCACTCCCCTGAGAGTCACGTTCTCAATGAAGTATCAGAACAAACTCATCTGTTCTACTTCCCTGTGACACGGTTTCTTTCCACAAATGATGAGTGTTTGCTGAATGACTGAGAGAAGGAAGGAGGTGCAGAGTAGGGACATGGGGTGAGCCCGTGCCAGGACCTCTGATGTCCTGTTCACAGTGGGTCTACATGTTGTCCTGGCCTCTGCTCACATCCTAGGAGACCTGGGAAGCTCTCAGAGCCTCTGTGTCCCTTGTTGTAAAGTGAGAGGAGCCACATGGAAAGCAATCTGCGTTTGTCACTTGACCCAGTGGACACAGCCATCTGCTCCCACAGTTAAGAACTGACCGAGTGCCTGGCCCTGAGGTCTGCCCCAACCCTGCTGGATCTGAAATACAATTACATTAAAATCTGAGCCAGTATTTACGCCGGGAGTCACTCACCAGTTGGGCTGACAGTTGCTCAGAGAAGGCAAGGCCCTTGCCTAAGGTCACCCAACAAAGTCCCAGGAGAGACTTGCCACAAGTATGTGTCTCTATTGAGGGGGAGGGCTGGGCGTGTGGGGGAGGGGTGCCCGTCACAGGTTTGGAAAACCTGGTGTCTGGGCATCAGGGAGTTTGACTATAGGCACATGGTCACACAGCAGATACGTACATTTTGGGTCACTGAGACTGGATTCTGAGCCCTTCCTCCTTCAGGGGACAGCACACCTTTGGGACATCACCTTTGGGAGCCATTGCATTTAGTTTCCAGTGTCTGTGTTTTAGGGAGTGACTCCAGCCTGGGACCCTCCACCCCCTGGCAAAGGTGTAGAAGGCTCCAGGGCCCAGCTAGGCAGTGGAGCAGGTTCTGAACTCAGATAGGTCAATGGTCCCCAGAACTTGGCGGTCCCCC